ATATGCTGGCATTTCTTAGTATTAGTCATTCTCATATTAGTCAAAGTCGAATTTCTTAAATAAGCTTTTAGGTCCGAAATTCCCAATAAATGGCGTGATCCGCATTCTTTGCCTTTTCATCTCATTTACATTTTTAATAACGAAATGCAAGAAGAGAGAATTTTTGCCTCAAAATTAAAATTAAAATTTTGCCTTTGAATTTAATTTAAATTAGATTTAAATAATTCCTATTTAAATTATTGTGGTGAAAGCGTTTATTCATCATCATATGTGTTGGCGATTTACGAATGCTTAATGATATAACGCATTCTACCCAAACAGAATTATTGTGGTTAAAAAGGTTTGAAAAAATCACATTATGATAACGGAATGAAATTTATAATCCATAAATTTTAAACGAATCTGAAAAGTAATGCAGTTGGAAAAATTCATGAAATTCATCAAACCATCTGTTAAAATTCAACCATTAAAATAATTGAAAATGATTATATAGTATATATTTGAATTAGACATAGAAATAGATGATTATTTGTCTGCAACAGGCCAAAAACACTAATAGCAACTGGTAGATTTGCAAACATAACATAAAATGGCTAAGAAAATTGCAAAGAATGCAGCGAAAAGCGACCCTCAGTCGGTACATCAGTCTCGATGGCAAGAAAAATATTAATGGAGTGCCAATTATTTTATTTATTAATTAATTTATATCTTAATAGCTTTCATAAAATACAAATGATTATACAACAAAGACTCACAGATTAATGTTAAATTAGAAGTTTTATCACCGATTCTGCAATTATAAATATTTTTTTTTCTATTCATTTGATTAAAGATGTGCCATACAAATAAATTAAATTGTATTAGCAGTTTTCCTTTGCTTTACTTAAATTTATTTTTCATCTCTATAAGAAGAGGCGATCAATCAGAATTTCCAGATAAGAATCAGATTCAAACACACAGGTTAGTGATTCTCAGCAGCCTCAGAGGACTCTATGGAGAAATTCCTGAGAACGACAGAAAAAATTTGGAAAAATAAGAAGCCACAAATGCTGCTAGTGGGACCACGTATCGGTGAAGTAATTAAGTTATTCTTTATTTTGAAAAATTAATTTTTAAGCATTACATAAAGGATCTAATTGAAAATCCAGGCATATCCTATAAGTATGACATAAGTCTTACTAATACGTGAAAGACAGGGGTTATGAATCAGGATCGACGAATACGGAGACACGCAAAAGTCGGAGAGTGCACCCCTGTATGATCCCGATTATAATCACTGAGTGGGTATTCCTAGAAATAATGAGAAAGGAGAAAACCCTCAGTTCTAACGAATTCCCAGCCAAATATAAACTTGCTTCTACCCATCAGACGCAAGGCTCATGCATATTAAACGCCTTCGTCTAAAGTAATAATATTATTCTTTTAATTTCAAAATTAAATTTATGTACTTATGCAAAATTAATGCAAAGTTTTTTTCGGAATTTTGGATGCAGTTTGTGCGATTTTTGCGAAATCTATGCAATTTACCCCATTCTATAATTCTATTTTTTTGTTTTCGACTTTTTTATAAATTTTAAATTTATAAATTTATAAATTTTTCAAAAAATTTGAGATAAAACAGTTCTTTTTCAACGAATAAAACGATAATCGTTAATTTGAAAAAATTTATCTTGTAATTCTGATTTCTCATTCCAATTTTTACTTGCTCTTCAATAAAAATGTAATTCAAGTAAAAAAGTAAATGTAATTAGTTCATCTTAACCTGATTTTAAAAAAGTCAAAACTTTTAAATTTTGCGCTTAACTGAATTTGCCGATAAATTCATTCGTGTAATATATTTCACTGACAAATTTAGAGGTTAGTGGTTGATATTTCTAGGCCTATAACATTGTCAATATTACCAATCTTTTTGCCATTTCAATAAAATACAATTATAAAAAGTTGCAAATTGTTTTATTATTTACCATGTAAAAATCTTTCAATTATAAATGGTGAAATTGGCTAACTAAAATTTATGGTAATCGACATAAATGAGAAGAAGAAAGCGCCAATAGTTACTGATGATTACTGATGAGAAGGACATTGCTATCATTTACTGCTAAATTACTTTCGAAACACTGAGTGAACAATAGGCAATAGGTAAATTATAACAATCCAGTCGCAAATCGTAAATTATTATCAATTATATTTATTAACTGCCAGCAATTAACAATGGTTGTTTCGGCTAAGATGAAAATATTACAAATTCGCTTGGCGGAAGTAAATTCAAAATAAAATATGGGTGATGTTCAAGATCCACTTTATTTTTACATTTATTTCAGATATCTGAGGAGGAATATTCATTTCTATATTTTTTGGCTTTTATTTATTTATTTGGAAAAAATAATTTATAATAATTTACTTCCAATTACTGCAATTATTTAATTATAGGGCAAAGTAAAATTGATGGGTTTAATTGTAAAACATTGCATTACAATAATGCTTCCGGTATTTTTTGTGAATGATTGTATTTTTCAAAAAAAATTCAACATTACTTCTTTTTAAAGATTATTATAAATGAATTGCTCATCATGCATTCTTTTTTTTCGAACAGCATACACTGTTTCTGGCTTGATTAATTTTATTAAAATACAGAGAATTAAAATCACATGGGGAATAGAAGCATTGCGGCATTTCTATGGTAATACTCAAGTTTTTACCTAGTCATTATAATTTACTGAAAATTTATACTAGCATAAAGACGAAAGTTTCGCCGAAATATTTATCATGAAAGGCTAATTCAAATATTTCCTCAGTTAAGGGTTTTCATCAAAGAGGCCATTGTTAACCATGAATTTCCACAACATACCACACATATTTTGTATTATTCTTTCCATACAATTTGCACTATAGCAGATTGCAAAAGTAGAACTGGACCAAACCTCATACTTTTTTTGAATACCAATAATTAAACAAGAAGGCTGCTAATTCTAATCGTCTTAGAATTAAAAAAATTAAAAAGAATTAAAAAAACTCATCGAGTAATATACTAAGAAACGTACTAACAAGAAATTTATAAATGATTCCGAGTTTTTCCAATGATTTAAAAGAGTCTACGTTAAGAGTTAAAAGTTTAAGTTTTTTTTTTTAGAAATTGAAAAGATTTTGGAATCAAACAAATTATTCATCCCTAGGACACAACGAAAATTAGCTTTTCTACCGCCGAATAGAGGCAAATTTGACATTTTGAAATAATCACAACTGAAGCGAATTGAATTGGCCGGAAATAATTATTTACTTTGCACAGACGAAACTGAAAAACTGATGACTAAATGGGTATATTAAATGAAAAAATATGTGAACATATCATGAAATATCCGTTTTCGTTCACAGATCTCTATGGCAGTTGTTCTAATAAAAAGAATACAATGATTCCGCAGTGAATACAGTGATGCTTCTGAGCGTAGGCACCCACTCCAGTCACATTTATTATCTGCTACTGATGTCTTAAATCGCGAGCATTCCATTCTTTATAGTTTAGTTATAAAATTAAACACTTGCACTTTTAGCTTATGTCATTTCTCGTTTTCACGAGTAAAGAAATAGAAATTGTGGTAAAAATAGGCAAATCGCCACGATATTCAAAATCGAATTTTGCCCAGGAAAGATTGTAGATTGTACATGCGTGAAATTTCCAACTTAATTCAGGGAAAGAATTAATCCTGGGCGGTCACTTATGGTCATAACTTACATCTAATTGAATTTTCATTGTATTCTTCTTTCCTTTCCTTTCCATCTGCCATTTAATCCACTCCTCTCCTATGCTTTCTATGTACTTTCTGTAGTAATTTTCAACGGACTAACATGGATATAGCAAATCAAATATGTTGCTATTATTACCTTCAGCCGAATCACTGACTCTCAAATTAGGCGATGCAAATATGAGAAAAGACTCATCATGTACCTGCCTCCAATCCACATAGTACAACTACAATTTAACATTCTTTTCACCTTTAAATTAAGTAGCTCTACTGGTTTCAAACCTAATTTTTTCACGTTACCGAAAAGTATTAAATAGATTAAATAGACTGATAAAATAAGGGCTAATGTAGAGAATAAAAACCGAGCAAAATTAATCATAAATAAAAAATTTATTGGCAACAGAAATACAAATCAAAGTGAAGATCTCATGGCAACTGAGCAATAAAAAAAAAACAATTTTGGTAAGTATTATGTGAAATAAAAATTAACTGCAAATTTTCATTTTAAGAAAAACGGATATACTGGATACGGATATAAAAAGAAAGAAATCGGGAGATGCTTCATTCATTACCTTAGAATACGACAGCAATAACTCTAAGACAACGAAATAACAAATAATTGAAGGATAAATTGATAAATGATTTCAAAAGTACGAGCAATGACTATCTTGTTGCCTAGCAGTAGCTTAAACAAAGGGAATTTTGTTAAAATTCTCAATTATAAGAAATTCCTACCATGGTAATTATTCGACTGAAGCTTATTAAAGAATATTGCTAAAGTCTAATATTCAAATACTAAAAGATAACAGTGCTAAATAACACAAAAAAATCATTTTTTACGCTTTTTTACATAATTCTCGTATCGATCGGCTGATAGCTTTAACATTCTTCGGCAGTGAGCGATCTGAAAATAATGAAAGCAAGTTAAAAATTGGACAAGCTTTAAATGTGCAAAATATAGATTCACAAGAAATCGGTTGCCAAAATTCCTCAAATTTTTTTGAATGAAATCCTTTCCATTTCTTCCAGTTTAAATAAGTTCACATTAACTTACATTATTATGCCCGAAACGATGCTCGGCATTCGACAAATTGTTTTCCTCAAAATGCTTCAGTGAATGTTCCATTCGTGTAAGCTAAAATTTATTTTAGCCATAAATTTCTTAAACTTCAAATGAAAAAAACGGAGCATATTTTTCATATTATAAAATAAAATTTAAAACAACATAATAAATATATAATAAAATGTGAAAATAAAAAGTTATTTTTTTGGTCGACAAATTACCTTATCTTCCATTTCGATAGTGGTTGGAGGAAAACATGACCAGAAATGTTTTAATAACTCAGCAAATGAATAATGAACGGCTTGGAGCTCATCAAAATTAGCTGCATTTAAAACATCAGCTTTATGACCATTGACCCAATTATTAGCATCAAAAGGACCTAATGGTTCAGCGAACATAGTTGCATTACCCAAGGAAAATTTATCCTAGAAAAAAATATTGACCAATTTAAAAATCATAATTCAAATTAAAATGTAAATCAGTAGAAAAAAATTCCATTTGAGATTTATTTATAATATAATAACAAATAATAACCGTCGATGAAATCCTTCGATTGCAAAGCCTTAAAATTTTTTCAGAAAACAGACGGCGTTGATCACTCGAAAGATCATTTCCTAAAGCATTAGCACTTCCTTGCTTAAATGAAATCCTCTCCATTTCATCTTGCATAGCATCATTCGCCAATTCCTCACTATCGATCATTATGCGCTCATCGCTATTTGATTTTGATGTACTCGCAATCTATATTTACTGATCGCTTGATAAAATAAAATTTGAGCAGAATGATGATAAAAAGTAAAAATAATTACCTGCGCACTTTCATTAACATTTTTCACTTCTAAATTATTTCCATGGGAAGCTAATAAAACGCGGCTGGAGTGGTAATTGCATCTTTTAAGCAGTAATTCTTTATTGTTTGAGGAATTAGCTGAAGAAATATCTGAATCCTAGAAATACTATTATATAATTTCTAAATATAGAATAAATTTTAATAATGCAAAAAAATAAATGATAACTGAATTAGTTGATTTCAAAATAAGAAAACATACCAAATTGAGATCATCAGAAATATAAGAAAAATCTAGCATTTTCTTCAGCACATTTCCCTTCATGATTTTTTCCATCTCTAAAAATAATCAAAAATAACATTAAGAAAAAAATGAAAAAAGTGGAAACAAAAAAGTAAAAATTAAAAAACAAAAATTTATCAAGCAATTAACAAGTCATAAATATGGTAATAAATATGGCAAGCAATTTTTTTGTTAAGCAAAATGCACAGTTATAACGACAAACCATTATCGTCCTTTTTAATGCAATCAGAAAATGGATCCAACGGATCAGGATTTTCTTCTCTATCACGATGAAAATAATGAGATTGAAAAAATTTACTCCAAAACTGCTTTTCGGTCAACTCATGTGGCACCAATTCCAAATGTTTTTTTTCAACTAAAAAAATTTTTCGAATGTAACTCAAGTAGCAAAAACTTTCAAAGATCATAAATCTTTTCATTTATTTTTTTATTAAAGCCCTCGTAAATGTTAATTAACAATTCTTTTTCTTAAATGTTCTTTCCAAAATTTTATAATTCTCAGACACAACTGCCCATTTCGATAAATAAAAAGTATGAAAAAAAGTACCTGATGGATAAGTACGAAATATACTCTGTATTGCATCAACACTTAAATTTATTTTTATGCTATTCACACCTTCGGCTTGTAGCATACTACTTAAAAATCCACTTGAAATGCCCAGCTGATCATTGCCGTTAGCTTCTTTCTGAAATTATGAACTAATAATTATGAACTAAAACTGGGAAACTGAAAAATGAAAATATATCTCAGCGATAAGAGAAAAAAAAGATCTGAAGAGAACCATAGCTGAAGCTAATAGAAAAGGTTTTTTTAAAAAATGAAAGAAATTTGAACAAGATTAAAAAATTTTAGAAAATCATAAAAAGTAATTTGAATAAGATAAACTGAATAAGATAAAAACCAAATAAACATTAGAGACAAAATAAAAAAATAATTAATAGTTACCGAATGATAGTATTCACCCCAAAAGTCCTGCGCAGAAATTAATTTTGATGCAACAAGATGTTTATATAACTGTTGCAAATGAGCGTTATTCTCAAGAATTTTTTTTTTCGCTTCCAATTCACGAGTTTTACTATATTTCTCCGAATAAGCTTCTGCCTAAAGAAATAAATAAATTCGAAAGATTTTTACTTCTATTTAATGAAAAATTGTTTCGGTAATTTTGTTTTTAGAGATTTTGTTTTTATTTTCGCTTTTGTCGAGAAAAAAAAGTTTATATTCTAGAAAGAGCACTGAATCATTCTTCCGAAGTATCTAAGATGAATTTACGGAAATATATTAAAAACTTTATAAGTTATGAAAATGAAAAAAACCTGATTAGCAAGTTGGCGATGCCCAATAAGTGCTTGCTGTATTGTCTCTTTGACTAAATCACGTTCTTTGATATGTACCTGCATGAAATTTAGGTTTGCAGTAAATAAATATATAGATGAACCAATCCGCCAAAATGAAAATGGTAAGCATAAAATAACCAGATTATTAAAGACTAAAATATACTAATGAATCACATTTAGAAAACTGGCTAAAATGAGAGGAAAAAAAACATTAAAACCTCTTTATCACCAGCTGGATTAAGAAAGACAAATGTTTCCTGGTTGCCATCGTGCAGGCATAACTGAAGCTGAGTTTTACTTTTATTAGGCGGTGATATACGCTGTCCTAAAACTTATGAAATTATTTTTATTAACACTTGATATTTCTAAAAACATCTGCAAAAATGAATGCTTTAAATGGGTATAAAAATAAGAAAATAAAATTCAATGCAAAAATATTCAAGAAAACTGAGAAAAAACTGCGAATTTTGAATGAAAAGAAATCTATATAGTAATTTTTGACAAAAAAATTTAAAAAAATAATAAACAACTTATTTATTTATTAAAAAAGATTAAAAAACCACGCGCCTCCATCAGTAACATTAATAACATCATAAAACAATATAATATAATATTAATATAAAAAGGAACTAAAATCACAATGTTTAAAATGGATTGCAGATTACTTATGCTAAATAATATTAGAAATGATCCTATTTTTTAAATTATATGAGTAGATGAAAAATTTAGAAAAGAAATTACTTTTATAAATACTTAATAAAAAGTAACTAAAAATAGGTTTTTTTTTCAAGCATCAACGCATTTTCCTATTGAATTTTAGAAGATACTGGCGATATACTGAGTAATGAGCGAGGAAATGTTTTAATAACTCAGCAAATGAATAATGAACGGCTTGGAGCTCATCCAAATTAGCTGCATTTAAAACATCAGCTTTATGACCATTGACCCAATTATTGGTATGATGATGATTAGTTATGTAGATAAAAGCAAGCAGTCAAGAAAGCATAAAAAGAGTGTAGCGAACCAGTTTTGCTCTTTTTTTACTATCGTAGAAGTGAATTATGTTTAGGCACTCTATATAGGTAAAAATTAGCACGTTCTTTTTTAAATTTTTGCTCGTAAATAAAAATAAAAAGAGGAAACAAAAATTTTCACACCTCTAATATTGGCAAAAGGCACAACGAGTTTCTCATCAGGTGTAGAACCATTCCATTCAACCCGATCTGTATAAACAGAAATGCAGCCAACTGGCGAACGGGCTGCACCCGATGAACGATACTTTACATGCTCAATCAGCACAAGTAAATCACTGCTATCTTTTCCAGCCATTTACAATCCAATTTTATGGAAATAGAACAATTAAATTCCGATAAAAAAATAACAAAGTTCCAAACTGTCAAACTGAATTAATACCTGCTAAAATCGAAAAACCCATTTTTGCTCACACATCTAAAAAAAATGATTCAAAAACAAAGTTTATTATCAAAGCATGAAATAATCGCACATACAATAATTCGTCTAATGAGCATGTGTGCGTGCATGTGCATGAGCATGTGTGCGTGCATGCCTGCACATGTCAATGCCTCTGCAGTGGAACTTAAAGTTCGCTAGTTTTTTATTTTACTAGAAGGGACATACTTTCCCTTCCTTCCATTTTTTCACATTTTCTTATTTATTTACAGCACTGTTCATCCGTTTTAGTGCGTTTATGTTCGTTTTGCCTTATTTTTTCCCTTCATATGCGCACCATTGTTTCTTTGATTTTTCTTTAATTTCTTTCTGCCATCAAAATGGTTTTTTTTTTTTTTTTAAATAATCAACGTAAAATAATTTCGTAAAATATAAACGCCGATTGTTTAATTGAATGAATAAAATGCAAATTTAACCAAAAAATAAGAGTTCCGTTTTCTCCAAAATTCGACCAGTGAAGAACTTCAAAAATAATTTAAACCCCCTTTAACGAAACGCGTTTAATTGGAACCAACCAAACCCCATCCGACTGAAAATTACAATAGCAATAAAAGCCAAATCATGCAAAATAGTAAGAAATTTAATCTATGAGGAGAGCTGTCATTTAGTAGAAAGTGGCAAAACGCGGTCACTGCAGATCTCCTAGTGGGCATTTTCATACAGACGCCTTCTTCTGCTTTTAAATACACTGAATAAAATGGGGAAGAGGGTATATAATGGGAATTTTTACCTGTGGTAAAGTTTACACAGATCCCACTAATCTTTCGAAATCAAGAATTAGCTTTTTTTTAAAGTATTTTATGAAATCTGTGCTCCATCTGGACTTCAACTGTAGAATTTTCGGCCTAGAAGACTAATGCTGGGGCCATAACTGAGGCCATAATTGGTACCTCTTTGTTACTGGTACGAAAATTTGTTTCATTCGCATTTTCATTCTATCCTCCGGACTATTTCTTCACCACTAAGTGGCTATAACCAATTGTAATGCGTCTTAAGTTGATATTTCCTTGAATATTTCCTATTTTAGTTGCAGATCTCCATTTCACTTTACAGAGCATCATTTTACGTTCTTTGGATTTTTCTAGCATCCTCCTAAATCACAATTGGCTGATTAAAATCCATTTTCACTTCTAAAGTGCGATTTGTTGAAGCAAGACTGGCACCCCTACGCGCAATGTGTCAGGGTATCATTATTTGTCGATTGGATAACACAGCTGAAGAATTTTCCATTCTTCAGTTCTGCTTCGTTTTAGGCTGAATGCTTTAGTAATAATGGCTTAATATTAAGTATTTTAATGACTACACTGCAATTGCCTGTTTGTTGGGTAGTTCGGATTAGATTAGTAAACATTTCACTTTAGATTACTCATCTGTGAAGCTTCAAGTCTACAGTTTAGGCTTCAAAATTAAAAGCCTCCTGATTTAGAAGATAGGTATTTATAGTATTTAATTAATATGCTAATGAAAAATTAATTTGCAACTGAAAAAGAACTGGAAAAAGCAAAAAGTGCGAATCATTTCAGTAATGAGTGGTGCAGAAATTGATGAAAGGGTAAATAGTCGAGCTGGCTCCTAGGTTTTCAGTTCTTTTCTCTTGCCAGCAGTAAACGTGCTATTAAAATGAAGTATGGATGGCGCTGAGCATCCATTCTATATCCAAGTGAGGCGATGGGTTATTATCACAATGGCCGCTTGAGCCAGAATTCGTTACAGATGCCTTTAGGTGAAGAAGATCCGCAAAGCGGGTCTCGAAAACGGTACTTTTTCGCTTGTTTATTTGCTGCTCAAATTTTCCTAAATAATTTATTCCTCATAAATAATTTTCTAATTTTTTTTCATCGAAAATTTACTTTATTAATGCAGTTCTTGCCATCAGTAGGTTTTAAAAAGCATTTCACAATTTAACTTGTGGCCTATAATTTTTCCTTTGGAATTAGAATGAATCTAAGATAATTAAAATCTGCTAATTCTTCAACCAGTGATGAATGAATTATAAAAATAGCCGTTTTAGAGCGTTCGAGGTGATGATAGACGAAGATTTCACGTCGACCATACTGAGCGAAGTCCTATTTGGCATTCGAACTAAAAATAAAATACCATCTCAATACATTTTTCATTATCGGTTTAAAAAAATATTTTATCTGTTCATTCACCTTTTAAATATTTATTTTTAATATATTTTGTCGACCATCGACTTCATCTAAAATAAATTATTCAAAATTATTCTATTAAATGGCAAATTTGATAACCAAATAATGGTCGGCCGTTTTGTGTAAAAACACTTAAAACATAAGTTGTCGATGGTCGAATACAAAGTATTATTAACAAAAGAAATGGTAAATATAAATGGTGTCATTTCTGCATCAGCTAAATGAATCAAATCGAGTACGAACTGCAAATTTGCAAATCAGTACTTCGCTCAATCTTCACTTTTTTACAAGCTCAGTACAAGCTCAGTAAACCACATAAGGCAATAACATTTCTGCTTGGGCTGACTCGAGTGGCTATTGGGAAAAGAGCTCTTCTCCGGAGAGTCAATTGCGCATAGAAATAGTGGATTTACATCCTGCCTGCCGTGATTGATATCCTTTATTGACATCTTTTCTCTCGTCAAGAATCGAGCCTATGATCCTTAGATGAAACAAAATACCACTCGGCTGCCATTATCTTATCGACAACCATACTGATAAACATTACATAATCTATAGTCTATTTATTTTCTATTTATTCTATTTATAAATTCTAAATAAATTATAAATTTATAAATTCTAAATAAAAAATTGAAAAAATTTGTAATCGTAAATTTGTAATAAAATTTGTAAAATTGTAAAAATTTTGAACAAATAGATTCGACCCCAACATAAATCAAAAAATAATTTTAAATAATAATTTAATAATTATTGTTAAACGATACGGAGAAATGAAATTGATCACCAGAAATTATTTTTAATTTAGTAAAAATAATTTGTCACATTCAAGCATTTTGCGATAATATTCAACTTTCAAACCATTGCAACAGTTGCTCAGTCGATTTATTGCTTTAGGGTTAGGAGTAGGACAATAGGCTTAGGCTTAGAAAGCACAAGCCTAATAAATTATCAATTAGTTTAGAAAAAATGAATTCGTGAATTTTCTGGAATTAAGCTTTAAGACATTTAGATTTCCGTGAGAAATAGGAGATTTCTTCATCCATTCGACTTGTACTGAATTGTTTGTCGCAACATTGTATTTTAGAAAGAGTATGACTCGATTCTTGTTTTTTTCAACTCCTTTGCTTTTTAAATCTTGACTTCTGATTTGAGAACAAATAAAGATTCTGTACGACCTGATGCTTTTTCCTTCCTGATCTATACAAAACGTATAATCTATAATTTATATTCTTGGTAAATCAGTATAGTTACCATAAAAACGAAAATCCGCCTTGCTATATGGCTGCGAAACATGGCCAGTGAGAATGGGGAAAATTAAAAAGCTATTGCTTGACTATTCATGTTTAAGATGCATTTTACGGGTCCGCCAAGCGGAAAAAATCTCACATGATTACATCCATTCTTCTCTCAAGTACCGCTTGTATTAACAGTACCATTATAGACCATCCTCTTCATTGGGTAAGGGCACGTTCTTTTTTGGCCATTGCAAGAGTTGACACATCTTTCGTTACTTGATAAACAAGGCTCGGATTGATATATAGATCTGAAATGATTTTAAACGTATAGGCGGACCAGCGATATATGGATTTAGACGATGTAAAAAGAAATGGGTTCTATTATTGCCAGCGATGGTATCAAATCAAACTCAGAAGAGGATGGTCTGTAAAGGTATTGTTAATGAACTTATGCTTATAGCCAGCGGAGCCAGCCTAATCAGCCTAATCAGTAATGAGAGTTGTTAGAAGATGATGCTTTCAATAAAATTTAGTTTTAAATCTTATTTATTTATTTATTATTTATTATTTAATCTTATTTATTATATTTATTCTCAGTTTAGGTATTCACCATATTTTTATTTCAGAAATAGTTTTTTACTATCCACTTAAAACGAATTTAAGATAATCGTGAGCACGATGCATTTATTCAGTCCTTGTGTAAATAAACGTTTCTATTAGCATTAGCAAATATATTTTTGCATACCTCCTTCTATGGTCGAAAACCTTATAAGCAGCCCTTCATCGATATTTTCATTTATATTCGAACGCATCCCTTTGGTTTAGCAATTTCACCGAATTATCTACTAGTAGAACCAAGGAATGATATTTGAGTTGCATTCACGTGCCGCCGCTTCCCTTTTATTTTATTAAATTCAATGGAAACGGCTGACATTACGAGGATTACGAGAAGCATGTGTTCTGAAATGTATCTCCATAGCCATGCATCAGCATAGATTAAAACTTTGATCAGTGAGAAATGCATGAAATTTTCTTTGATTTAATTCAATTCCAGTATTATTTTATAGCGATAATTTAAATAGCAATTAACAGCACCTACTATCGAACTACCATAATCACCTTCTTTACCTTATCTTAAAAGTTACTTTAGTTCGGTTCTTCATCTCTTCTAGCGATATTTTCTTTTCTGCTTTGACTTGCTTCACCCATTTTTTCGAGGAAAAGTCGCTTTAGGAACGAATTATATGCGATTCTTCAGCACACCCAGTTTGAGCACACAAAGTTTGCTTCTGCCGAAGGGTCGAAGGATAGGAATCTGCCGCATTTGAGGATTTATGGTATCTCAATCATATTATTGCACTACGATCATATTATTTTATTTAAATATAATCGTATCGGATTTATGAAAACTTTTTTATTTGCGGAAATTCGAAAGTTGCAATAAGTGATGCGCACACTTACTTTAATCGACACCAAAAACTGGATTGTCATAATCGTTTTATTCATTTATTTATTCATATTTTCAAACGGATTTACTATTTGCGAAGATTTCGCGTGGCCAATATTTCCTTTTTTCAATATGATTGTACTGGTTCGCTTAGCACTGTTGAAATTATTTTTCTCTTGATTTTTCTTCTCTCCATATCGTGGTTCATGCTGTTTTACGGTTGACTTATCGTCGTGCCAGATCATTCGAAAAGATTCTGGCAAACAATTTGGAAACTTCTACGATTCGATCTTGTAAGATATCTTTATCATAAGATATCTGACAATTTTGTCTAAAGGAGTCTTTATCTAATAGCATTATTCGTTACTTCTGATTTATTTGGCTCTACTAATCCGATAGTATGTAGTCAAAAAGTCATTTGGGAGCGAAAGAACAAATAGTACAAATAAGTCTTTGGCACCAATCGGACTTTACTTTTGTCAAAGGGCCAGAATCGAATCCTTGTTTGACATTAGTCGAAACTATTGTACTATTGGTCCATCCCGGCTATCGGTAAAATTTTTTGGAGGTTAAACACTGCAAAATATTTGCAACCCGTCAGAATTTTTTGAATATGATTTTGATGTCTTTCAAGGAATTTCTTTCATTTTTGGTTTAAGGATGCACAATTTATTTTATAAAATTTCATTTGAATTTCTTCATCTTCGAAAATCTCTTTGATGATTCTGAGGTGAAAAATAAATAAATTCAGAGAAAATCATTTTTATGATCCTTCAAAATCTTTATTATAAACGATATACGACGATTTATCTTCGATTTTTGCATTGTTAATGCAAGCTTGAAGAAAGATAATCTGATAATTTAAGAAAAACCAGAATTTTCAAAGGATTGCTCATTCATAAGTAGAAAATTCATGGAAGGGGAATTTGTACCATCTTTTCCGCTTTCATGTATTGCTTATAACCTATTTGCTTTGTTTTTTTTTACATTTTCATCACTTATTCTTCCAATAGCTCGAACCCTTAGTTAGTGGTTAGTAGTTAATAATCTAGGTTGACTACACTGTCTCTACAAGGCGTTTCCATGCCACTTGATCTGATGATAATCTCTTAGCGATTAATAGAAGAATCCAAAATCACCGATTCACACTCACACTAGTATTATCGCCATTTTTAGAAATCCCTTAGAAAGTGCCTATCAATGTAAGTGTCTCTTATATCTCTTCTTCTCTCATATAAGCCAAAAATAAAATTTTAATTAAAAACAAAACACTTGATAAGTCTGAGATAAATGAAAAATTCGCTCCGAAAATTTGTAAGATTCAGAAACTGGTTCAAAATTTGCTTGACAAGCACCACTGGTGAAATGTGGCTCTTCGATAAAAAATTGCATTATTCATTTTCGAAATGTGAAAGTTTTTCAAATAATGAATTAAATGACAAATTGTTTGAATTGTTTGGGTTGACGCTTTTTTGAAGCTTCAAATGAGTGAAGCAAATCAATTATTCAAGGTTCATAGCCTTCAGTAAATTATATGTGCCGATATGGCCAAGTGGTGCATTATTTAGATTAACTTTAAGCATTGCGTTTAGAGTCTGCGTATGACAAGAATAAACCTGCCAAAAAAAGCAGAAATACTGCTGGGGATTTGCCTGCATTTTTTAAATTTCATAAGCGATTATCGTGTGAAAGTGTCCCTAGTAGCCAATGTAGCAAGTATAACATGGTGAGCGAATGACCTTTACAGTTTAGATTTTTGGTGAATTTGAGATTCAGCACGCTTAAATTCGATAAATTTGCCTTAAGAAATTTGGTAATCATTAAATTGTAATCATTGTCTGATGTTGTCTTATGGTATTATAAATTGGTATTTAAGCTGCTCGACACTGATTGTTATCTTCTTGATAAGGGAAAATATCATTCGAGATATGAGGATGATATAAATATTTACATCATCAAGTGCGTAACAATTTCAAGCGTTGTTTCTTTTTCGTATCACCAATACCATCATTTCACCGTCCTTTGGCCTTCAATTGAACATAACCCATTTATTTTTCGCCCTATTTTTCTACTTTAATATTGATAAACTGCTGAAAAATTTTCTTTTATCAATTTTTTTTTTTGAGTATTTGAAATCTTTTAAATAAAATCGTTATTATTTTCTAAAATCAATCAAACGATAAGAAAAGATTTTTTTTTACAAAATTCAAAATTTTTTTTTACTAAATAATCGGTTCAACGATTTCTATAATATATAATAATGAAGGGCAGGACAGTCGAGTGGTTTTTGCTTAGATTACCGTTTCGAGCATCACGGCTCAGACCTTCCTCTAACGCAAGTAAGCCTGTTATTGAAAAATCTAAGTAATGCTGGCGATATACTTGCACTTCTATCGTCAAGTGACTCCGAGCGAAATTTTCCATCATTCTAATAGCCAGTGGAGCGAGCTTAACTAGGGAACCAACCGCCTGCAGTCTTATCGTTTTACATGCGTTTTCCTTTTTTCTTTAAATTTTGGTTTGTTTTGGGAATTTTCTCCTTCTCTAAGTAGTGTGATAAATAAAAACGATCTTTCTTCACTGAAAGCTTTAATGCTTTTCCCAATTAAACGAAGTCTGCCACTGGATTCTAAACTGGATTTGTCACTTCATCATACTAGGCTTATCAGTGGTCCATTTGAGAAATTGGCGTCTTCATTTTTTTCAGTTTAGCGCTTTTGCAACAAATTTAAATAAGTGGCTCCCGTAAATTTGTAGAAAATTATTTGTAGAATATCTTCATAAAACGAGTAAAAATTTTTTATAAATTATTGGAAAGAACTGCATTAACTTTATTTATTCAATTCATTTTATTTATTTTGGCATTTGGAAATGATTGCTAAAAAGTGCGATGCTTAAAATAAAAGTTTATTAGGAATTCTGCTACTGGTAATCTTAAATGAATAGCCAGCAGCCACCATTCCTGCCCTCCATTTCCTCCATTGCTGGGATGAGAAGTACGATGAGAAGTACTGCATCGCCAGCACCATCTGGTTCTCTTAAATTTACAGATTCAGGCACCGAACCGTGGTGAATCCGAGTCATAATGAACCAAAAGTGATCATTTGAGCAAAACCCTTCGCTAATGTCAATCAGTTAGGGGTCGTTGTTTATCATTTTCATCTGTAAACATTCATTCATATATATAAATTAGTTGCAATCAACGACATTTTCGTTTACAAAATGATTTCTTAGAAATAATTTCAGTTTAATAATATGGTCAATGAAAATAATTCGTCAAATATTGATTTTTTTGATTCGATGCGAAAAATTTTTGATAGCGTTGATTTGAATCGGTCTGGATTCGCTCCTTACGAACGGGTTGGTTCTTCTCAGCTTTCTACTCGTTCGATTCAATTTGTCACGATCGCCATTCGTATAAAACGAATTCTTTGGTCTTAATTGGCCATTGGCCATTAGTGGAGAGCAGTTGAATTTAATAATGTTCGCCTATCGTTCTTCCGTGCCAAAAAACTTTCAGACGGTTCCCAGCGCCGCATGAGTTTTACTTTTAATGACGCTTTCGTGCACGCTCATTGTTTAGTCTCTGTCGAATCAACGTTCCTCTCGATCCTTCTTTGCAGTAGCGATCTGAATTAGCAAGCCCACCTCTGGACGAGTTCCAATGTTCGTTATCGAGTGATTGTTAGATTCCCCATCCAGCAGAGTTCGTCTGCAGAGTTGGAGCTACCTTCCCTAACATTTCGTCTGATAAAGTTTAAATAAACCACCTAAGGATTTTATGCGCCAATTAATAAAATAATTATAAATAAATATCGTAAATAAGATTTATTTTAACAAGGTGGCGCTTCATGTTTGGGTTTGGCATCTGCTTGAATGCCCAGATTTGTTTGAGAATTCGCATGAAGCTTCGGGAGAATCTTATTACGCTAAATATTCCAGCTGTGTGCCAAATGTGAAGATCGTCATTTTTCTCCTCAGTTTCCTCCTTCATTTTTCACCTTTGTTCGACGCTTTTGCCTTCCAAATGGTTGTATAACATTTGAAAGCTTTATAACAGCTGCGTACCAGTCCTTTACCGAGCAGAATTCGCATAACCACGATGTGTAAGTCTTTTAAAGAATTCAGTGAGAAGAATGTGGAGTTCGATTTAAATTTAAATCATAAATTTTCAAATTTTGAATATGCTAAATGTCGAAAATTGAGGTATTTTATGAGATTTTGTCCAGTCGGAATAATAAGAATATATAATAAAATATCTTCAGTGAGAAAAGAAAATTTGGACCAAAAATGGGGCTGATTGGCTTGGATTGGAAAACTGTTCATAATAATCAGTCTGCTGTAACGAGTAAAAATGCACTGGAGAACTGTTATGACGTACAATTAAGAGCTAAAAAAGTAAATGTGTTCGAACATTAATATTTCTTCCAGCCTAACCAGTTATGGTGTGAGCTGTTGAAAGAAGAAGGTATTTCTTCCAGCATTTACCATTTTCGGTTTTGCTGGCTTCACTTTATCCTAGTTGAAGATCACTTCGCCATGCACCACTCGGATTTCGCTTTTAAGGATGGGTGATTTACTACAATCAAGGAAAAGGAAGGTTAAGTAGAATTTATGAATCGTCTTTTCGAATTGATTCTTAGGTTATTCTGGAATTAATTGGTTAGACATCATGCACTTTAAGAAATTTTGTCGCTTTTACTCCAGTAATTTGTTTGACTTTTTGAAAAATTTTCATAACTTGGATGTCATCATGCATTTAATTTACAACTCCAGTTTCTCAGTTTTTTGAACTTTTTATTTTTAAAACCAGTCGCGGCCATGAAATTCTTTAATTTCAGAGTTCTGCCGCAGAAGATCAAAAAAAGCAAAATGAATACAATCGATCATCGTATATCCGGTATCGACCTCAAAGTACCAATTCTTTTGCTTCAATCGGTTAGAATCTTTCCTTTTTTCATGGATTATGATTGGTGATCATATTTTTCTTGAACTTTGGTGAAAAATTTTAAATATCTCGCATAAACAACTCTCTAAAGGACGGAACTGATCTCATTCAATAATGACGTATATATGATGGTCATTTTACTTAATTAACTCAGTTTAGTATCATCGGGAATGGGTGAAATCCAGAATTCGTATGCTTCGCCCAAATCAGTACCGCTTGTTAGACCAAATTTTCACGAACAGCCCCAGGTGGTAAGTATTGTCAATATACCAATAAGGTTTTTTTTCCCTACTTTCCGATTTTTAAAGCAGCTTGACTCTTGGATATATAAAAGGGTCTTAATGAATGGATTATTGGCAAGACACTATTTAAAAGCATTCAAAAGCATTGGGAAATTCAAAATCCAAATGTCATTTTGCATGGAAAATAAATGAATCGCACGAATTCATATGGACTTTTTTGTCATATCTAATAACTGTTTATTTGAAGTTTCCTTTAGCTTGAGATTTCCGTTGAATGCATTTAAAATGAAATGGAATGGGAAACACACGAAATATCAAAGAGATGGCGATGCTCGAACCAAAAATTGAACCCATATTACTGAAATTCAGAGTTTCATGAATGGGTTTCCAAATAAATTTATAAAAAATCAGCATTTACTGCTTATATGGTTGTGCTGAAATGAATTTTTTCTATAGTGAATAGGAGATAGTCTAAGCCGTAGTCAACTTTTGTTTGCAAACTTATATTAGGTATTTCACAGCATATTTGACACATTTTAGCATAGGTAACATGGAAAAATTAGCAATGATTTAGCAAAATTTTTTCTTTTTTGATATTAATAGCGAAGTGATTTACGATTTATTTATTTTGCGTCTCTTCTACAGCTCATTACACAATATTTCAGTCGAGCTCAAATTTTCTGGGATAATTGTATTCTTTTGGAGTATATGCATGAGATCGGTTCTAGGCTAAGCCACATATTTCAAGTATCAAGTAGTCCTGAAAAAATTTTGATTATTTCTGCTTTTTCCTTTTTTTTGAAATCTAAATCTGCGTTGATTTTTTATATTTTATCTCTAAAACAAATAAGTAAATAAAAGAAGTAAGTGGTTAGCGCCCAGTAATTTTGTCATTCTGAATATAGAAATACAAAGAGGTCCCAAGTACCCTCCGGATTTTTAAATAAGTCTGCTTCTGTCTTGGCTCTTACGAGATGCTCGAAATGATAATTTTGAAAAAAAATGACTCTGCTATTCTGTCCCATACGTATCATTTTGAAATGACTGCCGGTTTAAAAAATTTCGCATTTCAATTGATATCGTCTAAAATGGTTTTAAGTTAAAAAGGCAAATACCTTTAATGTAATAGTGCCTTTAGAATGAAAAGCATTGAAGTCGAGTTCGCCACACAGCGATGAAAGCCTCTTTTCTTGTTTGAAACCTCTTCCTTCGATAGTTGGTGAGCCTTTTCCAGATTTTGACCGACCGAAAGCAAGTGGCCATTTTATGTCACTGTTAGCAGCAAATAGATTGATATCATCGTAAATATGTAATTCTGTAATTTCGGGGTTTCTTTTTCCCATCCCTTCTTCAATTAATTGTCTGATATCGCCATAACCATTAATTTTATTTCGTTTACCGGGTCGGAAATGAGCTCGTCCAACTGCCATCGATCGCTTGAATCTACCTGCTACGTTTGCATCATTTAGAATCGAGGTTTCAATCTCCTTCTCAGCATTCTTATCCTTAATTACGTGAAGAACTTAAAATTTAGAATCATTCGATCATTGCTGATTTGTCTTTCTTGAGTGATAGCGATTATATATATCAAACTTATCAAAAAAAGAAGTTAAATAAATGGTAAATGTTAATGATAAAGATATAAAGACATAATACTTGTTATATATCGAGATATCAATAAATAAATATGCTAAAACATTTTTGCAGTTTTTTATCAAACTATTAAAAACGACCATCTGGAGGGCAGAGCAGAGTCCAAATTTTTAATCTTTTTCAAAACATTCCTTATTTTCCATCTCAGTTCCTGACAATTATGTTTATTGGATAATGCAAAGAGTGTGAAAAAAGAATATTTTAGCAAAGAAAGAGAAAGAGTTAATACCATTCGTTTCTTTCAAAAAATATGGTTGTTGATTTCTGTAAAGTTTTTAAACCAAATATACATCTCATTAAATATTCTGATGTCTGCCTTAAGATGGACATCAAAAATTGATAAAGTACTATTCGATGACCACTAAGCAGTGGTTATAGTAAAGCAAAGATAAAGTACTATTCGATAAAGTACTATTGATAAAGTACTATTCGATAAAGTACTATTGATAAAGTACTATTCGATGACCACTAAGCAGTGGTTATAAGCAAAGAGATGGTATCTAAAAAGTTGTTCATTTTTTGATAAAAACATTAAATATAAATCAAGCAAGCGGCTTTAACCAAGCGGCTTGTTTCATTAAGAATTCATTTAATCGTTCGTGAAGTATGACACTTCGTACGGCAATAATTTTGCATTTAATCAAATTGCTTTGAAAAGAATAATTTATTATTATTTATATAAGTTTTTTCTCGCTTGCATTTCTGGAGTCAAATTTTTGCATGTGCTTCTTAGATGTCGCCAGATTTACTTGAGAAATATTGCTTTTATTGGCTATCCTTTCCTACAAGCAAGCTGAGACGTTTTTTATGGAATCATTCCAGTGGTATGAATATTTTGAAAATATAAAAATACCGTACCGTTGATGGTTCTGTAGCATTACATTTGCGCTGATCAAGTGAGTTTGAAACTTTGAAGAAAATAAGTACTAAGGTAGGTAGGACAACGACCGATCTGAAAGCCATGTTTTGCATCAAATAGGCTGTTTATATGAATGATAAGTTATTACATGAGGACAACCACGCAAAATCTAGTCGACATGCAATTCCGCTTTTATGAGCCGTCGATAATCTCATTCAATTATCCGCAACTACGGTACATTATCGCATGTAGTCGACCGTTGAAAAAAGAATTATTCCATTAAAATAGCTCTCCGAGAATTTGAGTTCACTCCTATAAGAAAAAATTTTTCTATTAAGCTAGCAAATTTATTTGAATTCGTTTTCATGTTCACATTCACTCTATGTTTGCATTCATCACATTCACATGCTTTGACAGATATTAGACAATTCTTAATTTGTACAAAAAAATTTGGAAACAGAAATTCCATTGGCCGAGTCTGCAGTTCATTTCATTTCATTTTTGAGGCGATATTTTATATTTTTATAGAGCGAAGTGAGAAATATTGAAGTGAATTACTGAATTCGGATTTTTAAACTTAAAGCGAACTTCACGAGGAAATTTAATATTTGTTGGATACTTAATATAAAACCGTGAAAATGGACCGGCAAAATGACTTCGGATAATGACGGATTTATATGTTGGTATATGTGAGCGAGACTGATCATTTCTCCGCATTTAAAAGGACGAGTTTATCAAATTTTTTCACAAAAAATCATGAAACCTCGAAAGATGTGATTATCATTTTTCTAGTTTCCACGAAAGGAAATTTTTCTGAATGGAATCAAATAAGATTTGCCAGAAATGCTTTAAAAAAAAAAGAATTAAATTTACCCTTTGTATTGGTTGGAAGTCAGAAAAATTAGAAAAGATTTAAATTAATTGAATATGGATGGTGATTTGTATTTTTATGGTTCTCCTTAACTGATAAACGGCTTCTCTGGCGAAAGTTGTCAATTAGTAGAGCCAGCCAAATTAGAAAATTAATACTGTAGAAAGTTTAGATGATTTTAATTTGATAGGAAGATCTATGTTATTATGAGCGATACAGACAGGATTTGAGAGAAAGCGGTGGTTTCGGCTCCAAAAAATTTTTTTCATTTTAATGATATCGTACTAAAGGAAATGAATGATACAGGCAAGACAAGAATGCTTATTGAACGAAGAAAAGGATGTTATCAATCGAGGCGTGGATAATGCTAATAAATTACTGGCTTGGTACAATGATCGCTTGAAATCACTCGAAAAACGATCGGAATTATTGAAGAAAGGGATGGTGCTGCTGGTGGGTTTCATTTTGAATGAATCAAGTGAAAATCAATGCGATATTTGACAATTTTCATTAAATTCGTCTAAAAACTTTTTTATAATAAAAATTAATAATAATGATGAACAATTTTCATTTTAGAATCCTGCTGTGCAAGAGCAAAAATTTGATTACCTTCGAGCACATATCTCTGAATTAAACAGGAGGATAACTTCACTGATTAAAACGAGTGAGTACGGTTTTCCAACACATACAAACTTACAGGTTCGTAACCTAACATTAAAATGATAATAGCAAATGGCAAATGTAATTCTAATTCTATATTTATCTTAAGAGCGTCAAGCAAAAGATAGGTGATATACTTGAAAAAAGGAATTATAAAATTGACAAAAGCATCAAATGATGGAGCAGCCAAGTATCATATCATAAAAGACCAAAACTAAAATGCTTTTAAAACTAGTCACAGGTGGTGAAAAACCATTTGTGTAGGTAAATGCTTGGCGCTTGTGCAGTGCTTGCCTCGCGGATTATTACGATAAGAAATTTCGGTCACAGTATAAGCGCCAACATAATCCATATTTTTTTGATAAGAGGTCTGCATAAGACTTTGAACCCTAACATTCGAGATGATGACCTCAGTAACCACTCGGCTGTTCCACTCCAGCTTTATCTAAATGTTTTCTTCCAGTAGTTAATACTTTTAATTAAAAATTTTATTGATAAATTCAAATATTGCCTAGTTTCAAACCATTATCTCTAGTAACTTTTGCAATTTAAACTAAAAACCAGATCGTGCACAATCATGCATATTCGTGTATTGAGGAATGCTTTCAAGCGAATGGTACCAAAAATTTTAGGACAAAAAAATTGTTAAATGATGAAATAATAAAAGATTTCAGATGCGCGCACAAATGCCACCTGTAAACGATAATCGAAGTAACTATCTGCAAAAGCAAAACAAAGTGCTCTCGCAAGTATCGCTTCATATTAAAACCATAGATAACTTTCTATCATTACATAAACAATTTAAAATGCCCTACAGCCATTTCGTAAACTTTCCATTATTTATGAATTTCTGCCAATAAAAAGCCAATTTTTTAGGAATTAATAGACAAAGAAAAAATTATCGATCAGCTTCTTAAGGGAAAAAGTGGAATGTTGGACAATAAAATCGAAAAGCCAAAATCGCAGACAAACGGGTAAAACCTTTCCAAACAGTCAAAGTCACAGTCAAGGAAATTAATTCATTCAAATAACGCTTGGGACAATTTGTTAAAATTCAAAATCGTGCCGATTAGATATGTTTGGATAGCTTCAAAAATGGATGAAATGCTTTCTCATCTGTGGGAATAAATTTTGATAAATCCGAGAATATTAAGTTGACCGAGAATATTAAGTCAATTATCTTTTTCATTCTAACAATTAAACCACAAAACGAATTCTTTTTAAATGGAAATGTGTGCCATCAATTTTTTGGAAGAAATATTAAGGAATCATTCCAACTTTAATCAAAAACATGACAATCTAACATCAAATCTTTTGCAAAATTAAAATTTTCTAATTCCTTTCGTCACAGCTCATTTGGCAGTAGAAGTATAACTAAAATTTGTTAGGAATCGAATCTATAGTGGCTTCACTCTCTAGTCCAAGCAATTGTCCCTCTCTATCCCTATCTCTAAACCAATCACGCTTCTTTTTATTACGAAATTTCATGCAGGTACACGCGCTGTAATGGCTCTCTCTATTTAGCGAGATTTGTGAAAATAAAAAAAGTGCTAATTTATTCAAATAAAGATAAATGTGAACATATCCATAAAATATAGATTCCTTTTCAATTTTAAAAAAAAATTAATTACAAAAATAGAAATCCAATTGTCTGTTTGGTTCTGGTTCTGTGGTCCTTTTCACTTTTCTGTAAATTTTTAAGTCATCAAGAGCAGCAAAAAAAATAAGTATTTGCAGAAATATATGTGTAAGAACAGCTCGAGTGCGTCCTGTTTTCCAGAAAATCGCTTCACAAACCGTTCCTAATTCTCCGTCAGTACGAATGCAAGGAACGTTAATGTAGCTCTAATAATACACAAACTTTGTTGGTATTTGCAACTTATGGAACGCTGAACATGAAATTTTTATAAAAAACTCACCACTGGGAAAAATATGTAAATTAAATTCGCGCTGTAATGGCTATCTCTATTTAGCGAGATTTGCGAAAATAAAAAACGTGCTAATTTATTCAAATAAAGATAAATGTGAACATATCCATAAAATATAGATTCCTTTCCAATTTAAAAAAAAATTTCTTCATCATTGAGGAGATTCATTATACAAAAATAAATGAGCATTCCTAGTTCTATCAAGTAAAATCTTTCATTAAAAGCTAAGTCTTCCAATTATTGTAAAAAGCTCACCAGAGATATATTTTATCAGAAACAATCCCTTAACAAACACGTAAGTTTTGTTTTAGAAGTATTTAATATATAAGTAATCCTTTTAAAAATATTCAATTTAACCAAAAATCAAAAAATGAAATAAACATGAAATAAACAAAAATTTAGTAGAAACCGATGCAGTAAAGAACTTCAACAGTTTTGCATTAAAAAAAAAAAATCATGAAATATATAACAATTACAAGCAAAAAGTTCAATTAAATTTGAAAAAATATTTTCTTGAATAGCTGAGTGGAAAACTGCAATATTACGAAAAAACACAGGAGAGACCACTATGTAAATCGATTAGAATACGCTGAATTCAACTGAAAAAAGATAAATCGAATTCAATAAGAAAGAATTCTTTCAGGAAATCACTGGGTATGGTAAAAAAATCTTGACAAATATTAAATGAATTTCCATCTTAACAATGGAACAGAATTTTGAATACCAATATTAAATATATAGAAGCAATGTGAAATGGAAACAGTTTAGATAAAGCAAAAATACCTTTGATGCTGAGTTTTTTCTTTCGAATTTACCTTCTCACCAACAATGGGAAATGGACTAACTAGCGGTGAATGGACTTCTCTTATATTTTTAGCTAACAGTTTTGCATTCTGAACGGATTTATCACTATCAATTTTGGAATCGGAAGATTCTTCAGTTACAGAAATATCATCTGTTAATGAAGAGGGTGGATAAGGTGAAATGCCTTCAAAAAATTTTTCCAAGGCTTCCATCTTTTCTTCCTTTTTCAACATTTCGACCATTTTTTTAATTTGAATAGCGCTTATTTTTATATCTTTGTGTTTGCTAAGCAAATCGATGATCTGTAAAAAATGGAATAAAATAATTTATAAATAATATAAAATAATGGGAAAGAATAAATTTAAGTATATTTCTGACAATATACCCCAAAAGTAGGTGTAAAAATTTTTAATAGAATATTCCATATTAGATTTATAATGGTATTTTGAATGTCAAAGTAAAGAACAGAATTAATATTGGATATTTTCAAGGTATTAACCTGCAGAACAATGTTAGGATCTATTATTCCATCAGTATCATCATCAAAGGCTCTTGCAATCTAAAAATAAATTCATGAGTCGAAACATATGTTCGAAGAAACAAAATGATGGGAAAAAATTGAACAATTATAATATATTGATATTATAAGAATGATTCTTTTTTTTTAATTTAGTTATTTAATGGACGACAATGTTTCACCAATCAAAATGTTACATTTCTTCCAGACTAAAGCAATTAGATAAATATAAGCAATAAATTTACACCGATTCTCTAAATCTGATAGAAAAATCAAAAATTTAAAAAAAAAAACTTCGAACGATTAAATTTACGAAAATGCCTCAAATAATGAAGAAAAAAATGGTACAATCAAGGAAAAGAAAAAATTACTTCTTCGAATACTTTGCGTTTTTCATAAGAGAGATTTTGCAAACTCTGTAGTGATTTCAGTACATCATCGACGTGCAACGCAAAATTAGATCTGCAATCTAATAAACAATTATTTAAAAAAAAAACAGAACGATTTCATTTTTCCAAAATTCAAGATATTATATATTATATTAGATATAAAAACAAAAAATTCAATTTAATCTAAAAAATACAGCCAAATAAAAAAAATAGAAATAAAAATAAATAAAGATAGATGAAAAAAAGGAATTTTAATTAATGTGACTTGGCTTTATTTTCATCTTCAATCGCAGGATCTGCAACAGTTTCTGCAATATGACGACGTTTTTCTTCCAATTTAGCGACTAAAGAATCGACATTTGCAATAATATGATTGATACGCCTATGTAGAATTTTGGCTCCTTTTGTTTCAGTGAGATCATTCATTAACGCATCGACCTCCATTAAGTCCTAAATGGAATAATTCATGAAAAAAAATAATTTTATTTTTATAAATTTTGTTAAGAAATCTTGAACCGATTATAATGCAATTTATTGCGAAGGAAAAAGAATGTCATGAAAAAGTAAACTCCAAAATAAAAAACCTCGCGTCGTCCACTTAATTTTTCCTTTAATTCGTCAATATCATGTTTTGCCTCCAACACAACACCGCCATGAATTATATTTTCCAATGTCTCCAAATCTTTCTAAAAATATATATTTTATTGAAGGAATGCAAAAAAAATCAAATCAAAACAACTGACAACGACGAATTACACTTACACCAGCTACACTCGGTTGTTTTACCCCAACTTCAGCAGCAGCAACTCCTTCAGCACCAGAAACAATCGGTTCGCTCCCTAGCAACGTTGAAGTGTTATCTGCTACCAATTTCTATAACAATTAAAAAATAACTGAACAACTGAAAACACCAAAAGTGAAATAGAATAACTGAATTTATAGTGTTTAAGATTATCCAGTTGACTGAAGATCCACTTAAATTTTTATCGTCAAGTAAAAATCCCTGATTATACTATTAACCAACGGTGTAAGCCTTACCAGAAGTGGTAAATTCTAACCACTTAACTCATATTTCTGCAGAAACCATTGGTCAAAAAAACTTGCCGCGGGGGATTCTTGTACCGATTCAACCACTATTTTCTTAGTTTCTTCCATAGATTCTCGTTCTTTTTGCAAGCCGATTTCAATTTCACGAATTAAATCTAATCGTGCTTTATAATTGATCTTATCACCTTCAAGTTCAGTGAGTTTTTGTCGCGCTTGTTCAGCGATACCTTAAGCATTAATTGATAAATAAGTATAAAAAAAATTATAAACTGTGGTGAAAAACTTAAAACTGAAGTGACAGTAATAACAATTAAACAAATAAACAAACAAATAACAATTAAACAAATGCATTTCGAATTTTATAAACAAAGTTTAAGAATTTTAGCTTAAAAATATATGTGAGAAACGAAACTAACTACTCGGAAGACTGGAGAGAAGTGCCTTGAGACGATCTGCAAATGTTATATCTTCTGGCACATATATGGCGCGTGATAGAAGGAGAAGTGACGGCGGAACATTATCGTTTAAAGAAAGTTCTAACCATTGTTTTAGCTTAATGAAAATTTGTTTCTACAATAATTGAAGAACATACCATATTATTTCAAAATAAACGATTTCATTTGGGCCATTTTTACTAAAAATAATTTTTGGAAATAAACCTGAGATTTCAGACGAAATTCACTCATCCCGAATGAGCGCATTCCTCTTGCTCTACAAGCTGTTTGCAGATCGTTTATATTTAACACATCTACACCACCTTCCAAAGCAATTTGCTGGAATTCAAAATGGAAATATTAAAAAATTATTATAATATAAAACTAAATAGAAACTAAATAAAAATTTACTAAAAATAAAAGGAAAATAACTGAAATACATCAGAAAAACACATAAAAATCCCATTGATTTACGAGCCTTTTTTGCTATTTTATGGAATTATAATGGATGATATTAAATGATTTGGTCTAAGGGAATTAAAGTGGCAAAAAGAAAATCTGTGATGCTAATAAAAAATTACGGCATTGAGGATAAGAATATGGCTTTGAGGATAAAAGATATTTAAGAGATAAAAAAGAAGTTAGAAAAAAAAACTCATAAAGTAGAAAAATTTTGAATGGTTTTAAATCAAACTAACAAATTAAAATTACTTTCATTATAAGCGAAAAAAGAGAATGAAGTTAAAATGTATTAATAATGAAAAAGAACGAAAATAAAGTAAGCAAAATTTGAGAACGACAGAAACTAAGTGGTCTATTAATGGAAAAATCAATGGGTATTTAGTATAAAGACTTTAATGATAAAACAAACTTTGTCATCTGCTTTAAGTTCCCTCAACTTTAAATTCAACTGGAAACGAAGTATTTCAGGAGATCCTAAAGGCTGAATATCAAGCATACGACACAATGCACGAAGCGAACTGAGTGAAAGATTATCCAGAGTTAATTCATCTTCAAATAATTTTGTAAATTTGAAAAGTTCCGCATTGCTAACATAACCTCCTTCCGTTCGAACCTACAACTCTTTTAAGAATAAGAACCCAAAGAAAAATAAAAAAATATTGGCAAACTCCAAATTTCCTTTTTCTTAGTGGAAAACAAAAAATAGTTATTGTAGATTAATTCTTTAAGCATTACATTACCTTCTTCATAAACTCAGCAAACTCGAATGCTTTACTAGCTGACTGATCGGTAGATTGTGATTTCCGTACAAGGCCAATTTCAGCAATTGTATCTTGTAAAAATTTTGCCATTTCGAGCCTCACTTTTAATTTTCTGCGTAAATTTTCTTCCTAAAACTTCAAAAACATTTAATTCAAATTGCCCGTTTTAAAGAAAAGAATTATTCGAGAGAAAAGAATCAAAGTTTAAAAAACCAATTCAGAATAAAAACACGAGACTGTAATTGACAAGTAATTACTTCTTTTGTTGCATCCTTGAAAGTACTTGGAAGCATATTTGGAAATAGTTTGATGAAAAGCGGTAATGCGAATTCCATGAATGGAACAATAATGAAAACTGAGAAAGGAAGAAGTCGAAAAAGATCTGATACAGTTCGCACTAACTGCTGCCTCTCACGACGCATTAATGAATGACCACGTGCTACTCGCCAAAGATATCTTGAACTTAAACGAACCTCCAACGCTAATAATCGGAATCCATGATAATAATGTTTCAATTCATTCATAATCCTTTTCGTCAGTGGCACTTTAATGGCTATTGTTTTATTAAGATCACGCTGAAAAAAATGTGAACACTAAATTTCAATTTAAAGAAAATCTGAGATATAAGGTAAATTACAAGCGACATAATTCGTCTTTACTGTCTCGGACAGTGAAAATCAAATTATCAATTATATTTAATATCAAAGTAAAGAAACCTCTTTCGAGCGATCTTTTTCGGACTGTTCTTGTTTCAAATCATCTTTCAACATTTCTAACGTTTTCTCAACCTTCGTCTTTTCAGTCGAAGCATATCGAATCATATCAAAAGCTTGGAATTTTCTTTCACGCAGCAAATTCCTACTCGAATATAAACGAATTCTTGGACTGCAAATATTCAACAATTAGATTTAATTCGAAAAGTTACAATTCGTTAGCATCAGAACAAAAAAAAAATACCCCAATATAGTTCACAATCGAAATCTTTCGTGACCAACAATAAGAAAAAACCAATAAAAACCAATCTCATATTTTATGGGATTATTTTTCATTAAACATGAAAAATAAAATAAATTTCGCCAGCTTCACTACAAATCTTTCTTATGATGATCTTAGCAAATTTTCAGACCAATGATGAATAACATAATTGTAGCGATTTCTTTTAATGCCTATAAAAATCTTAGAAAAAGAAAGTAATTAGAAAAAAATACTAACTGAGAAGGAAATGACGAGTTTCGAGTACTTACAACAACAGCAACAATACGCCGCAACATCCCCAAAACTTAAAACTTTTCTTTCGAAAATTTTTTTGAATACCCTATTTTCACAGAGGAAACGTACAATATAACAAGATTATATCATAACTTCTTCGCTTAAATAATAGAAAAATCCTGAAATTTATAAGAACATAAGAATTTTAGAAATTCGTAGCAAAGAACAGCAAAGAGCCTCATCACCAGTTCGATTTCATTGATGAGAAGCATGAACCGCAACCCCTCGAACGGACATCGATCGGAATCGAAGTGGCGCTTGCAACCGATGTGCCATTCGGCTTTACCAGCACAAATTTCAGACATAAAAAATATTTAATCTCTTCTCTCCCTCCCCGCCTCCCCTCCCTCTCCTCATTCCCTCTGCCCTCCCAATAAAAAATTATGTATCAGCGGTAAAGAAGCCTCCACTCGCCAGACTTCCAGAACACATAAAAAATTGAACGTCCCGAATCCTTCAACCAAGTTTATGCATTTAAATTTTACATAACTTTATATCTTCTCAATTTTAAAGTCCGTTGCATCAGATGGACATTGTACGACAAATAGTGTGAGGAGCCGAGAGCTATAGTGCAGGCGCGGATTGTATCACAGATTTGATCATTTATCATAGGATTAATTCATTCTTTAAAGTGGTGAGGTGATGTGCGTGTGATTGTCGTAGTGGGATTTAATGTGCTGTAAGTGGTTAAATTTTTGAACCTACTGCATTGAAATATAGGGGATGGGAGGGTCACTGATGCAAGGAAAGAATTTCCGGAAAGCTGTTTGGGGAAGGTGGTGGCGAAATGAAGGGAGTCCATAGGAAGCGTGGAAGCGTCCATTCCATTAATCCGTGATATTTTGCAGATGGTATTCGTGGTATTTTATAAGGAAAGAATAAAAAACGCGGGGATGCATAATTCGATTTTCTTGATGCAGCAAAGTATTAGATGTTGAATGTTTTTTTACGTGCAAAATTTTGGAAAATCGCTGCTTTTTATTTTATCAAAATTGCTTTATCGCCCTTTTCATTGCCTTTTTTTTATTCGGTATTTAAAATTAATTCTCACTGGAAATCTCACAAAATACTAACTCAATAGAAATTAAATCAATGCAATAAATTTATTTCTGCAGTTACCCCACTTTCAAAGCAGCTAAAGAGTGAGTCCTATGGAGAATACCATTCAGAAATTTCTCAACACTTTTGCCGATGCGCGAATTATATTCTTCAGTGATGAAAAAATTCCCCAGTGATTTTCAGTTGGCAAGTCCCAGGGTTTTAGTCCATAGAGGTAAGGCTTCCATAACTGTTTAGCATATGAACCTTTGATTCTCCAGGCCGTATATGGCTAATCAGCCTGTAATTTAAAAAATATCTTATATTTTGAAAATAAAAGTTAGAAATTTTATTATTAGATTTTTATTATTAATAGAAATTTTATTATTATAGAATTATATATTAGAAATTTTCGAGCTAATCAATAACATTTAATGCTTATTAATATACCAAATGTTAATATTATTTGCTTTATGTTTTTGTTGTTGGGGAGTCGATTTATTTCTTCATTAAATTATCTTTTTTTCATCGTTGTATATTCTTTGTTGCACCGCGGGGTTATTGATTTATGGTGGCACCTCTTCCCTTTTGTTAACGGCCATTAAATAATAAAGTCATAAACTTGGAATCTCAGCTAATTTTCCTTAAAACTGGAGCTCAGCTAAGTTCTAAGGCTAAAAAAGAAAAAAGAAAGTCTTCAGGATATCAGATGATTCATTCTGTTGATATTTAAGGGCAAATCACGAACTTCCTTTAGAAATGAATCATGTTCAGTCCTCGAGGGCTAATGATAATAACAGCAAACAGCATTCTTCTACGTTCAAAAATAGATAATATTGCCTTGTATTTCACCTTGAGACACCTTGAAATCAGGTAGAAACCTATAGAAACCTATATTATCATCGTTAATGTACTCGAGAAAGCATCCGGCGAAGAGAATCTGGTTGCTTGAGTCTTATTGAAAATGTACCGTGCTCTTTTTAGTTCTCTGCTAGGATATCCGTCGTCATGGCATTAAAAGTCCATCTAAGCCTTGTGTCCAATTTTTAAGGTAAATTAGCTTACACAGCGTTTCACTAAAGTTATTAGAAAATTTGTGACATTTACTCTGAAATATTGTTTTAAACAAAAAATGTCATTAAAAAATCGACTAAACAAATAATTGTAATTATTATAATTGTAACTATAATTATTAGTCAATTCTCCAGCTTTCTAATTTTTAAATTTGCAAATATTTAAAGAATTCAAAGGCTTTATTCTTTTTTTTCTGGTTATTATACTCTTCCTTTCTATTTAAAATTATTCTTTTCCGGCATAATTAGTTAAAGAATAGTTCATTCAGATTTTAAAACAGTACCTTTCATAGTTCTAACATAGTGTTTCCAAATATATAATTATACAATTTCCTACATTTGAAAATTGAAAATATCGAACGTAACAATGCTCCAAAATTCATTGTTTTATCACTATTTTATCATTTAGCTTTGTTATGCTGTATTTCTTTTTTATTTCTTTTTTTTTGTATTTTTGGTAGCCAATAAATATTTGTTTGGAACTGTATTAATTTTAATATTAATTTTTGTACAGTGCCTATCGTACAACGAGAGAATTTGAATTTCGAAAAAATTAGTGATCTTTTTTCGTTGAAATGCCAGTTCAATACTTAATAATACTCTTACTATTAATATTGTGTTAAAAGTAGTACTGTGTAGAAAATGTGCGAAGAGATTTCCTAGAAAATTTAGGTCCTTAAAAAGAAATAAATGAAAGGATCAAATGGTAAGTAAACTAACCGAAATTAACCCGCTCGCTCATGAGCTTATAAAACATCCTCAGGGATCTTTCGTTCTACTCTCCTTCGTTACTTCATATGTAGAGAAGATCGATTCATAACTCTTCGAATAAAACTGTGCTTTTGGGCATATAAGAAATAAATTCTCTGAATCTAAAAGGAAAAAACTCATGCGGAAAACTTTTCTGATCTCTGATGATATTGGCCTTGCTAACGCATTTGCTAATTATTTTTTGGCTAGCTTTGTTTCTAACAATTAACTGATCTGTTCCTATAATAATATGTCTATTTAGATCTCAAGTAGAGTTCCACTGAAGGTTTCGAATATTGAAAGGAATTTCACAGAATCAATTTCGGTTATTTTTCTTGAAGAACGTATAATATAATAGTTATATACATATAACAGTTCTAAATTGTGGCGTTTAAGAGAAGATTCTCTCTAGGGAAGGTCAGCTGCCGTGGAATTAACTGAAGTTTATTCCTTATTCCTTTTAAGTTGACAGATCCACGAGTTAAACAATTCTTTTTTAATTTCATTTTTAATTGTTCAGTTATATTTCCCATTTTTTGATGGCACTACTAATACATAATTCCATTATTCTTTATATTGTTATATTGTTTTTATTGTTTTAATAGAGAGTTAGCAAATGGTGCCACTTAGAATACGTTCAGGAAAGATTTTGAACGTATTGCTGCACCAGCAACATATGGACTTAGATGATGGAAAAGGGAATGGCTTCTATTACTGTCGATAATGGCATCGCACCACTTGGAAACGCCATAGCCTTATAGCTAGTGGAGCCGGTGTAGTAATGGTGAAAACTGATGGAAGAGAAGATACTTAGAACAGAAAAAGATCATTCTAAGGATGTCCCTTGAAATTTGTTATATCACTTAAGCGTCTTAAATTTCCTTGTAATATTTAGCATTATTCATTATATTGTTATATTGTTTTATATTGAAATCCTGCAAAGACTTCAGCATCAATAACATTTTTTTTTCTTATCATAATGGATGTATAATTTAACTGTGGTAATTTAATTGTCCTCGATTGTAGTTTTATATAAACTTTGGTTTATAAAAAATTACAATGAATTAAACGATGATGCATTTGTGTCTGACTATATTTTTGTATTTCATTCCATTTAGCTTCCTTACGGGGTTATCTCATCGATATATATCGATATTTAAAATCTGCCAACCTGCTTTTGCATTGATTTTTCAGCATTTTTAGTCATTCCTTATTCTCTTTTGTTGCGTAGAAGCTTGAATCTTTTCCTGATCACTTTATAACGCCAAATATGCTTAAATCTGTTTCACAATTTGAACCATATTCTGCTTGCTAAACATCAAAATGATCGAAGTGAAAGTTTTCCTTTACATATAGAGATCGCGGAAGCAAACTTGTAACGCATTCATTCATCAGCACTATTGTCAGTGGAACAAGCAATATTTTTTCTGGCTTGCAAGAATTTTATTGCTAATCGGGCATATTCAGATCTCATTTGAATAGGTATGTTGCAGTTCTTGCAAGCCCGACCCTACACGTAATTCACAAGAGTTACCTGAGTGTAACACCGAGTGTGACATCTATCCAATTCTCTTACCACATTGCCATATTTTATCCTCATTAATGACTCTTCGAATTAACTTAACTAATGTATAGATCAGTCGCAATTGATAGTCACTTATCACTTATTTGATAACGTACCAAATGCGATTCCGTTTTCTTTCACCATATCTAGGACTGTTAATCGATTTCGTTTACAGGCAAACATAATTTCTTTCAATATTTTCCTAATTTCCCCCTAAAACGCTAACTTAAATATAACTGAAATACAAATTGCAATTTTTTGTTTTGTGTAATTGAAATAATAATGTTGATTCTCCTTCAGAATGTAATAATGTTGTATTTTCCACTTATGCTTTGCATTTTTTATAGGTGATAAGTGGCATGTCGCATTGAGAAATCCTTGTCAGAGATCCATCGAAAGAGCGCATCTGAATAAATGGCAGTTTTTCACCACACTGCACTGTTGTTCCCCGCACTGCAATGTTGTTGATAATTTATCTCTATTTATCATTCATTCATTATTCACCAAATAATTATTAGTTGTGCGAGAACTATTCGCGGAATATTTCGAAAATAATTAAAGCTTAATTTTTAATCTAAAATATATATTTCGAACTGAATTTTCAGCTTTTTTCTCGTATTATATTGAATATTTTAAATTTCTCATTGTTAAATATAATAAATATAATAAATTCTTTTATAATTTAAAGTTAATTAAAAATTTCTTAAAATATATTTTCACATATTTCCATTTGTTAAATTATTGTTGAAAAGAAATTATGGAGCTAATCCGTAATTCGTTTTCATTACTTTTCTTTTTTAAAAAATAAGCCATTTCATCTTATTTCATTGGTAATAAGACAAGCCTAGTGCTTAGTACTGGCATTAGCGAGATCATTTCCAGTTTTTTTATTCTTCTAACAGCTCTCACCATTACTCGTTAGGGTGGCTACTCTGATTACAAGGGTAAGACTTTCCAAGCTGCTGATACCATCGTCGACAATAATAGAAGCCACTCTTTTTTCCATCGTCAAGTCTATGTGTTGCTGGTCCACTTATATGTTCAAAATCTTTTTTGACCGTATCAATGCAGGTCTTGATTGAACCACCTTGCCATCCATCACAGAGTTCAATTAGTGACGAAATATGTTTCAACTCTTGCAGTGGGCAACGAAGAACGTGCTCTAACCAACGAAGAGGACATTCTTTGATGGTACTATTAATGCAAACGATATTTGATCTTAATATCCTCCATTTTTCGCAGCCATATAGCAAGATCGAACGGACGCGGGAGCTATCTTCGTTTTATGGTGATTTCACGACGGCTGCATGAAAGTTTCGTCAACCGGATGAACGCATTTCTAGCTGAGGTTATCCGGTGTGTAATTTCCTTTTTTGCCTGGCCATTCGGTATTAGAGTGGATCCAAGATATTTAAAATCGAACACTTCCTCAACCGCAATGAGATAAAAAGATTTTTAACTTCTTATATAAGACGGAAAGGTTTTCGTTTATTTACTGAAAAATTTCCCATAATTTTTTATTCCTGCAACATCCCTGTCGGGTACAAAAGAAATCTACCTAAAAATTGTTATTTCAAGAATATTCAACTACGATTATGAATGATTGCGTTCGATCGTCATAAGAACTTGCAATGCCCATTTTACTGAATGAAGCACATCGAAAAATATGTGCTGGCCATGAAGTCATTTCTTTATCCCATTCATCAACTATACCACCTGTTGGATTTTGTCCCATCCATAAATTCATTGATAAATTCCTTTTTGGCCTGAAAATGGCGACAATCAAAATCGCGGTCATAATTTTTTGCTTATAAATTATCTCTTCTCTAAAATTTATTTTTAAATTTACGCACTGTTCTTCAGTTTTTCCTCTGTTTTAGAAATATTTTTTGAAAAAAATACCTATGCTATTTAAAATAAGCGATGAAAACTGGAATATATTTAATATATTTAATATATATATATATATATTTAGTAGTTAATATTGATTATCTTCACAAAAAATTTCTATTTGTAAGTCTTTATAATCTCATAATCTTTATCTGAGGAAAAAAAAAATACTCGAAAGTTTTCTTCGTAACTAAAATATTTGCCCATTGTTTTGCTCGAGCACAGAGTTCAAGGTTCATAGTTATAGGGGAAATATTATAAATCTGAAAAAAAGCTATCATTTTATCGAAATCAATGGAAATATTGGGAATGTTTTTCTGATAAATCATTTTTTCTGATTTTCCTGTTGCTTATCAGATTAGCATAATCAATGAAATTTATAATTTATAATTACCCTTCTTTTTTCATTAATTCGCTCGGCCAGTTCCATAAGAATTGATTTATTGAAATGACTGTTGCGAACCAATCTAGATTCTTTTAAAATTGTACCATTGTCTGACCATTCGGAACCATATTCACTTGTATTCAGTGATTGGTGTGGATCTATTTTCATTTAGTCAAATGAAAAAAAAAATTTATTGGCCGAATATCTTAACAAGTCACTCAAATGGGAAGAATTGTTCTTAATGCATTATTTGAGAGATGTTATTGAAATGCGAAGTCGCATGCATAATTGTCGTTATCAACAGCACTCACAATTTCTGGCTTGGCTGATTCCACTGACTATTAAGAGTGAGATCATACAAGGATAAAGGTGCAGGTACAACCCCAGCACCACCCAGGTTTCTTATCCAAGGCAGGTTTATTTCTTTCATAGGATACTCGACTTTAATTGAAGGCTTATGTCGTTTGATTTTGTGCATGGCTTTTGATTCTTTGCATATTTTTGTAGTATTCTAGTTTTAGAATATTAAATAAAATATTTGATTTTATATTTTATCTTGAAACTAATCTGATGAATATTAGTTAAATGAGCAAGGCTTTTTATTTTTCATCTCTGAATTGTTTTCAGTTATCATCTCTAACTTTTTGTTTTCGGAGGTTAGAAAAGCTATTCTCCCTGTTCGCTATTAGTGTCATTCAGAGGTTTTTCCTAACGACTCAACTGGCTATGGATGGCTCGCCATCCTTCATCATAAGTATTGCATAAATATTTTCCTTTTTTAGCCAAATGATTTAGCATTAATAATGGTGATTCAATGGCTCTTAATTTATCATAATTTTTCGTAGTATTAAAAGATTTTTGGTGATCTATAATCGGTGCAAATCCAAAATGAACCAACATATACCAATATATATGGTGTTGGCTGACGTTCTGTCGCTAGCAGCTTTGAAGAAGTGCGCGCGATCGGATATTCGATGTTCGTAAAATCCAATTTCATTTAGCAGTGCGTTGTTGGAATTGCTTACTTTTGTTTCTCGCCTCGTCTTTATGGGATTATAATCGTCAGTTTGCTTCGAAACTGTCGTCTTTGCTATTTTGTTACAATTTATTTCGCGTTTGTTGCTGCTTGTGATGGGATTTCGCTTTTCATTGTCGCTGACTACGTAACCGTTCGGAGGCGATGAACCATCGACGAAGTAGATTGAGCGCTTCAAATGATTAATGCTTCAAATGAATTTAAAAGAATCGATAAATATTTGAAGAATATGATAAAAACAAAAAAAATAGTTTTTAATTATCAGCTGATGGAAAGGTAAACCGTTTTGATTATTGATAATAATTTGCCGTTCGGCATTCGATGAGTTTTCGTTTCTTCCACGATGGTTCTCTTATTCGCTTTCATTCGAGTAATAAATTTTCGGTTAATTCCTTGCGAACTCACCTAAATTTATGATAACGATTAAAAAACCGAAAGTGACTCGTCATTTCTGGTTTATACGGTTTCGCCAGAGATCGCGCGCGACAAGTGGGTCGCGAACACTACTCAGATTCATTAGAGGGAATTCTCGCCTCATTTTTAGCTCAAAATCAAATAATGAAAAAGTCAAATCAATGAAGATTCGGTGAAAATTCGTAAAAATTCATAAATTATTCGATATTTTGAATTAAAAGAGTCGCATTTAAAGCTTTCGTTAGAAATGTTTGTACGAAATTAATTCTGCAATTCTATAATAGCTATTGAGAAAACGATCGCCGCACAGTTTTCTGAATTCATTTCATTTCAAAATATATAAAAAAGCAAATATAATAAATTGCCGGTTGAATGGTTTGTTTGACAAATAATTTTTCATTCTTGGAAGACTTCCATTCCAATGGTCTCGGCTTTTATGCACATTTTTTGTATTCAAAAATATTCTTTCAGTATTCTTTCCATTTTTATGAGTTTAATTGTTTTATTCTATATTTTTTCCTTAAAAATAACCTTTTTTCTAAAATTTTTTGAATTTTCTTGCAATCAAAACCTTTACGAATTATTTAATTGAACGAAATTTTTGGATGAAAAATATAAAATTATTTTTCTAATTTCGACAGTTTATGAGACGATTTAATATTTTTAATTATTTAAACGAGCAAAGAATAGGGATTTTGAGGAATTAAAACCTTCGTATATGCACAGAAATCCTGTAAATAACAAAAGAGAACCGTTTTCGATATCAATGTTCAAAATCCTATCGAGCTCAATCGTTTGGAAAGTATTATCGACTATCGACGAAGTTTGTGGTTCAGTTGATTGTTGATTCATTGCTCCTTTCATTTTGCACAGTTTTGATTTTGACATTTCCAATTTTCTAGAATAGAAGTAAAATTTTTCGAAGTTTCGATAAAATATAGCCGATGATTTTGATTTTCATTTCATAATTTATTCGTTTGCGATCTTCAATGGAATAAAATTATTTGGTAAGTTAATTTAACTGATAGGATTGCTGAGTGGTATGTTGATTTGATCATGAAAATCCTAAGTTCCATAGGTTCAAGGACCATAGATCGGTCGTTCGTTGTTAAAAGAAGAATGCGGGGCCAATCAAATTTAAAATAATGATCGCTTCGGAATATTAGAATTAAATCCAGTATTCTTTCGAAATGGCTCATAATCTTTCAGTCCCGTTCAGCGAAATTTTTTTTGAAAATCTTGTCCTTATGCTTTATATATTCTTTTACGACTAGGCTATAATTTTATCTAAGATGATATACAAAAAAATTATGCAAATTATTTTTATATACAAAATAACCATTATTATTTTGCGCTTAAATGGTAATTAAGTGGTCAGCGCCTCATCGTTTTCTAGTTGCGCTTTTTCTGCTGGTTGCGGTGCAATTAGAAGTTCGCGAAGTCTCCAGTACCACTTGGGTAAGTTGACTCCTGTAGGTTGGCGAGGGGAGGCAAGGATCGAACCCTTTTTCTCAATATGATAATCAGTCACTGTCCGCTTCGTTTCGTGCCTCACTGTTTTGTGCACATTTTCCACTGAAAAAAATATCCGAATAAATCTAATTCTTGGAATTCTGTTCATCTTATAGTTCAGCATTTATTCATAGTTTTTTTCATCGATGCATATAAATATTTTTTGAAACGACTAGCCCATTCGATTTATTATAAATTACAATTTATTATGAATTATGATTATAGGCGATTATAATTTATAGTAATAATTCTCTTCCTATAAACTTTTCCAACTTCCCATTCCATAGTAGAATTAATAAATTGTCGCTGTACTTTGCTTGCTCCACGGAAAAATGTACACAGTTATTGATAATCATGTTTCGGCTCTATTAGAAATAGCGAAAGAATTGGACGGAAATTTGCGATTATTCCAACAAGTCTCGAAATTTGGCCATCTTTCTTCATTCTTTTACCTTACAAATGTCATTCATGAATCAATTTAAGCGATTTGTTGTATTTGGTATCTGTTGAAACCGTATTCTTGGCTTAAAATCTGCATATTAAAGGCGATCTCAATTCTTCAGTAGCTTCGATTCTTCTTTAAGCAGTAACTGCTTATCATGGCTTGCTTAACTGCATTGGCTAGCAGGACTGGTCGATCTATAATGCAGGTTTGTTTCTGCAAATCGCAAATCGCAAATTTAAGATAAAAATTATGGCACCACAACAAATTTCGAATTATTTAACATTCAGAAAAATTCTTACAATAGGCTTTTTGCAAACCATTCAAAGAATTCTTGTAGTTTCTTTGGTTTTTTAGACTAAATATCGAAGTTTTTAATGAAAAAAGCGATTTGCTAGAGAAGATATCCATATTTTCCGATCAATTTTTTCGATTTGTCAGCTGTGTTCACCGAATTACTGAAAATATTCCAGCAATTGCTGAGATGGCGGATTTTCATCATCTTTTTGCAGAGGTTTTGTTTCACATTTCATTTCAGTTTCTTCTCCAAACATTATCACTGTGCTTAGGAATATTGAAACGCTTCGAATATTTTTCTCAATTGCTTGTTTGCATCATCGAAAAAGTGCACAGTTAATGAGAATCGTGTTTCGATTCCATTAAAAGTAAAGGAAAAAAATTAAAATTTATTATTAAAAAAGAAAATAATTTTTATCGTTCTATCAGAATTTAATTCATCCAATGTTTTTTTCATATTTTATTCCTTATGATTTCGAAAATTATTTAAATTATTCCACTATTTGAATATTTAAGCACAAACTTTGTTTCTTATCTCCTAGGAATTTTTTATCATTAGAAACTAGTTTCCGCGTTCACTCATGAAATGCTTTTAATAAATCAAAAGTTATTTGTTGCTGATATGTGATATATATAGAAAGCATAAATGGCCGAGGAAATTCATCTCTAATGATAATTTGAATTTTAATTAAAAATTCCCATATTCCCATTCCCATATTCCCATATTCCCATTATTCCCATATTCGATTTGTCCGATTAATCGAATACCGACTGCATTCAGTTAAAATTATTTTGACTAAATATTAGCTCACCATTATCACATTTAACATTTATATTTCTGTTAAATATAAAAAACTCTTTGTAATAATCAATTTTAAAAAGAGATGATTTAAGAGTGGTTAAAAAGTAATTTTCGGTAAAAAAAAACATTCTTTCAAATCTTTCAGAAACGAAATTAATTAAATTGTAAATTGAAGAGTAAACAAAACGAATTTGGATGGACAAGTACAGAGATCGAGATGGCAGGGGAGCCATCCGAATTTGAAATTAACTCGAATGGCAAATCGATCGTCGTTGGTGACACCAAAGGAAACATTATTTCATTCCAGATAATGCAACGGTCAATTATTTTCACCAGAATTTTTCCAAGAATTTATCATTGAAATTATATTTTTGTATATTTTCTACTACTGATATGTTTATCTCTTATTTTTTTTGAGGGTCCTCACCATTAATGATTAAACTCGCTCCGCTGGCTTGTCGCACCGGACAAATATGCCAGGGAGTCCCTTAGCGATAGAAGTACAATTTTTTGAAAGTTCTAGTTATATTTTGAAAAAAAAATGAATTTTTCTTATAATTTCAATTTTAGAAATAATTTAAGAGTGGTGAAAAGGTAATTTTTATTCTTTTTTTTCTCAAAATTTTCATAATATTCTGAATAATCATCCGTCATTCGTCATTGCTACTCTAAGAATTGCTATAAATTTCAGAAAGGATAATTTGCTTTCATTAACCGGTGAGAGCATAAGGCATAAATCGAGCATTCGTGGTATTGCATTAAATTTCACCACCGATTTATTGGCCACTTGTTCAAATGATCCGAAAATTTGCCTTTCATCATTTGATTCAGATTATTCAAAAGTTGGTATGATTTATTTCACTGCAACTTATCTTAGATTTCCTATTTATAGTTTTGGTGTAAATTTATTCTTTTTTGGACGAATTATTTCATTATTGGAGATTTTTGTTTTAGGGAATATGGAAATTTAGTATAAATATCATTAATTTATTTTATTTTATTTATTGGGGATATGGAAATTTATTTTATTTTAGGTAAGCAGCAAATGCAAATATCAATGCAAGACAATGTGCGAGCGCTCACATTTATGGAGGATTTGGCCAATCATTCGAGTATTTTAATTTCCGCTGTTGGGAAATTCATTTGTATCACAGATTGTTGTTCAGGAATCACATTTAGGAGTTTAAATGGGCACACTGGTAATTTTCACCGTTAATAAATAAAATTAACATAATTCAGATTGCCCTCAAGTCTATTTATTTTTAAGTGACGTGTTTCATTAGTGAGTGGTAAGCACTCAGCATTTCATTTTTAATGATTCCTTCTGATTTGCATGAAGATAAGACAGGACCTTTGCCTCTGGAACACGATAGTCTAAGCTACTTCCATTAAACTATCTTATTATTCTAAACTATCTCTTACCGCACTTTATTTTGTTAGCGAAAAAAATGAGGCGATCAACATCTTCTTCTAACAGCTCTCACCATTACTGGTTAGGCTGGTTCCAACGGCTACAAGGTTAAGACGCTTCCAAGCGGCGCGGTCTTATGCCATCGTCGATAGTAATGGAAGCCATTCCTTTTTCCATCGTCTAAATCCATATATTGCTGGTCCACCTATACGTTCAAAATCTTTTCTCACCGTATCAGTCCAGGTTTTGATTGGCCCACCTCGCTTTTGAGGCCAACCGTCACACGGTTTAGCAAATAACGAAATATGCGTCAACTCCTGTGGTGGACGACGGAGAATGTACCCTAACCAGCGAAAGCGGCGCTCTGTGATAACATTAATTATGCAAGTGGTATTTGAACGAAGGTGGATGCGATCCTGTGAAATTTCATCCACTCGGCGTAAAATATACCTTAGACAAGAGTGGTCAAAGGCAGATAACTTCTTAACTTCCACTCTCATTGGCCATGTCTCAGAACTATATAATAAGATCGAACGGATCACGGCAATATAGATGCGGACTTTCGTTTTTATGGTGATTTTACGACGATTCCATAAAGGTCTCGTCAACCGGAAAAACGCATTTTTAGCTGCCGTGATCTTATAATATCATCTTTTGCCTGTGCATTTAGTATTAGAGTGGACTCAAGGTATTTGAAATCAGGCACTTCCTCAACCGGCAATGAATTTATAAAAAGAGGCATTTTATCAGCTTCTTGCACATAAGACGAAAAGACTTTCATTTTATCCAGTCCATTATCCAGTCTATCGCATAGTTGGATATTGTAGGGGAAAGGACGCAACCCTGACGGACTCCTGTTCTTATCTCGAAGGAATCTGCACGCCCCTCATATACATAGATCGACTTGCGCCGACCTGCGCTCATAAAATTCCTTTATGAGTCGAATGATTTTCTCTGGAACACCGTCGCATTCCATCAGCCTCCAGAGCGGCGCTTTATCAATTGAATCAAAGGTAGCAGCAAAGTCGATGAAACACGTGACAGTGGGTTGCAAAAATCTGAAGCGATGTTCCAACACCCTTCCTAGCGTGAATATCTGGTCAGCACAATCGCTCCCTGGTCTGAAACCAGCCCAGCTTGATTAGGGCGCATCCTGCTGTCTCATACTTCCATAAGTCTGTTGAGTAGTAAAAATTTTTGCTGAGACGTCTAATAGGCTGATTCCTCGATAATTGTCGCAGTATGTCCTAGAGGTGATCAACGTACTAAATAATATTTTATTTTTTGTTTGTCTAATAATAATTACTGCAAAGGCTGTGTAACATCATTGCGAACGTGGAATGGCTGCATGTTTGCTAGCTCATCAACTGATAAAACCATACGTATATGGGATATGCGAGTGTGCAACGCTGTTAAAATTTTGGGTCAACTATCAAAATCAGCAAGTAACCACATTTTCTTATCGCGTAATATTTGGGTCAAATTGTTAAAATTTTATCCTATTTCCTTTTATCTTTTATTACTAATAAATTTCTGCATAAATAAGATTAACGATATGAAATTATGTGATAATTTTTCAGTAAGTGGTGCTTTTTCTGTCGATAGCGGTGGCCGAATATTGATACGTGGTGATTGTGAAGGGAATTTATCTGCATTTGATATTTCAACTACTAAAATGATTTTCAGTGGGAAAATTTTCAATTCACAAGTCAATTGCCTTCGCATTACCAATGAATCGCGTTATGTGGTCGCTTCCGATCGAACTTGGTAAGATTTATATCGTGAAATTTTTTTATTTTTATAATGTATTATATGTTATGAAAGTGGATCAAATAGTATGATTTACTGAATCATTAGCGTTGCTAATTTATCTTTGCAAAGATTAGTAGTAGAAAAATATTATCAATTATATCGAGCAACCAATGAAGGATATTTATGTACTCATTTTGGTCTATTAAAATATTGACTCCTACGGCTTGTTTAGTGAATATAACAAAGGTATGGCAAATAGCGTGGAACATGACTAGAAGAATTGGTATATCAAGTTTCCAACTGCTAGAAGTGAGATAGCTATTTATATTAATCCGTCAAATTTTATACACCAAACTTGTTAATATTTTTGGCTACTTTGTTATTAATATGATATTTTTATTTGCTGACTCTACAACTTTTATTTTTTGGGCAATATATGAAATTATAGCATGGGAATCTGTTATTAACGTAATAATGTCTAGAAAAGAGTAACTTAAATGAAAGGTACTAGCGAATAATGCTCTTAGTTTAAAATTGCCTAAAAATAAATAATAAATAGAGAAGCATACCATTCTTGATTTGGATCAGATTGGAATAGTTCTCTTTTCTTGAAAAATTGATTTTTTTCATGAGCGATGATTGATATGTTTCAGTGATCAAAGGATTAGGTTGTTATTAAATATTGAAATTCTAGTTATTGCTAGTATAATATATTATCTTACCTTCAGTACTTTAGCTGAGATTCTTAATTTTTAAGAAATTTTAGCATCAAACTTTGCGATTTTCGGGATCCTTATCTTATTCCCCATTCGTGCAATATAGTTTCCACACAACACTGCATAGCAGTCCGGTAAGTTGTCTTAAAAAATTTTAAAATGAATCAAATCCCGTTTTTCTTTATAAATTTATTTATAGTTTTTTCAGATTTTAATATATCTCGTTTGCTTTTTTTTTCGAACTGATTGCTTATAGACTGAATATGAATATTTTGTTGAATATTGCAGATGGCGTCCTTTTAAAGCATCTTTCGCATCTATAAGTTCCGATAAAAGACTACGATTATGGGAAATATGCAAAACAAAGTAAGCATGCAGGCAGATAATTACAAATATGTACCAGAAAACATTTTAAAGTTGTTAATTTTGGAGAATAAAAACATTCAGTAAAGTTGTTTTTTATAACATTTTTTAAAATTATTTCAGTCTTACATCAAATCATCTTTCATTCTGTTGATGAATTCGATTAATTATTAAGCAATTAGCAACAGATATATTTAATGAACTGAATTAACCATGTAAGAAATTCAAAATTCAATTAGTTCTCCTATAATTTAGGGTATTTAGTAGTAAACTATTGAATTTTTGGAGTTTTAATTTTGAAAATTTGAAATTTAAATTCGAAGCTATCGGAATTTGAAAAACTCAGATGTGTTTTCCTTTCCAACCTAAAGATCTGCAAGAAATTAGTTTATTTTATCTATTTTAATTGAAAATACTCCAGAGAAATAAAAAGCCAATCACCTCAAAAAAAATGTATTCCATAAATCTCAAAAGGTAAAATTATAAAAATTCTAATCGACATAAAGGCCTAAAACAAAGAAAAGAAATCGAAAAATCGATTTGTTGATGAATTATTTTTAAATGGGAAGAACTCGGAAAAGCACTTAAATAAAATTTGGCCATATTCATCTCGGATATAATTTCGTACGCACCATTTCTGCTCAGGTTCACTCTGATAGCTTTTAATGCAGATTCAGAAATTTTCGAGTCATTTGGAAATAAAAGCATAGACAGGTTGGCAGCGCTAGAATTTTTAATTTTTTAGTCAAGGGCAGAAACCGAGCATTCATCACATGAAGATAAGAATAACAGTTGGATCCTTCGGATGCCCATCCAGATCTCGTTTACGAAAAAATCTTGTAGAGCGTGAAACGTCGATTCGCATATAAACGTTTATCGCTTATGCGATTGATAGATTTTCTATGAATCAGACTTTATTTTGGCTATAACGAATATCTTGAAGGAGCCTCTTTCCACTAAATTTCATTGAAATCATTGTTAACAAGACTTCTTCGTTTCACTCGGAGCGAACGGTGATTGCTTAATATTGCCTCGAGCATTGCCTCCGCTGGAGAACGTAAAGAAAATTTGTCGTGTGCTGGAAATTTGTCGTCAGATGGGCCCTAATCAAGTTGGATTCAGACCAGGGCGCGGTTGTGCTGACCAGATATTCACGTTGATAAGGATGTTGGAACATCGTTTCAAATATCAGCAGTTACGCGTTTCACTTTGCGGCTGCCTTTGATTCAGTTGGTAGAGCGCTTTGGAGGTGATGGAACGTGATAGTGTTCCAGAGAAAATCATTAGACTTTTAGGCACTTTATGAGTGCACGTCGGCGCAGGTCTGTGTATATGGGGGGCTGACAGATTCCTTCGAAATAAGAACAGGTGTCCGTCAGGGCTGCGTCCTTTCCCCCACAATATTCAACTATGCGATAGACTGGATAATGGATACTGCTTGTCGGCACTCAAGGGGTGTCCAAATCAGTCCAGAGAACCATATCACAGATCTTCAATACGCTAATGATGTAGTCCTTTTTGCCGATAGTTATAACGAAATGCAGGTAGTGCTAAACAACATGTCTAGTAATAGTGAGAGCTGTTAGAAGAAGAAGAATGTGCTGGAATCACTCTAATTTTGAAATCGCTTCGGTTTTTAATAAGATTTCATCATTTATTTAAAAGTAGCAAATGCGACACAATTCATGGCAAGAAATTTGGCTACGTTTTCGCCTCTTAATGGGCTTTTTTGAACATTCATCTCTTGAAACGATACTTTCTTTACGATAATTTATTTTTGTCTGAACGCTTTTGTAGTGTTTCATTAATTCTTTACGTGTTGTTAATGACGGACGGGTTTTGATGGATTTCATTAAACGGTGTGTGGGTTTTAAGGAGTTTTCCACAGAGTCTTGTTTTACTCCGCTTTCTTGATCGTTTTCCATGGTTGCCGTTGTCTTCTTTAACAGTTTATGCGTTCCATTAAGAGCTTGTGAAAGCCGTCCATTCCGCTGCAGATTTTTAATGCTAAAAAATTATGTCCACGTATATTAAAAAATATGTATTAAAGGCCGAGAACGCCGAGAATATTTGAAAAACTGGTGGACTTTTCACGATCATAAATAGAATGGGTAAAATCCTAAAGTAGTGTTCTATCGCCTATTGAGAATTTTGGGTATATTACAAAGAATTATTAATATATTATAGTTATAAATATATTGGGTGTTAGATATACTCATAATTACAAGTATATAAAGTGAAATAGAGAAAACTAAAGAAACTTTTAAAAATAATGTGAAAATTCAAAAAATCTGAGAAAATCTTATTTTTTATAAAATTAATTACATTAAATATTAATTTATTGTTTCTATTTTAGTCACAAAATTGTCAAAAACAACGAGAAAAATCTACATAATCGTAATGTCATAATGTCATAATCGTAAATGCTGCAAATAATTTATGTAATAATCAGTTAATGCAAGTTTTGAGGTTTGTTTGAAAAATTCATTTGCTTTTTTCCCCGTTCATTTATATATTTCCGATTCAATGTTTCAGAAATTATAAATTTTGGATTATTTTGAATTTGAGTGATGAAAAGCTAGTAAACTTCTTTCTCATATTTCATGAAATAATTTATTCTATTAGTTAAAATTATTTTTTTTTATTGTTTGTAAACAATCGATTCTTCATTTCGTCCAATTTCTCAAAAATTTTCTTTTTTTTCGTTTGAATTATTCAATTTCAATTCTGCTTTTCCGCGCGATTTTAGAAAAAATTAGATGGAATCGATTCCGAATCATCATTATTCGCCTTTAACGATTTCCAACTGCAAATGTCAATCGTTACGTGCTTTTCTATTTGTGGTGGTTGTTTTAATGGTTTCACTTTTATATTTTCTTACCGACAAAACTTTCAGCTATTTTAATCAAGGTATTTGAATTTCTTTTAGATTTTTAATGCAATTTCAAATTTGAAATTTTGAAATTTTATTTTAGTCCAATTTCAAATTCAGTTTTCAGTTTGCGAACAGTAAATTAAATTGAGCGGTGGTTCATTTCATCGGACGAAAATATTATTCCCATTTTCCTAAACTTCACATGTTTTGATTCTTTATATTATTGAGTTATTTCTATTTTTTTGTTTAATGTATTTAATTTTTTTCAAAAAGTTTATAAAATAATAATATTTAGATTTATCAACTGTTTCTTTATTTTCACCACGTTTTTCACTGGATCAAATGCGGGAATTTGCATTTAAAAATAGTATTTCAATTGACTATAAATATTCCTATTACACGCGATGGAATTATTGTTTTAACCGAATTTTGGAAGATAGTGATAATCGGTGACTTTTTATTTGTAACTGTTTTCTTTAAGGACTCTCACCATCACCAATTAGACTTGTTTTCGCACTAGACAAGATTTTTGGACAGGTTCTCTTCTGTGGGTAGGACCTCACTATCGGTTCTCCGAATTGAGCTACAACCCACTGAGCCGCTATATTCTCACTTTTGACATAGCATTTTTTAAGAAAAGTTTTTCCTTTTATTTCCTATAATTTAAATTTGTTTTTATCGCTTTTTTGGTTTCAACCTGACTAAATTATTAAAAATTTAATCTCACTGAATTATTTCAAAACGTTATGGTATCGAAAATTGCTTTTTTAGTTTTAATATGGAAGGAAACGATGTCATTGTATTCTTGCACATTCAAAAAACTGCTGGAACAAGCTTTGAACGTTCTCTGGTTAAGTATCTCAATATATCCCGTCCATGCACATGCCATATGGGAAAGAAACGTTGTATTTGTTATCGTCCTGGGCAAGATAAATCGGTATATTTATTATGATCTAATTTATTTTCAGAGTAATTTTTGTTTCAATTTCCCTTATGCACTTTTATTTTATGGATTTTTTTAATAGATCTGGCTTTTTTCTCGCTATTCTACCGGTTGGATATGCGGATTACATGCAGATTTTACTGAATTATTTGTCTCAGGATGTATCGATAATGCTTTAGATAGAAAAGAAGGTATTTTCTATTTTTTTTTATATTTATATTTTCTTATATATTCTTAATTTATTTCTAATTTTTTTATTAATAATAATTTCTTACCGCTTATTTAAGGTATTCATAGAAATCGGCGTTATTTTTATACATCTTTTTTACGTGAACCTATATCTCGCTTCATATCCGAATATAGACATGTAGAACGAGGTGCAACTTGGCTTGCTTCAAGACATATGTGCAATGGGCGTCCTCCTACTCCTAGTCAGCTTCCACTGTGCTTTGATCCTGCAATTGGATGGGATGGCGTCTCGTTAAATGAATTTTTGGCATGTCCTTTTAATCTGGCTTTCAATAGGTAATTTATTCTTAATTAATTTCTAATTTAAATCTATTCGATTTTATTTTTATCTTTAGATCAATAGTTTTCAATAATTTTTCGATGGTTTCGGTGGTTGTATAATTTGTAATCTGTGTGAATATTTTAATAAAACTAGTGTATTGAAGTCTTTTATTTTTATTTACTTTTTTTTTAAGAATCCTCACCATTACTGGTTAAACTCGCTCCACTGGCTTGTCGCACCAGACAAATATGCCAGGGAGTCCCTTGGCGATAGAAATATGGGTAAGTCGCCAGCATCATCCGGATTTTTGTACAGGTTTACTCTTGCAGGAAATCGAACTTCAGCATCGGCACTCCCTATTGAGCAACAACCCAGTCATTCTATCCCATTCTAGCCATTTTTTTTTATTAATAAAATTTTTAAGACAAACAAGAATGTTGGCTGATTTGACGCTTGTTAATTGTTATGATATGAAAGCGATGGAGACAGAAACGAGAGAACGAATAATGTTGGAAAGCGCTAAAGCTAATCTTAAAAATTTGGCATTTTTCGGACTAAAAGAATACATGGCAGAAAGTCAGTGGATGTTCGAACAACTTTTCCACTTACGGTAGGTTTCCCTTTTAAGATATTTAAATATATAAATGTTTAAAATAATATTAATATAAATATTCATTCAGAGTTTCAAAAATGAAATTGAATGAGAAAGATATTCACTTGTTTATATATATTTTTACAGAGTGGTGATTATATAATCGTTAATTTCAATTACATTTAAGTTTCACGAAGAATTTATCGGATTGGAAAAAAAGCAAATCAAACAATACAGAAATAACTCTCGAACAAATGAAGATTATAAAGGAAAAAAATAATCTTGATATTCGCCTTTATGATTACGCGAAAAAACTTTTTTTTAAACGGTTTATCATATCATTACGTTCATTTTATTTCTCTACCTATCTGAAATTTTTTTTCTTATTTATTTATTTGCGTAGATGTATAGGAGCAAAAAATTTTCACTTTTTTTTTGACTATTTGCTTGCAAGTTCGATGTTGTGCTAGTCTTTTATTTTGTTTTATTCCCTTATATGCGTAAAATTCGGTAGCAACAAAATTTTATTGAGCATCGCAATTATTAACCTCAAGTAGTTAAACCTATGAATAATATTTATAACGTTTTGTACTGGTTTTATTAGAATATTGATTGATTTCGAGTCATCAGATTATTTCCACTGATTTCCGACTATTGGTAAATGTAAAGGGAGAAGATAAATGATAGAATGGTAGAAAGTGTTGCATTCCTAATTTGATCTTTCCGTCAGCGATACTTGCATCGTCTCTGAAACTCTCCACTCTGTAACCATCTATATAGTCATAAATCCATCCATCTTGCTGCGGATTATCCTTTTTTTCTTTCCTTTTACCATCCTTAGCAATAGTTCCTTTTCAGGAGAGCTGGATAATACAAGCAGGATAATTTGAGCCTAGTCATTTGTTGCTCAAATGTGAACTCTAGTTTGATTTGTTCCATTTTTCATCCGTTTGTTTTTTTAGCAATCCACGATATTTTCATGAATTTTATTTAACACCAAAAAAAGCATCATTGTTTTTCCTGTTTTCTTCAAGTCTATATCATTATCACATGCTCAAGGAGATACGGGAAATGCCATGAATGATTCTAATTTTTATAGGCATAATCGCTGAATATTTTTTCCAAGTTCTTAGATATTTTGTCCTCTGCTAATCTGCTTGTTTTTTGACATTTTTCTCTTAATGTTGATGATTAATTGATCCTAAAAAGTAAAAATTTACCCACCACTTCGATATTTACCAACTCTTGGGTTAGTTTTTGTGCCATTATTGCATTGATCTTAATTAATTTAAATTTTCTTGGCTAGCATTTTATTCTTATCCACTGGTTTCCTTTTTTACCTTATCTTCACCTTTTCTTTTGCTACCAACCTCTACTAACGCGACTATAGCGGCTACGGTTGCTTTTGGTGTAGATTTTGCGGACTTTGATTAGTTGCTTTTGACTCAACAGTTGGCTCATTATTAGTTGAAATTTCTATGATGTGATATAATGGCACTATGCTCTTGTAAATATTGGTTTTGCTGGCATCTGACCTTCCTATTTTTCTATTTTTTCAGAGTCGATAGGCATTTCGAATCGTTAAATTTTTTTAAAAATTGTTGGTTCGTTTTGGCTACTAGTTTATGCAAATTTTGATTTCGAATATTTTGCTTTATTTATTATTTCAGCTTGAAGCAAATGAAATCAGATGATTTTTCATACAGTAATTCAGTTTTCGATAAAGTAGCTATACCGCGAAATATCCACTTAGTTACGCACAAAGGTATGAGTTTTATCAAAATCTCATCAAATTTATTTATTTTTTTCAAGATACAAGAGTACTTAAATAATCTATAGTTCTTTTGATGATTTATTAGTTTAAAAAAAATTTTGAATAATAATAAAGTTTTAGAGCATAATAATCTTTATAATTTTTCGACCGAAAAGAAAATTTCTGGGGAACTACTCAAATCAAACGATTCAAATTTCGTTTTATAAATTTTGTATATTATGTAATAGGTACTATTTTGCCTGTTTACATAATTCTTAAATTTTCTTAATTTTCTGTTTCATATCTATTTGCAATGTCTCGGTCCGTCATAATGAATTAAAACCTTATCTCCCGGAATTTCTCGGTTATATTTTCATTAATTTTCGTAAACCCAACATCTTCAAAATTCTAATATTTTGCCTCAACGCTCAACTTTTTTTACAGCTTTCACTTATTTAACGCTAAATTCATTTTAACGCTCATTTCGTATTTGTATTCTATAGTTCTTTTGATGATTTATCAGTGATGATACCAGTGCTAAACAGATTTTATTTGTCTTTCAGTTTTTTTCGCAATAATTTTAGGTGTCATTTGTACTTAGACCGGTGAAAGTTTCAATTAGGTTTGATTAATTTGCTGATGATTTTCAAAAGTTGTATATATTCACATAAATGAATTTTTCTTTTTGGAAATTTAATGCGTCTAATTTTATATGAATGTATATGTCAAATATTAATCTCAATTTACGTAAATATTCTGCTGATATTGTACTGATCTCGTTGATTTTTTTCATTTTATTAATTAATCAATTGTTATAAATATTTTAGGTTCTAATTTTCCGGTACCTTCATATTTATTTCTTTTGTTTTTTTTTTTATTTTAAGGTTTCCCTGTGGCTTATTTATATTACCTATTAAAAATATGATAAGATGTTGGGAAAGATATACAGTTTCTCATTTGTAGACATTTGATGATAGCGTTTATAAGCTTCTTGCAACTAAAGCAAAATATTTCTAGACTTTTTTTTCCGATGGGAAAATATTAATAAGGTGAAAATATTTTTTTTTTTAGAAAGATAATGGATTTAGGCAAAAAATTAACAAAATAGAAGTTTTGGAAAAAAAATAAAATGTTTTCTGTAAAACTAGTTTCAGAAACAATAACTTTTCGATAATTCCAGGTTTACATTTCAGGGAAGAAGTCGGTTACTCAACAGCTTTTGTAATCAAAATTATTGTTCGCGGACGATTTCTTGTAACCATGTATATAGCACAAGTCTAAAACAAGTATTTCGTTAGAAATTATTTAAGTGTTTTAAAAGCTTGGAAATGCCTTGAAAAATTTGAAATATGAATTCAAATTCATAAGTAAATTCTCTAATATTAATATGATTTGGGGATAAAATGGCTCAGTGGGTTATTGCTCAATTCGGTGAGCCGATGCTGAGGTTCGATTCCTCGCAGAAGTAAATTTGTGCAAAAATCTGGGTGATGCTGGCGAATCGCCTGTACTTCTGTCACGAAGGGATTTCCTGACGTATGTGTCCAGTGCAACCAGCCAGTGGAGGGATTTTAACCAGTAATGGTGAGGATTGTTCAAGAAAAAATGACAATTTAATTTGTTCGTAGTTTTCAGTTATCTGGTTTGACCGTAAGACGGATGCTATCTTTTTCTTGATTTTTTCATTTCATTCCTTAGTGTTTTCTATTTTCTATTATATCCTAATAATATTTTTTTTAAAGAGTCCTCACCATTACTAATTAAACTTGCTACACTGGCTTGTCGCATTGGACAAATAGTCACTTCGTGATAGAAGTACAGGTGATTCGCCAGTATCACCCGTATCTTTTGACAGATTTGCTCCTGTGGAGATAGAACCATATTATCAATGTTCCAAACTGAGCAGCAACCCACTGAGCCATTTTATTCCTAATAAAATTCCCTAATTGTTAAAAGGATGAAGGCCACTATGGATTCGATTACCGATAAAGCCGATTTTTTCTTGTTGTTTGAAATTTGAAACAGGCCTCCTTTTAACCATAATGATTTTAGTATAAACCATTTTAAATGGTTATTTACAATAGTAAGAGGATCGAAAATAAGTAGAATCGAAGTGCGAGGAAGTGCGGCCTCACTGGAGTGCTATGTTCCTCTGACCAGTGTCAAATAAGCATAATGGATTCGATTCTTGTTCCTTGATAGAGGTGACATTATCATTAAGAATTAAACCCGAGTGGTGTTGATGACGCTTCTAACAAGAGGTTCTCTGGAAAAAATGTATTCCTCTAGTGATTAGTGACTAAACAGTGAGAACAGTGCTGTAATAAAGAAGGAAATAACAGAAACTGAGGAGACATTTTAAAACAATTTAAATCGAAGCTAATGAAAATGACTAATGCAAAAGCACTGATAAAAATTACCTCAGCATAAATTGTGGATGAGCAGTCACTCTTAATTAGTCGATAGAACTGGCTTTTTGATGCGCCGAGCTGTAAAACTTCAGAGTGCATTTTCTGGATAATATTAACATCATTATGATGTACAAGCTGGTAGAAATTACTTCCTTTCAAAGCCATAATGCGATTCGAATGAATGCTTCGAAGAATATCTTCACCTCTAAAAGAATATCTCACCTTTTTCAGTAACAGTGACTTCCCTGCAAAAATTTCTAGCTGCACTAACCAGTGGAGCTAGTTTAAAAAGAAATAGTGGACGTTTATTTCCTTAATAATGTGATTTCGTAAGATACTGAAGATAGAGAATTAAGAAACTGCCAATTATTTTTCGAACTAAAATGTCCAGAAATAAAATTCTGTGCATGATAAATAATAAATAACAACAATTAGGTAAAACCTTGAATCGACATAGTTTATAGTTAAATTCGTATCTGTTGCAATAGCAAAAGAAAATTGATCGAGTCGAATGCTTAATGGTACAAACGCAGGAAGTGGTTGACAGAATGAAATGAAACAATGACTGTGATTCTTGCGGAAGACGTTCATTTCGACACTAATTACCTATAATATGAATTGCAAAACTGGAAGGTGAAAATCCAAATATTCCAACTTATGGGTAATATAAATAATAAGAATTAAACTTTTCGTAAAATAGGAGATGAATATGAGAAACCTTATAGCCGGCTGCACAACGGTATGCATCTTTACTTGCTCGTTTAGTAAGGGTCGACTTCATTCGTAGGTTTTGGAAAATAGGTCCCCCAGATTGATGAGCCAATTTACTTGACTTTAAACGAATTTTATTAAAAACAATAGATTTTCTATGCATAAAATAAAACATGCTCATTGTCATTGAATTCATAGGGATAACTTAGTTTAAAATTTCCGGCTACGGGTAAAAATCAATTTCTACCAATTCAAAATTTCCAATATCTTCGCTATGAATGTATTCTGAAATGTTAGTGCCAGCCAGTTCAACCTGAAAAAGATTTAGATTCCGTATTGTGATTATTTGTTTTCGAGTACCACAGGTCCAACTCATGTTCTTTAACTGAAAATCTGTCATTCAGTAGTTGATAACATTTTCTTTAGTATTCACAGGCAAACAAATTGTCATAGTGGAAGACTTATTTATTTGAAAAAAAAGCTGAAATGCCTGTGAAAGTCCAAGATGGATGCTGATCGTTTCACTAACATACATTATCTTGCCAGTTGACGAAAAGCAAATCAGAAATCCATCTAAAATCTAAAAAAGGTAGATAAATTTATCGTTAATCATTTTGTTGGTTGATGGATCATATAGAAGCATTTTAACTTCTACTCTAACATGGTTTAAATTTAAAAATCGTACATCTAACATAGAAGCATTCCATAACTCGCTGAAAGACGAATAACCATCTGCAAAATATCAAGTTGGATAAATAGGATTAAAGAGTCGTTAAAGGAGTAAAATCATCTGGATAATTGATGTATTGCATTCAAACAACATAGTTCGTTCCAGGTTCTTTAAAGGAGTAAAGTTTTATGCCTTATTTCCAAGTATTAGGAAATAGAAGACCATATTTTTATCAATGTGAGAATTTTTATGTAAATTTTATGTAAATTTAAGGAACTTCAATCAATCTTTATTAGGAAACCATACTGTACTCGCTAGTTTCCTTATGAGTTGAAAAGTATTCATTGAGATGCATATAAGCAGCTGCGAGTCGCACGATAGACGTCTGTAAATAAAACTCTAAAACATTCAGTCAAATGTCAACTATGGTATCCAAGAACTGATTTTACTAAATAACCTCCCCACTCCCCACTTACCTCAATACTATAAAACCTCCCCACTTCTGATCTCGATTTGGTAAAAACTCTGGTAAATTAAAACTTGTGCGATGCTTTTTCAACTATTTAGGTCTTCTATTAACATTTCAAATATTACGATCTAGATTATTAATCAATGGGATTAATGTACCTAAAAATTTATCAGTTCTACATTTGGCACCAAATTTCTTATATCTTCCAAATACCATTTATGTTTCTTTACTCTTTTTTAATTAATAGCACTGTTCATCCTGAATAGCAACGAACTAAATTTATGGTAAATTCTTGTTCAATTAAGCCGAAATTTAAAATGTTAGGTCGAAACATTTCTATAACCAGTAGCCGATTATTACTTTGTCAATATGCATCCCACTTATGGCACGTGCTATTGGTAGTTCGATTGATAAGCGTTCGAATTCTATATTCTCGAGAAATCGACGTTGTTGCGCAATCGTTTTGTGTTTTTCTGGTGCTTGCATAAGTGCTAAGTGCTAAACATTGATTTGAATAATAAAGAAAATGATTATCATAAGGAAATATGTATCAGAGAGCTGTTTCATTAATAAATATTACATCAAGAGGACAACTTCATAATTGGGTCAACAAAAAAATTCAGGCCAGTTTGATCCTTTAACTATATTCGAGAAATAAACTTATAATGCAGAAACCTATGCAAAAAAGCAGAAGATTAACTGAAGGCTGAAGCGTTTCATATGAATAACTTTCAAATTTTAAGACAAAAGTAATTAGAAGATATTTTTTGTAAAATTAGAGTTTCATATGATAAATGCGAATTGACGCCACACTCCGCTAATAGTTATTGTTATTAAAAATGGCAAAATTAGCTTAGCTTAATCAGAAATGTTAAGCACCACTTCCTTGTTTATTCAGGAGATAAACCTATAAAACAAAGTGTTTCAGTGAGTTTGCTACCATTCCAGCAAAAGTAGACAAATAAATAAACGTTACTTAGTACAGCTACCATTCGATATAGACAGTGCCACTTGTAAAACTTCCACAGGCAGCGGAATTAAAGCTCATGGGTTCATTTCGAATGATCATTATGAAGCATTTTTGAAAATTTTGAAGATTTTTTTTGAAATTATATTTGATGAAATTATAAAATATCAATGGATAAATGCATAGAAATTTTGAAACGAATCCTTATTTTTAGAGATTCGCCTACAAACTAGCCTATATTTTTTTTATTTTTTTGGGAGTCCTTACCATTACTGTTAAAACCCACTCCACTTGATTGTCACATTGAGCAATGTGCCAGGGAGTTCCTTGGCGATAGAAATACAGGTGAATCACCCGGATTTTTGTACTCCTGCGGGGAATCAAATTAGCCTATATGCATCCCCTAATTTGAATTCTTATTTTAGATAAAAGTTGAATATATAAAACTGAAAACTGAAAGCTAATGCTGCTTTTTGTAATTCTCTTCAAAAAAATGATTCTTCCTCTTTAATTATTTGTAATATTTATATTATTTACAATGTCTATGATAATAAAAAGAATCAAGCAGCGAAAAATATCATATGTTTGTGTTAAAATAAAAGATAATAGCTGAAAAACAAATAAATGAATATTAAATGAAAATGAATAAAAGTAATAAATTTTATAATAAAGAGACAAGAAACCCGGGGTGATAGGGGTTCAAATCATCTTTGGATGTTTGGAACTAAGGATTTGATGGAATTGACGCCGACATGAGTGAACTTGTCATTTGGAAATTTGAGCAGTTTTCGCAACAGCGCTTCTTTGATCAAATGATTCCATGGCGGAAATTTCTATGCCAACAGCCAGCAGAAGTAACCAAAAATGTGGAACCCAACCACCTATTCCTTTTTTTTCTTGATAAAGTAGGAAAATAATTATTTGAATGTGAATTCACTTACAATTAGGTGAATTTTTTTCTATTAAAGTTAAATATAAATAAATTAAGGAAAGGAGACTTAAGTGAAAACGAATTTATAGAACGGCAATGTCAACTCTCAAACGACTGAGTACTGTAAACAATGGCGATTTAAATATGCTAATTCAGTTTCTTCTGCTCATGCGAGCCGTAATTATGTTAATTTGTTAACTTCTAATTTGATTTGTTAATTCAATTTTCCGACAAATAAATCCAATTTAATAGCTTTAGTTAGACGAGAAAATTTTTTGAAACTATGGTTTCAATTCGATTTCTTGTTTGATTATTACTAAATTTACAATTTATAACCTGAAAAATTGTACTATTTAGAGCCAAATGGAGAAAGTTTTAATGTATTTTGTCTTTTAATATCTTTGGCTATTTTTATTATCATAGCTAAGCACAGGACCATAAATGGTCACGAATCATTAATAATAATTCATAATCAGCAATAATTTTGCAAGACTACATTGAAGAAGCTGGCGATCGATCTGTATCTTTATCTCCAAGTAACTGTGAAATTTAAAAAAAGCAATTAGTCTGACTCGACTAAATAGCGATACCATCCTATCTGGAAACGGTATAAAAAATAAATAAATAAAATAAAGAAGCATAATTAAAGCATAAAGAGCATAAAAAATAATTTACACCATTGAAATTTCGGAATGAATTTATTGAAGAGATTTGAGAAGCAATTTTTTATGCATCGGCTGGTTTGTTCATTTATAATCCATTTCGAATGGTGCAAAATGATAAATCCACGGAAAATCCACACAATTTTTTATGAAAGCTTTTTTTTATGATGGACGACAAAAATCCTTTCATAAATTTAAAAACATTTTTGGACGAACATCGACCGGATACATGATACCGGCTTCTGGTCACTTTTCGATATTGAATGTCATCACCACCATCCATAAACATTTCTGATGATCGTTGGCATTTGATAGAACAAAGAAAATTGAGGCCGTTTCTATAAAGGAAGTCATCGTGATATTTATGAAAATCGGTCAACGATCGAATCATTGTTATAATATCCAATTCCAGAATTCATTACTCAGCTCTGTTTGAACGCTGAAATTTCAGCCATTGCTTGAAATTGACTGGTTCTATCCGTGATTCACTTAATGTTTAATAATCGTTCATCTTTTTGCCTTTTCATCCATTTGTGGCCATTAGAAGCCATCAAACTCACAGAAATCTTAAGATATTCCAATGTTCTATTGTTGATAAATCATAAGTGACTATTGGCAAGGACCGTGGTAAAAGCTATTTTCATTACAACTAGGCATAGGGCCATAAATGGCATATTATTAGTTCTCTACTAATTATAAATATTATCAAATACAATAAAAATAAATAAATACAAATCACATGATTTGTGTTTGTATCTCAGAAGTGAACTGCTAAGGCATGAATTGTTTTTTAAAATGATTGATAATAGCTATTCCCTAGCGCTTTTGTCTTTTAATATCTTATTATATTGATCAAAAAGAAACTTTTGGAAGCGGTTTATTTTTCATTTATTTTCCATCGTCATCAATTTGATAAATTTTAATGAAAATAAGACGTTCTATTAATGCTTCCTCTAGTTCTTTTTCTAAAAGTGCTTACCATTATTGTTATTTAGACTTTCTCTACTGGTTACAAGGATGAGATCTTTCAACGATCCGATGCTGCACCTAAAATTAACTCATTTTCCATATTTCCATATCTTGTGGACTATCTATTTAAAATTTCTTAACCTTACTTCTCACTGGGCCTCCTCGCTTTCAATGCCATCTTCACTATAATATTTAACATATAAAAAGATATGCATCTTGCGATAGACAGTGAAGAACATGGCCTAATAAGCATGAATAATGTTAGCATGTTAGCTTCTTATCCGTTTCAATTTCATCGAAAACACTTTATTTTTCAAGTAATCAAGCGAAGGATATCGGATACTCTTTGTTAGTCAAGTACGGTAATAGTCCTATAGTCCAACATGGTCCAAATATATTCCAAATCTAAGATGTAAAATAGTGCCTAGGAGGAAAAAAACGTTATTGGTCTTGTCTTGGAATCCTTAGTGGAATACTACACTAAATACTTTTTCCTTCCATAAAGAGTGTTTCTAATGCGCGTTAATCTTTAATTATTTTTATTATTTTTATTAATTATTATTTTTGTTATTCATTACAAATTTCGCCACTGCGAAATTTTTTTCGAATATTCCGCTTTTCTTTTGGCTCCAAATTAGATTTATTTATTGGGTAAAATATTGGATAAATTTTTTTCAAATTTGGAGAGATCTAAACGGCTTTCAAACGAAAAATAAAAATTTTGATTTATTCTTTCGAGTGGTTATTATTCCATTTCGTATTAAGATTCGTATTTTTCATTAATTTAATGGCAAAAAAAATTGGTGACACCAAAAAACCTTACAAGAAAGAAAAAGAAAGAGATTTTTTAAATACTTTGCTAAGAAAAGGGAAGATCCTCAAATTGTGCATCTGAGCCTTCCCGAGCTTTTTAAAAAATTTGTCAAAGTCGGAATCATTTCCAAAATAAAACAAAGATGCCACTTATATTTTTCGCCCTTCCTTTTAGGGCATTATAAGGTTCGCTTGCTTAAGCTTTAACAAATTTTTATGTGTTTTGTGAGTAAGAATTTCCTTCAAGGAAAGCTTTAAATGATTCAGTGAAAAAGTGTTTCAAAAATTTTCACATTTAATTCTTATGGAAAATATCCATGGGACTAACCCACATGAATAAGAACGCTTTTTGACAACATAGCTTTTGAGTATAAAGAGAAAAATTTTTTTAGCACAATTTTTAGATATCAGTAAATGTCAGATAAGATTTCAATAAAAATAGTATGAGTAACTGCGCAATTTTCTGGACAAATATTTTAGAAATCATTTTCAGATGGCATTTCTCTGCATTCTTCTTTCAACAGCATGGACTATTATCAATGGCTTACCTCCTCCCATGAGATTTGCAACGGATCCAGCCACAGTGAATGCTAATGCACAACGTTTTCTTGAACGTATTAAATTAATTTTACACAGGATTTGAATTTTCAATTCAATATTTTCATGCTTTTACAAGTTGTAGAAATTCTAAGACTGCTATTCCTAAAAAGAAATAAGTAAAACTTCATAACCAGCAATGGTATTTTTCAAATTTTAACTATTTTAGCTTATTCCAGACTTATCCATGAAAAAAAATTGAAACCTTATACCGTTTTCGCACTAAAATGCAATATTTATCATATGTTGGTTTAGTATATGGACTCGCTACTGAAATTATGAACTTTGGCGGTTCAATCATTAATAATGCTAAAGGAACATATCGAGAAAATAATGATAGGTTGGATTGTTACTAATAATCTATTTATGACGATTATTCACCTGTCTTATTCTTGCTTCTCTTAATAATCTCTTGTGGCAAAGAATTTTTCCTTAGATTCGATTTAACCAATATTTCACGAGAAAAACTTGAGGAATTTCTATAAAAAGCAACTATAACTAAACATTAAATGAAATATACCTTTAACGTTCGGCACTTTTATTGACCTTCAAAATATACCTTTTTTTTCGGCATTGAACATTTCGTTGAGCATAGTTCAGAAAATATAATACTTAAGAATTTGATTCTCTTCGACATAATAATATTGCTCATTAGTGCAGGTATGAGTTATCAGGCAACAGCATACTCGGTGATGCGCTACGTTTTTTTGGGCCACGGCGATATAACGAATATGATATGGCACCTTATAAGTCAACGGTACTGGGACCACAATATGGAAATGGCTTTTTAGGAATTGGTAATACTAGAAACGTTCAATCAACTCGTCAAATTGGTCTTGAAGCACTTCTCGATACTTTCCTTGGTAATTTCTTTTTTGGAACTTTACTTTCTATTTATAGGCTTTCGGTGTTGTAAAATTTTGAATTTAGCTTCAGAATTTTCAAGAATGTTTTGAGAAAATTTCAGAAGTAAAAAAACTATAAAGATCAACAAACTGTAAAAAAAATTTTAGGTCCGTCATTAACATTCACTTCAACAGCATCACCAACGAATTTCTTTTCGCCGGAAGTGGGAAGTCGATCAAGCATCGACGATCTTATTAACGCCTTGGTGCGGAGTGGTGCTAAACGGGTCACACCTGATCCTTATGAAGGTCGTAACATTTTGTCGACTTTTTTCGGGAAGTGAAATCGTTAACCTATCGCTCTGTGAAAAATCGCGGGTATAATTTGGTCACAGTGAAATGTCGCATTATTCTACGAGTTATTTATCGCAATTTCTTTGATATATATATTTTCATTCACATTCTTTGCTCAAAAAATCAATCTTTGATATAATTTATAATTCATTTCCATGCACTAATATTGTTAAATTTGATGGATAAATTAATTTGGCAACGAAGAAATTAAGTAAAAGAATAAATAAATTGGTTTGGTGCGAAATAATACGATCAAAAACAGCTAAAATTTTTTGTGAAAATCGTGAAAGAAATTCGTAAAGTTGATGTTATATTTTACGGGAATAAATGTTTTGAGATCAGATGGTCGAGCGGTATATCGCCTCGACGGACCAGCAAACAATAGAGGTTTGATTCCTCCCGGTGATGGGAGTACTGGCATTAAAACTGAAATCCGTGTGGTGCTAGGATCACTTTTGCATTTCCATCCTCAATTGACTCTCGAAAAGTTAATTGATGTAAGAGGAATAGAAGACACAATAAGGAGAAAAATGTTCCATAATTAATATCAGTCTCGAACTCGATTCAGACTATAGTCCACTGCAGTTCCAAATAAATTACTCTATTTGATAATTGGCCAGAATCTCCAATAATATCGATTATTTCTTTTGAAAATGGTTCTAAAAAAAAAAATACAAACTATTGATGTAATTATTCTACATATATTTTATTCTAATATGAAATGGTTGAAAGGGAATATTCACATTTGATAGTACAGGATGGTCGGTCGGCCAAGCGGTGCTGCTTCTTTCAAGTGTGCTCAAATTCAAAACATGAATTCAAGTGTCTCCTCGCCTCTCGGTGTCGTTAAATCTCTTTAAAGTAATCTTTATGCTATTGAGGACTATCTCCAGCGAATGATCCTGTAGTCTCTGACCAATCATTACTTTAGTAATTTGTAGATTCTGGCCAATTATCATTTTAGTAGTCATTGAATCAGATCAGAAGTGTGCTGCTTGCAGATGGAGTTGTTTGCTTCTGGAATGCTTTTCATTACCCCTCTTTTTACAATAAATTTTCCGAATTTCACTTTTTTCGAGATCTCCTTTTCCCTTTTCCTCATGGTATCTATCCGATTTATTTACTTTTGGCTCATTAAGTTTTATATCTATTCAATTTATCTATTTATATCTGTTTTTATATCTATTCAAAATGCAAGAGAAAATATTTTTATCACCATGATATATATCAATTCTCATAAAAATCAAAATTAGTGGTTATTTAGCTATTGGCCAATGGATTCCAATGGTCTCTGGATAGGCTAATTTCTTCCCCTTAATGCATTTGTTCATTTTTCTCTGAAGAAATCAAAGCTTTCACCGAGTTCTCAAAGGTGTCACATCAGAAAAAGACGGTGAAGATCAACTGATTACGTTTCATGCCAGCTTTATTCCAATAAGAGAACACGGAACTGGCAAACCAATATTTCAAGCGTTCAAAGATATTCAAGGACTTATATTACTTATTAGATATTTACAATAAATGCCTCATGGCAGGATAGCCGAAAGGATAGCGACTAAATAGGCTGTGCTTGACACTAGAAATAGCCCATCCAGGTTGTACTGGACGATGCATCTATACTTCCACTGTCCTGGCAAAAGTTTCTTACTGCACGAACGGCCAGAGGAATGAGTCTTACTTAATAGTGCATTAAAATAATATCGGAGTGATGATTTTCAGAAATTAAGATTTATGGTTATTGACAAAAATAAACGTCAATTTTGCGAAAGATTTGCTTGTAATACCAAAAAATATAAAATCTCTTAAAAACGAATTTGACAGAAAATTAAAAAATGGGCCGTACTTTCCTTCGGAGGGGGTTGGACCGCAGAATTCTCAATTATTGTTCGAATTTGAAGTTTTTGGAATTTTGGAATTTAAGGATTTTATAATTTTATTAGTTTCGATGTAAAGTTTCTCGCTTTTTTTAGATTTTCATTATTTATATTTTATTGTTCGATGATTTGGAGAATTTTTTAGTTTGGGTTTCATTTAGATGAATGAAATAAGTGATTTGCATTCGTTGTTCCTTATTTGCTTCGTTGCGTTGGTTTTTAGTGCGGTTAGAAATCTGTGCGAGCGGCGATAGAAATGCACATAGATCACCAGCAGGGGTGAATCGCCAGCACCGGTGGATCACCAGCACCGGTGGATCACCAGCACCGGTGGATCGCCAGCACTGGTGGATCGCCAGCAACAGTATCTGGTGGATTTTCAATAGCAGATTTACTGTTGTCAGATTCGAGTCCTTGTTCTATGCTGATTCGAATCACTATCTACTCGGATTTCCTGCCTCTCCTTTTTCTGAAAAATGGAGTAATCTGAAAAATGGCTTAGGGTTATTGGTTTAAAATTATCAGTCTACTTTAATTGAAAATTGTTTACTTCCATGCTGCTTCAGTCTCATTTGCTTACAGAGGAAATATTATGGGAGCGAAAGGTTAAGCAAATTTTTGGAAAAAAAGTATTACAATGAACGAGAATATAGGAGCATTGCCTATATCAAATAACGGACACACTTAAAATTTTGTATCAAATATAGAGTGGAGGAAATTTTTTCAGTTAGTGAAATGCTGGCATCAAATTTGCGTGCCATCTCGCAAGTTGTATTACTGCGCAATATATGTCGTTCCAATTCGACTGTTGAATCAGATATCGATAATAATAAAAAGATAACTAAGAGCATTGATAAAAATTTGGATGAAACGGAGAAAAATCGTGAAAATAAAAATGATCTAAAATCACAGGTAATTTATTACATCAAATTCAAGTTCAAGATAACAACAATAAAACTGCGGATTAGACTAAATCGTTAGTCGGTAGAGACTTTACACTATTCTCGTTCCGTTTTATTTTTATTCAAAGGTAATTTTTTTCTTAATTTCAGGTAGAAATTTAGCTCAAAAAGTGAGCTTATTGAATAAATTTTCTTATTTCTTATGAATTATATATATAGTAAAAAAAAATATTACAAATTTTTAGAAAATAAATAGATTTCTGAAAGTAGATAAAAGTAATATTTCATCAAATTCTTTTTATTCGCTCTTGCGGCATTCAAAATTTGTTCAACTTGGCGATTTTAATGGACGCATTGTTATTGGAAAAATAGTTCATAAAATGGCCGATGATTTATATATTGATTTTGGATTAAAATTTAATGCAGTTTGTAAAGCACCACAAATTCAAAATGAGTTAGTCTTATTGCTTTTTTTGCAAAATAATTGAAATTACTGAATAGTTTAATAAATTTATAAGTTAATTAAAATATCTGAAATATGTAAAAAAAATCTTGAATCGAATATAAAAAGAACTGGAGAGAAAAAGAATGACTATATTATGCAAATATATCAAAGTTTGAACATTAATGGAAGATAGAAAAGCTTGGATTGAGTGCTGAGGGACTTTAATTGTTATTTGAAGGTGAAGTAGGTGGGGTAATGGTAATGTAACGTGGGCAAAGGGATGTAAGGAGAATTGAGAGTACTAGGAATTTTTACGAATTTATGTTCAAGAGAATTTATAAGCGAGTATAATGAAGCCTTTCGCTGTTTCGCTGTGAACTGTATCTTTCTCTAAGAAGATAACGGCGAATGACGATTTTTATTAAGAAACATTAAGATGGATTGGATTTCACAGATCGCTTTCACGTTTCATAGGCGGGTTGCAAAGAGAGATGGAAATAATATAACAGGAATTCGAATTTGGTCTGGTTTTAAGAAGAGCAGAATAAGAGTTTAAGAGGAAAGTATATCAAGGTTTCTTGGAATATGAAGGAATATAACAAGGCTCAAACAGAATTTGTGGTGGATTTTCAGAGGGTATTAAAGGAAAATGGATTTAATTTAATGTGAGATGAGAAAAATGTGAGATGAGATAAGTATAATAATAATAATTTTGAATATATGTTAAGTCAATACAAAAGGTATATAGAAATATAAGGATGTTTGAAGAGGCACATTATTATATGTTTAAGGGGATATATTTAAACCAGAAAGTTTTGTTAATAAAAGATTAAAGATTAAAAATAAGCTTACATCCGAAATAGTTATTCCTTTTTCAATTTAATTAGTTTTAATTCGAAAAAAAAGAAATGCACTAACAAATTTTTTAATTTGTTAGGGTTTTCTAATTTTCAAATATTCATATTTGATTTTGCCGGATTATTGGCTTGATGGAAGACATTTTCATCGAAGTTTTTAGTTCTAAGTTTTTCGAAAAACTTGTGGAATTTAACCATTTTATCAAAACCGTTTAGGAAGTACCAGATTGGGACGAAGGTGCTGGTTCGACTTCACGATCCTGAATTATCGGAACGATTCCTTGGATCCAATAAGGATCTTACGTTATTAGAAGCAGACGCCACTCTTCTCGGTCTTTATCATCAACGACCAATCGTGCCGCGAAATACTAGGATATCAAAGGGTTATATAATATTCTTTTAAGATAGTATGATATAATTTTCAACTTATTTTATATTTTTTATTTAAATATTATTCGTTCATCCATTATAAAATCACTTTTTATCATTAATTCATTTCAATAGAAATCTTAAGTCTTAATTAATTAAAAATAATTTTTTTGATTTCAGAACATAATAAGTCTGTGGAAAATGTAAAAACTGTGGCCTAAGGTAACCTAATAAGTCGTGATGTTGATTTCATCAGCTATAAATTCTTCATATTCAATTTCGCATAGCATACAATAAATATATAATAATAAATATATTTTTTTAATTTCCATATGTAAAAAAATTTTTCTTTTGTTCTAATTCCACTCTTTTGTTTTCGTTGATTTCTATTGAATTCTTTGGTATTTCTTAATTTCCTTGTTAAATGTTTTCAAATTATGTTTTTAGCACATTTTTTGATTCCCAATGAGTGCAGTAAATCTTAGTGGTTAAATGAATATCATCAAGAATCATGAATGGATTCAAATCGGGTTGAGGGTCGGCAGTGTCGCCGAATAGTGATAAGGGAGATCGTATGGCTCAGTGGGTTGTTGCTCAGTTCGCGATTCTGACGCTGAGGTTCTCGCTGAGACCCGGCAAGAGTGAATCTGTCCAAAGATCGGAATTACGCTTACCACTCACCTATATTTCTATCGCCAAATGACTCCATAGCAAAATTTGGCTGGTCCAATAAGCGGAGTGAGATCTGCAATAATCTGCAATACCTAATCTGCAATAGTGAACCCTTTTAGAAAAAAAAGATGTAGCAGATCAAGACCATTTTGCTAAGGTAATGCGTACACGGTAGACAGAAAATGCAGTAAATTTGTTCACTAATAATTTTTACTTGTTTTGTATGAGAGTGTGAATGCATTTCGTTGGATCTTTGAAAGAGTTTATAAACTTATAAGATTAAACCAAGTCGGGCATGTTGAAGGACGGAAAGTTCCTTCGTTTATATTCAAGCACCAAGCATTGTCGTTGCAATGTTGAGAACAAAACAAGCTTCGCTTCTGTCGTTTGGAAAAGAGTGCCAATCTGCAGAAAAGATCGACTCGAACTTTTGTCGAGAAATTTCGGGCTTCTCGATTCCTTGATTTTCTCAAATTACAACCGTTAGTTTGAGGTTTACAGACTTTTCGAAGTTTTAGTTCGGACTATTTAATTTCGCTCTCAAGTATTACTTTTGTCTTTTTTTCTCTGATTTATGGCTTATTTAGTGTATCGATTCGGTAAAAAATCGATTCTTGTCTTTTTCTTTTCTTCTATGTTATACTCTTTGCGTTCGACATTCTCTTGCATTTTCAACGATTCAACTTTTAGCGTTATTGTTGTTGCACTGATTCGTGCCAGAGGTTCCTAAGCCACTAGGTTGGGCAACCCTTCCATTCAGTCGGACTCAGGCTGCTTGTGTTGCCTTTGTGTCGTCTCACTCGTTTAAGCACTTAGATTTGGCTCGTTTAGTGGAACTTGGCTTTTGTCGCCTCACCCGAACTGCATAACCGGGCTGTTGGCTTGTTGAATGCACTGCTGGCGAGCTCTGACACGAAGCATATTTTGATTTCTTTCTCGTAAATTGTTTTACAGTCGATTATTGTTTGGTTAGATTTTCTAAAATATTTTTTTTGCAACTTTCACTCGTTATTTCACTCGCTACTTGCATAGTTCGCACTTATTTGTTTGTTTCGGAGTCTCCACAGCTCGCGACTCGTCCATTCGCGGCCCGCACAGAACTTGCACCTCACGAATTTTATTATCGCGTCGCATTTCTTTTATGCGGTATAGAATGGTGGAAATGCTAAGAAAATTGCAGCTGCGGCGGATTTCGCGATTTATTGAGATGACCTTATCAAAACTGTCAATTGATAAGCTCAATTTGAGAGATAAACGTGTTCTTATTCGAGTCGATTTCAACGTCCCATTAAAAGAGGGCAAAATTACGAATAATCAACGAATTGCTGCAGCAATACCAACGATTAAGGTAAATATTTCAATTGTTTGTATTATTGCTTTTATTTTTATTCAGTTTTCGTTAAATTTAATTATTGGTGCCAATCGTATTGTCAAAAAATGGATGTTTTTTAGAAAATAAAAAAATTTCGAAAAATTGTAAAAATAGTAAAGATAATGAAAATTTTACATAATAATTTTTCGTTAAAATTTGTAAATTTGTAATTTGTAAATTCGCAGTTTCTTCATTATTTTATTGCTTGCAATGTTATCCAATTCGTTCAGTCCGATATTGCAGACAAAAAGGCAGTTTTTTCCTTCTTTTACCCCGTTTTTTTTCACGCCGCAAAATTTCTTTGTAATTCGCCCATCGATTTATTTGTTTGGTCATCGTACCATTTTCTCGAAAGTATGCAATTTGGAGGGATCAAAGCCATCAATGTTTTTGTCCTTCTCCTTTTTTATTATTTTTATAATTTTTACATTTAATTATATAGTTACATGTAATTTTTGTAATTTATTAACATTTATAAAAGATATATGATTCCTAGTACGCACTGGATAATGGAGCAAAATCGGTTGTGCTTATGTCTCATCTTGGACGACCTGATGGTCGGAAGCAACCACAATTCACTATGGAACCGGTTGTTGCTGAATTAAAAGCACTGTTGAATAGGTTTGCGAAAATTTTTTCAATCAAATGCAATTTCTTAAATTAAATTCATGCAACAATATTTTTTGGCTGAAATTGCTCTCGGAAGAAAATGAATAAATATGAATATGAGTTCAGTTTTTTTCGATAAAAATTGACTCTTTTTTTTTTAAAAAACGAAAGTTTATCGTAATTTTTTGTAGAGATGTTATATTTCTTCATGATTGTGTTGGTCCTGAGGTAGAAAAAGTGACAGCAAGCCCGACACCGGGAAGTGTAATATTACTCGAAAATTTGCGATTTTATCTGGAAGAAGAAGGAAAAGGAGTCGATGAGAAGGGTGAAAAGGTATTTGAAATAGACAGTTATGGTAGTAAGAAATTTCATTTGAAATCATATCTCATTTGTTTGGCTGGCCCTCACTCCTTTTCTTTTGGACTCTTTCCTTTCCTTCTATGGTTTCACCCATTTCATCTAAAGGTACTTTGTTATTTTTTACATTAATATTATTATTTATTGCAGGTTAAAGCTGATGCTGGAAATATTGAAAAATTTCGTTCTTCATTAACAAAACATGGAGATGTATATATAAATGATGCGTTTGGAACCGCTCATCGTGCTCATAGGTTTCTTTTCTCTTTCAATTTGTTATAGTATTATTAAGAATTTGGGCCTTTTTTTAATGAAGTTTGAAATCTTTCAAATCTTTCCGATTTAAATTTTTCATTTAGTTCATATTTCAGTTCGATGGTAGGAATCCATTTGAATCAACGAGCAACAGGATTTTTGATGAAAAAAGAATTGGATTATTTCGCTAAAGCACTTGAGAACCCCATTCGTCCATTTCTTGCGATTTTAGGTGGAGCAAAAGTCGCAGATAAAATTCAGCTGATTCGAAATCTCTTGGACAAGGTATTTAAAAAAGAATATGTATGATGTTACATATAGAGTATACGTCTTAAAATGACTGAATTCCAGGTTGATGAAATGATTATTGGCGGTGGAATGGCCTATACTTTTTTGAAAATTATCAATGGTATTAATATTGGAAAATCATTGTTTGATGAAGAGGTTGGCTCCATTGTTTTGTTCCCTTTCTCAATTTTTACTTTCTTGATTTTTTAAGGGTGCTAAAATTGTTGGTAATTTAATGGAAAAAGCGAAATCGAAGGGAGTAATTATCCATTTACCCGTGGATTTCATCATTGCTGATAAATTCGCTGAGGTATTTTTTAGGTTTCTTTTTTCATTTGAATCTCTGCTTCAATTAAAAATCTCACATTATCCTCTCGATTTTTGTCAGAATAATCAAGATTTAGATTTCTTAGATAAAGGTTTCTTCTTTATTAAGATTCATAACACCTAGAAGTACTATTTCAAAAAAATATCTGCGACATCATTTTAATTAGGGCCATATGGCGTAATTTTCTAGATTTGACTTTCCTTTAATTCCTGCTGATAATACTGCATTAATATTTTAGTACCTAATTCAATCGTTGATAAAAATAAAATTTTGATTTTAATCGTAGTAGACCAATCGTAGTAGATCGTAGTCAAAAATTCTTCTAAAAATTTAAATTTATTGCTTAAAACTACAAAAACTTTGAAATTTTTCTGAGATGCACAAAACATGTTAAGCTTTAAAATATATTGTTTGTTGTCCTTCAAAATAGTCAACATCAATTAAGAAAGCCTACAGAACTTATATCGGTTAAATCCTAATTATAAATGTATCATGATATAAATGTAAACCAAAATTGTAAACTGATGGTAAAATTGTAAAAGATCTGAAGGATAAAACATGAAAAAAAAACCAGCCAAACCAAACAGGGCGACAGCTGTGCTAATAATAACAATATTAATAAAGCGGGTGAAATAACAAATAATAATTAATGATGAAAAAAAGAAAAAGAAAATATGAACAAAAAGCAAGAATTTAAAAAGGAAATAAAGAGGAAATTACAAAATATGACAGTACAATTCAATTTTTTTTTTTACATATATATTTTAAGGCTTAACTATATTATATAATAGGATAGTAAAATCGAGAGTTCAAACTTCCTGCATGATGTGAACTTTTTAAATAATATCATAAATGATATTATTTAATTTTGATAAGATAATCTTTAATTTTAACGATAGCTAAGGATGGCGCACAAGCTATATCGTTCGGTAATTTATTCCAATAATTAATAGTACGATTAAAGAAGTCATAAATCCTTAGTTTAGTTTTGCACATAGGGATTTACAATACAACCTGGATTCATAGATTTTAGTAATTGATTTCAAATGACTGTAATTTTAGCCCATTAGTTCTTGTTGGATTCAAATTTAGCACAGAATTATGATATTTTGAACAATAATTTAATATAGCCATACAGAATCTTATTAGAATAAATTAAATATTGTTTCATTCGACAAACTGAGAGAGAATCCAGGTTGTATTGTAGAAATGTTCTTTTATAATTAAAATTGCTATTAGACGAGAGGTCGTTTAAAATATTTTTGGAGTCCTTCAATTATTTTACTTGATTTATGATATATCTCAGAGAATAATATGTAGTATTGAAGGCAAGAAGAGGCCGAACGAATGCTTTGTATATTTTGAAAAGAAAACCTTCGGTTTTATTCTGAAAGGAACGAAAAATAAAATTTAGTATCATTGAAGGTTTCGTTACTATGGTTCTGCAGTGAAGGTCGAAATCGAGATTTTCATCCATGATTATTCCAGGATCGAAAATGTATGAGACTGTCCTGATTATTATTAACAATAATAAAAAGATTAGGAAAGTCGAATCCTTTAGAATTAATATGAAAAACACTACACTTTTGAAAAGAAAGGGTAATTTGCCCGTCATATCTAGCCAGGCTGAACAATCGGAAAGATTTGCCAATATTTGTGAATAAGTAGGTTTTTTCGTACAAAAGCCATGCTGATAGGAGGATATGAAATTATTGGCATTAAGTAAGAAGTTTGTTGCAAATCAACCTTTCGAGTACCTTGCTACCAACGCATGTTAGGCTAATAGGCCTGTAATTAGAAGGGTTATAGTTGCTTCCTTTTTTATGGATGGGAATTATATGAGAGACAGAACAAGATTTAATTATAAAACTGCTAAAGAGATAGAACAAGATTTATATTATGATTTTAACTAAAATTTTAAGTTAATGTGCGATGATTTTATTGTTTACATAATTACATTACCAAAGAATGTGGTTTTAGCATTTTCTAATTTATTTTCTAGTTCCTAGTAGAATTAAAGTTAAATAAAGATATATTATTTTGAACCAGTTATAATATGTTGCGTATCTCTTCTCTTTTTTTCTATTTCCCTGATTTATTTTAAATTTTTTGATTGCTTTTTTTATTATAATTGAAAGAACCAAACTTTAATTTTTTTTTCTCTAAAAAAAGTAAATTTATATCTGAGTTCCACTTATGATTTAGATATTGCTTAATGAAAAGTAGTAACGATCGCAACTAACATGGGAAGAATGAAAAAGTAGAATTGAAATAAGGTTGTCATGTATCATCTCGCAATCGTTTTGAAGTAAAGATATCCATGTCGGCGCAAAATGCGAGATAACTCGATCATGAATTGGCGCCTTGGTCTAAAGTATCTTTTGTAAGGTCTACCATCCGAAGAATCAAGTGAAAGTTCACACAAAGATGACGGTGAACATGAAGCTAAAAGTGGTGATATTCTATATTTTCCCTGATGCCAGTCATCCTAAAAATATGTTGATTTGAGTAAATATGTTACTGGCCCAACAAATCAGAAAAAATTGCTTGGCTTGATTACTCAGTAGAGATAACTTGGCAGAAATTTTCAGAAATTTTCAGAAATTATCAGAAATTTTCCCAATTATTTCAGTCTCAATCAGTAATAGGCGTGACAATATAAATTATAAAATATTAATTATAAAGCCATTGCGCAGATTATGAATTCGTTATGAAGTCATGTTTGATTCATTTTTTCTCAATACTTTAAGGATGCATCTTTTAAAACTTCAAATCTGAGTTCCGGAATCCCGGATGAATATATGGGTCTTGATATTGGTCCCGAAACAACGAAACAATTCGCAGATGTTGTTCTTGGAGCAAAAACTATTGTGTGGAATGGACCAGCTGGAGTCTTTGAATGGGAAAATTTTGCTCATGGCACCAAAGGAATCATGGATGCAGCTGTGCAAGCAACGGCCAAAGGAGCTGTTACTATCATTGGTTTGTTTTACAAGTTAGCGAAGAAGTAAAAATATTAGGCGATTTTTATTTTTTCATACACATCGGTTTATAACTTTAAATACATTTAGTTTTCTAAAAAATTTTGGGGATTTTTTGGTTTTTTTTCATTCATTTATGTCAGCTTTTTGAAAAAAATACATTTGGCTTGTTTTTTTAAATTCAAATTTAAATTATAAATCATTAAATTTATCAAATATTAAATATTTCATCATTAAGGGAATTTTTCAATAAGTTTCAAATTTTTGTCTTGTTATGAGTATATAAATATAATTATAATTATTAACATAGGTGGTGGTGATACAGCGACTTGTTGCAAAAAATGGAAGACAGAAGATAAGGTCAGCCATGTGAGCACTGGTGGTGGCGCCAGCTTGGAGCTTCTTGAGGGTTATCAAGTTTTGTTCGGTTTATCAAATTTTAAAAATGTGGAAGTATAATATTTAAAATTATAAGAAATTTCATAATTTCCACTGTCTGAGAGAGCCCTTTGAATATTTTTAAATATATAATTTGAATATGTATTTTTAAATAGTTATTTTTTTCAGGAAAGGTACTTCCGGGCGTTGATGCGTTAAGTCCAGCATGAAATTTGCTATGACAATTATTGTATCATTTTTAGTTGTTGAAGCTTTTTTAGTAAACTTTATTTATGAATAAATTAGTGGTTTTTGATATTCGCATTCTATATCTGAGTTCCACTTATAATTTAGATATTGCTTAATGAAAAGTAGTAACGATCGCAAACTAACATGGGAAGAATGAAAAAATAGAATTGAAATAAGGTTGTCATGTATCATCTCGCAATCGTTTTGAAGTAAAGATATCCATGTCGGCGCAAAATGCAAGATAACTCGATCACGAATTCTTATATTCTTATTTGATGTTAGAAAGATAGTGAGTAAAATTTTTCATGGCTTAGAAATAAATTATATAAACCATTAGTGGTATTAGCACTGGTTAAAGTAGGAACTCTTAATCCTTTTTATTATATTAAAACACACCTATCTAATCATTTAAATTTAATGGCTGCACAGAAGGAAAACGAATTTATGATATATGGTAGCTAGATTCATTAAAACGTATTTAGAATTCTTACCGAATAAAAGAATCAAGGTCTCATTCAAAGGTCAAGATGGTTTTGTTTTTTGATAAAAAGGAAACTCCTTATATTTCTTTCATGATGAAAAATGAAATTTTTGGCTTAAATACTATTGTTTATTCATTTTTATTACAATTGTATGGATTTTCTGGAAAAATAATTGTTATAGTTAAACATGAGAAAAAATTGCTTAATTAAAAGCAAAAGGCGTAATTATTGAATTCTATTCATTTTTTACAATTTTTTCGATGCAAATTGTGTAAATTTATCAAACTTTGAATTATAACAGCTACATATAGATTTATTTCTTTAAAAAAAATCTTTTCTTAAACATTTTTTAAAGCGTTGACTGAAAACAGCAGTCAATAGGTTACATACATATATGGCACGTCTCCAGGCAACTGGCAGAAATAGCTGAACTAATCGCCATGGTTACCGATGAAGAGTTTTGTTTTGTGTTTTTCTCCAAAATCATTCATTGTTAGCATAATATGGTAGACCAATAGCTCTTCGTTCTGCCACATTTAACAAGAAACTCTTTCAATTTTTGTGGCTTCTTTGGTGAAATTTGCTTTGCGCTATGGGTTCGTTGCATTATATTGCATTCTTTCATTGCATATAATTAGCGTTATTTTTTTTCGTTTTTAAGCAAGTGTGCCGGTCTGAATATCAATTTTTGACAGTCATTTGCAAGGTAGAGCGAATATTGTTTCGACTCAGATCAAGCGTCATGCTTTCAATTTTCGCTTACCAATGAAAAAATAAATGATTAAAGTGATTTCACTGTAACGGTGCAGCTACACCACATTTTAGGAGTTATTAGAAGGAAGAAAAGTGACGGTCAGTTTTGTCTGTGTTATTAAGTTCGTAAACCAGTTTCATCTGCCTGTATAATTTTGCTATTCTCTTAGTAGAAAGGCAAAGTAATTAGCTAACATCTGAAATGAAACAATGTAAAGGAGCAATAGTTAATTCGATGTTGCTTTCAGTTTATTCACACCATTTTCAGCTTCAACGCTGAAAGAAAACGATACGCTTTATCCATGCCATTATTGCTCAAGGCATTTCATTCGCAGCAGTCTCGTAACTATTTTAAATGATTTGAAAAATTAAAGGCAGATTAGCCGAGTGGGTAATGGTTTAGATGAACATCTGCTTGGTTTCTCAGAGATGAATAAAATTTTAGATACATGTGTATATGCAAGGTGAGCCAAAAACCGAGTGGTGATAATCCCTTGGAAAAAATTTTTTTAACCATAAATTTCTAACAGCAGACCTAGCCTAATCAAAAATAATAACTGATAACTATTTATTTAATTTTAACATTTTAATAAAACACATGTTTATATATATATATATATGGTGAACAATATATATTAAAGGGCATAACCTAGTAGCTTGTCTACGAGAATATTTGTTCATTATATGGCTTAGATCTTTTTAAGACTGGGTGCGAAATTTCCCAGAAAATGCTGATCGTATGAGGCTTCCTCCGTCCAGACATACGAATAAATATTGAACCAAATATCGTGGTAGTAAACAAGAATCAGAAACCAGCAAATCTCTGTTCAAAGGAGCTTATTGCAACATTAAGCTTCCAGGCCTCTTGTAGAGATTGAGGATGATCCATACCGCCCTCACGAAGTGAAAAAGAGATATTTTTTTATTGTAAAGGCATCTATTAAAACAAAAAAATATAGATGCATGCACAAATTAACGAGAAACTGCAATAACTATTTGTGAACCCCGCTTTACTTTACTCTTCATTGAACATTTTGTTATTGGTAACTGGAAATAATGATATGTATAATAGATGAATAGAGACCAAAAATGACCGTAAATAAATTGTGTAACACCGTTCCTTTTCCAGCCATTTCCAACTTTAAAACGATTTGTGGTATATATATAATTTAGTGTTTCAGTTCCAATATTTCTATTTTTTTGCATTTCTATTCATTTGTATTAGTTTTTCATCTCATACGTACTTTGCTGACACCAGCACATGGCTTGTGGCTTGGTAAATTATACAGGAAAAAATTGAAATAAAAGAGGCTAAGAGCCTGAATATTAATAAATAATAGTAATATAAAGGAATTCCATAAAGGAATTAAATTTTTCAGGAGAAACATGAACCAATCTGCAAAAAGATGTCGAAAAGTCGCCGAAAGATATTTGATTCAGGAAAGCAAAGAGCGACAGGTTCGGATATTACAATTACCGGCGTTAGAAATGCTCAAAAGGAACGCGAGATGGTAGGACCACAACAATGATGCTTTTATCACTTTTAAATTAGACATTTTATTTTAATTCCAAATGCGGTGATCGTGGAAACCGTGCTACCGGCAAAGATGTTAAAATTTATTTGTTACAAAATAGTAGCAGATAGCAGGAAGATTATGCGAAAAATTCGCTTAATTTAAAGTCTTAAATAAAAAAGCTTATTTCATTAATATATTATATTTCAGGTTGGCGGCACATTTCCTCGACCTAAAACGAGTTGGCGAGAAAAGCACGAATCGTTTGTTAGCGCAGTGTCGGCATCAAAACAAGTGGATTATGCGTTGAAAACGGGTACTTCGTTATCCCTTCCTCCTAAAACATCTCTTACAAGAGGTAAACTCGGCAAGTTTCATAGTGCTACACCTTATTAGAACCAATTCTGTAAAAATGATCAATTTTTTTGTAAGGGCATATCTTTTTAAGATAGAAAAATCAAGGGAAATCTGGTCAAAAATCTAGTTTACTATTCGTTTTTGACAATACGAGTGAAAATGAAGAGACATTTTCAAATTTCTCAGTCTCAAATTATTCTCCCTTTTTCTTGCAAAATTCATTAAAAAAACTAAATATTCAGGGTAACACTGGAGAATTCGCAGTTATTTTTACTTTATAAATTTTTGCATGATGATTAAAAGCTTTTTTTGAAAATTTTCGCAAATGCTTAAGTTTTAAGTATTAAACATTCTTCTTAAACCGACAACAAATCAGATAGTTTTTTCAATTTATCGAGCAATTAGCCTGGTTTTAAGTGGAGATATTTGCTGAATTCGCTTGCTTTTTTTTATTCATATTTCTCATAATTTTATTCATATTACTCATACTTCTCTGCTCTGTATCAAGTTGCTCCATTTATTTAGCAAAAATTTGTTTCAATATTTTATAGCTGCTTATGCTTACTATATTTTTGCCATTTTGTTCAAATGGTATTCGTGGAAAGAGAAAATACATAATTAATTAACAAAAATAACAAAAATACATAATTAATGAAGGAAGGAAGAGGAGCAATCGAATGGTTGCTGTTCAGATTACCATACCAAGCTTCATGGTTTGAACCCTGTTTCAGATAGGAAAAAAATATTTTTAAAAATGTAAGCTGAGTTGAGGCCTCTACCGTTTTCCTATTCCTAAATGACTCGTGAACGAAAATTTTCAATCATACGAACAGCTAATAGAGCGACTCTATCCAAAAATGGTGAGCGCTTATCTTCTACAATCGACAAGATCAGTTTAAATCACGACAAAAAAATTTTTTTTCCATATCGTGCAATTGAAACTCTTTCGTATAACTATCACTTAAGGTTTTATAAGTATTAAATTTGTCACTGGATAGATAAAACATCCAGCTTTGGATGGAAATTTGTAAGTTCGACAGGGTATAACACAGCTCCTCTTTTCTTACTGTATTAAATTTACTGTTATTTTGTTTCTTTCGCAATTTCTTATTTCGAAGCCTTTTCATTAGAAAAATGGCTTTTTCTGATAAATTGATATTAATTCGGAAATATTTTGATAAATGCGCAGAAATTTCCTCAAGAATTCCAACATTTTTGTTTTCGGCGCTTCAATGAACGTTTCAAATAATTTTTTCATATTTTCAGTTTTAACAAATGAAGATCTGGAAGATTTAGTTCGAAAATATTGCGAAAACGAGAATCGATCACCTAAAAATATATCACCGCCATATCATAATGGTGTCTATAATTTTTGATTGTCTTTCCATAAATTTCCACAAAAATCTACTAGAAATATCGAAAATGTAGAATTCCATTTTCACGACATTCCTATTCAAAATATTTCTTTTAATTTTAAATATTTTTAATTCTCAAATTTTATTTATAAATCATTACAAATAATGGAAATTAATAAGAAATGACTATTAAAGTTTGCGAAGATGAATAATTTCAATGCTTTTTTTCAGTATAAAAATTATAAAATAATAACCAAATTGAGATGAAAATCGTTTCCACTTTTTTCAAATTTTTTGTAAATTTAAATTTTTTATTCTTTTATTCAATTCTACATAATCCAGTATTTCAAGTTTCAGTGTTTCTTTTTCATACATTATCATAAATCTAAAATAATAAATTCACATGAAAAGCGACTTCGATTAAAAATTATTGCTTTTTTAAGAAATCGACCTATAAATGGGAATAGATAATCGAATGGATAGTGGTTCAGATTATGATTTTTAATAAATAATTATGTAAAATTTCAAATTATGGGCAGGATAGCCGGGTGGATAATGACTCAAGTTGTTGCATTGAGAGGCATGATTCCGCACCTGTTTCGGACCTGTTATTTCTAAGTGGAACTGGCAACCTTTTTATTGGCAAATGACTCCCTGGTAAAACTTTCTGGCAAGCTGGAGTGGAGAAGTAGGGTAGCTAGAAATGAATGCTAAGCACCTATACCTATTTATTAAATGAGAATATTTCTTAGTTATTAGTTTGAGACTGCGATTTATTTTTAGATAAATTATCCAGTAAAACATATTATTATGTAATACAAATAAAATAAAACAGCTTTGCAAAATGCACGAAATCAATAAAAAGAAATTGCATATTTCCCCGAGAAAATAATAGTAAATTATGATGAATCTGGTGGATAATCATTCCTTGATAAGTTTGCGAAACTCATTTACGAAATAATCAACGCTGAAAACGTCTCTTCCATTTCCGTTTCATTCTATACTCTATAAAATTATCATTATCATCACCGAAAAGCTTTCACCATTTTTGATTTGATTTGCTTGACTGATTCTTGGGATAGAGGCGCTTTCAACAATGAGCCACTTGGGAATAGAAGTTAGAAGTATACTTGGATCCCCACTACCACTCTATTAATAATAACGTTAATGCCTGTCAAAGGATAAGAATTTTATTACTAACAAATTCATGTTAAATGGCTTGAAAGTTTCATTTGTTTTACCATATCCCAAAGCTTTATTCAAAATTTCAATATTTTTCCCATCATTTAATTCACATATTTAATGCCTCAAAAGCCAAATAATGGCTTAATAGCAAGTTTTTGATAATAAAATTTTTAGAAATATGCTTACTTCTATCGAAATATTTGAAATGAAAGAGTTTGAGAAATCCCAGGAAAAAATATGGAAGAAAATAACTTTAAAAGCGATTTCTTATTTGCCTATTTTATGTAAATTTAGGAGAATCATCGAAAAGTTTGAAAAAAATTTCTAGAAAATGAATGAATTTTAATAGTTATCGATGAGAAAAGGTAGAAAATATTGGTCGGAAACTAGCCGCATATTTCAAGTTTTCTTATCCTGAATAATATTAACATAATATTTGCCTCCGATATATGCTTAGCCCATATATCGCTGAGCGATCGCTGTGCCTCGCTCATCAACTGTCAGCACAAATAGAGGATATTTTTATTATCTTAATATTTTTCCTTGCTCGTCAACCGCTCTCTCTATTTTAATAGTTATTGGAAGTTGATAGAAATCGCAAGATGACTTCAGTCTTCCCATAATTTACGACTCTTCAGACTTTCCTAATTTACTTTCGGATAATATTGTTGATAGTGATCTTCACTGGATGGACTCTGCTGCATTGCCGCAGAAATTAAGAATGGTCTTCGTCTTCATTTAAAAAAAGAAAAACTTCTTGTTTATAACTTATCTAATAATTTTATAACTCTAAAATCAGAAAGTTGAAAAGAAAAAGGCTTTTTTTACGATGCGCTTTTATTGTTTCAGTTAATATTTTGAGAAACTATTTTGTAGATTATATCAGATGTGATTACTGTGGGCGAAATTTCAATGCGCAGGCGGCTGAACGGCATATTCCATTCTGCAAGAATCAACACGAGCGAAAAGGGCCAATAAAAGTAATTCAAGCAAACCGAATGCAAACCACCGCTTCAAAACGCCAAAATACATCAGTAATCACTAATTCGACTGGCTTATTTTTTCCATTACTATTAATTGGGATATCAATTTACTTATTCTCCAATTTATTTATTCCATATATAACAAAGAAATAACTAAATGAACGAATATAACAAACATAGCAGGTAGGTACTATTCAAAACGACGGACGATACACCACAGTACGAGTTCGAACAACCAAAATGATATATATGAGTTCGAATAAGTCCATCATTCCCATAATTGCAGTTTTTGGAAGAAAGTATTTTTCAGTTTGTACATCCACAGAATATTTTAGACAAGAAGTAATTCACAGCGGATCTTAGCGCAAGATACAAGTGAAATCTGGAATTCAGCGACTTATCAAAATCGTTGTCAAAATCGCAGTAGAATACCATCAAGAAGATCGTCAGCAGATCGCACATTTATAGTGTCGAAAGAGCCGAGTCAACAACTTGTAAACGACGACAGTTCTAGTGCTCCAAATAGAAGCAAAACTCTGGCTCCTGTAAAGTAAATAAATTTTTTTAAAATATATAACTTTACTCGCACGAACTCCTTTTCTTTTCACCTTTTGAACAGCTCACCATTTATGATTTGGCTTGTTAAAATGATTAGTAGGATGAAACCCTTCCAGTTAGGAATAAAATTACAGCTGGGTCCTCACGATATGTAAAAACTGCTATAAAAGAAAAAAAATTCTTTCATAGGCAATTGATCCATAATTAGCCTAAAAGAACATTTTCAGGCGAAGCAGCTCTGCTCCACGACAAAAAATGAATAGTTCCAGCAGATCGTCAAATATATCGCAGTTAGTTTTTTGCTGTTTCTGCACGACATCCATCCCAGTATTATTTCTCTCTTTCTTATTTTCATCGTACTTATTTTTATTAGTTTTATCATGGTTAAGGTTTATCATTTCCTCTGCCGAGATTTTTTGTTTTTCTCTGTTTATACGATTGAAAAAGAAAAATACGAAATCTTTCAGATTCTTTATTAAAAGGATAATTAGAAACGATTTCCAGTCATAGATTTTCCTAAAATTTATCTAAAATTTTAAATTTAAATTTAAAATCGTAAGGTTAATTTAAGGTTAATGAAAAATGACTCTTATTCAACAAATGGCTCAAGAATTCTTTATACAAGAATAACTAAAACCAGTCAAAGTAAACATTCTACAGTGAAAAAGTTATAAAACATTCCCCCTAACCACTTCATAACCACTCGAATACCAGCTTTTATGATAGAAAATAATGATAACTGACAGAAAATATATATTTATTGCAGTGAATATTTTAATAAACAATTTTTAATGATTCTTTTATCACAATACAATATATTATAAATTTAAAAATTCTAAAAATTCTTAAAAAATTTAGTAAGCCATAATCGCTAACCCCTGAATATTTCCTTTTCATTTTCTTTTTCAGTGAGATTCCTGAATTACGAAATATAAAAAAAAGAAAAGAAAATCTGCACAATTTTTTTACTTCACGGCTCTGAAAAAGCCTTATAACAATGCTTACATGAATTCAAAAATGGACTTGAATTTGAATTATGAACTTGAAATTGTGAAAAATTTTCAAATTAACCAACCATATTTCGAAAATAATATAGGAAAATAACAAATAATAATCGTAAACAATATTTGATACTTAAAAATAAAATCCAGGCGATGATGAGAATTCCATTATATTTCTATCTTCAAAATAAGATTTTAGGATCAAAATGGCCTAAAGGTATATTGTTCCAATCAAGGGCTTTTTTTAAAGCATTTTCTTGTTAGACTCGCTCCAACTTTGCCAGGAAATCATTTGGAGATAGAAATATAGGTGGATCGCTAGCACCACCCATTTTCTGAAAGGTTTCCTCCTGCCATGAATAGAATACTAGCATTGGAATAAGAGTAAGGACTCACTAAGTAAAATGAATCTGCCATTAAAAATTGAATGGGAATCCTGGGTACATACCTGTACTTCAATCTACTTTCGCAAAAAGATACAAGCAGACGCTAGAACAAGCCAAACGGCAAATGCTATAGGAAGAACCATTAAGAATGAAAAATTAATAGATGATAAACTTATATAACTTGCGAAAGATTTAGATCAAATATTAAAACTGATACAAGGAATGGTTCGAAAATTTAAGTGCAAAAATATAGATAACAGCGCTAGAGCGAATTAAAATCATGTGAGATATGGAATGAACGAGTCGTTTCCGTTTTATTCTTTGATGTCAATTCTTTAGCAATCGGACGAAGCAGAAAAATTCCATCATTTAGCACATAATATGCCTATAAAAAAGGTAAAAAATAAATAAACAAAAAATATGATTAAAATTAAAGATGAATCATTAACTTAATTAGAGGAACCAACCCTATTGAAATCTCCTTCGCATAGATAAGGAAGTTTACCCCATCGCACTAATTCAAAACCCATTCGGTTCAGAAAATAAACTAATGATACAGCTTGTTCTTCAAATGTCAATCCATAGATCGGTAGTTTAGTATCTTTAATTTCATTCTTTAAATTTATGAAAATCATTGTGAATGTTGACGATATTATTTCATTCTATATTTTGATTATTCTTTTCAAAAAATAAGCCATTTATATTAAAAATTATATCATTAAAAATTAAAACATTCGTCATAAATGCATTAAACTAAATATCATTAAATAAATTAGAAAACGTTATTAAAAATAATTATTATTAATATTATTAATTAAATTATTAATAAATATCATTAAAAATAAGTCAATAGTAAGAAATTACTATCCCATTGGGAAAATGAATCCAGGTGCATTTCATGCAAAGGTAAACAATTTGAGAATTTTATTAAGATGTAAAATTTGTTTTGCAAATTCATTTTTAATTAAAAATTTTGAACTTGCCAGGTAAAGTTGTTTTTTTTTTCGGATGAAATTCAACATATTGACGAACAGGCAGTACAACAGCTAAAAGAAGTAGTGCATCTGATTTCGATGTGATTTCATGAAGATCAGATAATAGTTGAAGTGGATCATAATGCCTATCAAGAAGGTTGAGGGCAGAAACAAGATTGAAAGGTCCTCTTGTCTTCCAATCGTCTACTGGAAGTACGAGGAAACCCTTCTGCTGTAATCTCCAAGCCATCATCTACAAGCAAATTTTTTTGTAAAATTAATGAAAATGCAGTTTATACTAGAATGAATAATATTATAACAAGAGAGAAAAGTTCGGAAAAATCGCGTGATGACGATCAGTTGAATTAAATATTAACTTTTGATGCTTCAGTAGCTGCAACATTGTTATAAAACTGAGATAGGATGTGAGTTACTTGACCGTCGCCAGCACCCAAATCCAATAACTAAAATAGTAACAAACAATGATAAAGGAAAAATACAATTTCTACTTCAAAGAATTTTGAAAAAATTTTCAAAAAAATAAACCTGATATTCGAGTTCAAATTAATAATTTTTCAACGATGATTTTTCTTTCCTTACAATCAGATAATTGAAACTTAAAAAAAATTTCAACAACAAACAAATTTATCAGCGGCGATCCAATTATGAGGAATTTGAAGAAAATTACGAAAATTCTGCGAAGAAAAAATGAACATTCTTCCACGATTAAGAACGCCATTTATGCTTGTTTTTGTCATAAAAAATGACAAAAATGACGTTAATAATGAATAGTAAAACTGCAAAATATGTAATAGTTAATTGAATCATTAATTTTGTCATATATCACTTATTCATAGAATCTCAAATAATTTCGTGATAAATGCCCATCTCAAGACATTATTTTGCATTATTGCTTTATAACATATGAATATGGTAATAAGTCATTGGATCAGTCATTTAACATATCAAAAGATTCTTAAAATAATTATCATGCTCAGAATGGTCGAGTAGTATGTTGTTTCGAAGATCGTAGAATCATAGCTTCGATTTCCGAGCCTTGACGTAAATAAGCCTAATATTTAATATCAAAAATATTACTGATGTTAAATAGTGAAAGGTGATATTATGGATTGAATTATATCCACAAATGACTCTCTGGCGAAGCGATGCAACCAGAAAATATGACAAGTTATCAGCCAACAAATATGTTTAAAGCGTAGAATCCATTAAAATTACCTGAAGAAGAATTCGATTGCTAGTCGTTAAGGAATTTTGAAGAAAATCATTCGTTTCCAAATCAAAAGAAAATTCATGAAAATTATCGATCATAAAATGTGGTAATTGAGAACTAAAAACGCATAATAAAATTTGTCATCTAAATTTTCAAAAAAAAACAAATATTACAAAAAGTTTATCTATTTATCTTGGGAGATCTATATCGATAAGAAAAAAGTAGAGGAGGCTTAGCAATGATTTTCTCGATTCTCTACTCTTTTACTATCAAACATACGGCTAACCACTCGACTGAATACCATTTTTTATGATTTGTGGACAACATATAATAGTCTGATTCTTCTTTTTGCATTACACGGCGGACCATTTCCTTTAGGCCATACATTTTCTGAAAAATAATTTCATTTTAGAGGATGTATGAATGCTGATAAGCATAAGATTTCTTTATCAGTGGTCGCATGCGGCAGATTAAGGGTTCGATTTTTGCTCCCGACAAGATAAGATTCTTTTCTTAGAAAATCCAAGTAATGCCGGCGATCTACCTGTACTTCTAGCCAACTGATTCTTTGGCAAAAATTTCTATCGTACTAATAGCAATTTGCAAGTTTTCCGCCGTTCATAAACTTGTAAATGGATTTTATATTTGAGTTTGTTCACCGAGTTGTTTCTTAATGCGTTGAATGAATTGCCTTCTGGCACTCAAACTTGGGTATTCAATTGTAGAATGGAATTAAAACGAAATGGAATGAAACAAATTAAAAGAAATTTAGGACAAAACTTTGTAAATAAATAAAAAATAAAAAAGAATAATAAAACTCTGCCACAACAGAGTTCAATACAACTTAGGGACAAAAACGAGAGAGTCCCTGCGCAAAATGGTTCTAATCCCTAGGTACCAACTGTAACAAATTGTGCTGTACCTTTTTCTAAAACCAATAACTGCTCATTGAAATCTGTCAAGGCACAAACTTCAATATTGGAATTCCTCCTTATTACTCGATTATTTCATTCGTTAACCAAACCAAACTGTAATTATTGCAAGAAAATTAATGAAATTTTCGCATTCTAACCCAAAAAATTCTACAATATCCTAAAGCATTAAAGCAATTGAAATTAATTAAAACGATAAATAAAAATAAATAATAATAAACCTAGGGATAAATAAAAGATTGCATAAAGAAAGTTCAGCTTTATTTTAGAACTTAGTAAATCATAATGCATCAATTTCTTCGTTAACAGTGCAAATGAAAAGTTGTAAATATCCACATTTGGTGGTTGCTTTAAATTCACTGCAGTATTTGGCAAAGTGATATGATATGACTTCAACAGATGAAGAATTTAAAGCCAACAATGATTAACCAAACATTCTCGCAAAAAATTTTATTAACCTTTCAAATACAAATAAATATCTATACAAATAAAAAAACAATACAAATATTTATGTAGAACCTATATGAAAATAGAAAAACATTTTAAGGAGGACGAGTTCATACTATCACCTCAAAACTCCTTATATTCCTTTAATATCCTTTCGAATTCTGTTAATTATTTAAGATCCTTTCGAATCATCAGCCGAATTATTCCCATTATTCTCCCTTACTTTAAGAATCTCATCCCCAAATTCCTATTCCGTCAATGCATCATGCTACGGCGAATTGAAAATATTTATAGGCGCAGCTGTAAACAAAAAGATTTGACGAGATTTTAAAAAAACATAATGGAGGTAGGTGGTATTAGGCGATTACAACAGATCTTCGAAGGTTTAACAGATTTAAAAGAATATAAGGGAACTTTTAGATATAAAGGATATAGGATATACATTAGAATTTGGGGATTTTGGCTAAAATTCAACCAATACAGATACAAATGAAAACTGGTATGTAAAGTAACGATTATCTATATTGAATACTAAATGATAAAAAAACTTAATTTTATGATAACATCGGAAAGAAAACCAAAAAATACAAAGCACCAAAATAACTGAAATGGATTTAATGTAAAAGGTTGAACAACAACTGGCATATCCATTATTGAAAATTTTTTAAAATCATCTGGTGTAAAGCAACTAATTTAGATCATCTGTAAAGCAACTAATAGACTAATCTCTAATACTTTACTTCTTACAATTCTCCCTTCATTTAGCACACCTTTCATGTGGGCAATACAAGAAAAAGATTGCGAGTCTAACCAAGTAAAAATCGTGAAAATAACCAAGAATTACTCAAAAACCTTGAAAATAGAAAAATATATACAACAAAAAACTATGGACAATTTTCTATGGACCTGATGATTTGCTAACGATCTGTGAATTTCGCTAATTTTAAAATGAAAAATGAAATATCAAAAGCATCTGATTCATGAACAGATTAAGGTTTAAACATTGAATTTATATCGTTCTGTATTATTACATGTGCCATAAAGAATTGTTACAGCCACAATATATGCTTAAATTGGACTTCCAAAAATTCTGAAAACTATAATAATTATAAAAATTATAAATCTTATAATATACATAGAAAGTTTAAAAAGTTTATTACCGTATTAAATTCGAAATCATTTGAAATAAGCATGACCACTAAGCAACACACCCTTGACCACGACCATCAGAATCGCCTGCTCCTCCGTCATGTCTCCCACATCTTTTTTCCACATGACCACGACAGTGACTGGTTTCACAATCCTAAAAATAGCAAACTAATTTTATCATTTAATTTAGTCCCGACCGTACAAAAATACCATTAATTCTTATTTCATCGAAAATTTCCATACAATTTTCTGATAAATCAGCTTTTTTCTTTGGAAGTTTATTCCAATTCATAAAAGGTCAAATTTTCATGAAAAACTTGAAATGAAACTTTAAAACTTGAAACATGAAAAACTTATGAAGAAAAAAAATTTGAAATAAAATAATAAAAATATTCAACTTATAATAACTGATAATTGAATTTATTTTTAATTCGACAAGTAAAATTGTAAGAAAATAAGTGTTTACTAAACAAATGTAATTCTTAGAAATTCAAGCGCAAGCGCAAATATACCGAGTCGGAATCCGATTCATCGCTCCACCTTTTTGGCTTCTTATAGATGCAGCAACATTTCGATTTGTGCTTGCCCAGGAATTCATTGTCTACCGTATCTGCCCTCCAACTAACTCTGCAAAAATCTCGGAAATTAACAGAAAAGTAAAAAAACTTTTAAATTTGACATTATCACATTTAAAAATATAAAATTATAATATGGAAATTTTTATAAATATAATGCACAAAATAAAATTCGTTAAACGTGGGAAATAAATTTATTCTACAAAAAAAACGATTCTTGAATATAAATATAAACGATTCTTGAATATATAAAACCTTAAATTTTTTATGAAAAATAGTAGAAATATTACATAAAAATCTATAAATGAGTGAAATTTACCTTGGCATCGCACCTGTTTCTGGCGGTATTAACGTCACTGTGGTCTGAAACTTGAGAAAATCAAACCATTGCTTTACACAAATATCATTTAAAGCAGTAGTTAACAATGGATCATATGTTCTTTAAAAATTTATGAGTGGGATTCAAGATATCCATAAAAAACCAAAAAAATCGGAATCAAAATTTCTTTATTCTTGAACTGATATAAGAAGTATGATTTGTAAAATTTTTACTCTTTTAGCACATTTTAAAAAAGGTTTCACCAGATATTTAAAAATGGCCTATGGCACGAAAAGCTGTCGATATAAAGTGGAATCTTCATAAATTTAAATAAGAAATTATTACGAACAAAAAGTATAAAAAATGAACATACAGCGGATTCCTCAATCTCATTGGTTTCAATTATCGTCGCTGAAGATGAAATCTCTTGAATTGTTTGGTTCATTATGTCTCTCTTCTCCAAGAAAAAAATTAATGTTATCAATCTGCCAAATACAATTTTAATTTTAATTAATATTTTGAATATATTTCGCATATTATTTAGTTAAATATTCGAAAAAATTCAACAAGTAAAACTGATGAAAACAATAAAATTTTTAAATGTGTTTTAGCTTATCGTTACTAATTTAATTAAAATATTGCTGATAAGATATCATTATCATCAAATTACTATTTGATAAAATTAAAAAACAATTAAAATTTTTAGATGTGTTTTAGATTTTAGAATTGTTTTATCGTTACTAATTTTATTAAAATAAGATATCATTATCACCAAATTATTATTTGATAAAATAAGAAATATCGTCTTCTCCTTCATATTCTTTCCTCTTCCTTCTCTTTTTACCTCTTTTAGTAACCGATAATCTACATTAAAACAGCGTCTCAAAATTTCCAAACAAATCTTAAACTTCATCCAGCTAAGTGCTCAACAATAAATGATGCATCATAAAAAACGAAAGTAAATTAAATCTGTAATTAAACATAATTTAATTTAGAATAATTTTAATTGAGAGTAATTGTATAATTTTAAAAAATTATAATTTTAGTTAAAATCTGAAATTCAAATATAATAAGGAGCAATGGAATGGTAAATCGTATATGTAAGATTGAGTTCAGGAAACCTTTCTATTTATATTTTTTAAAGGCATAAATGGTTAAACTCACTCCATTGGCTTGTTGGACTATACAAATATGTCAGAGGGCTCCTTGGCAATAGAAGTGCAGGTGAACCGCCGGCACCATTTTGTCACCCGATGAATTGGTAATTCGTTGCCACGAAGCCACCGACGCACCGGGGAGCAGAATGGCTGATACTGAGGTTCTATACCCGCACGAGTAAATCGTGCCTAAAAATCGCGACGAGGCAGTCAATAATGCAGCCAACTGCTACTTCGGCGCAGACAAAAGCCAACCTATCACCAAGAGTCCAAGCCTAAGTCTTGGAAAATTAAAACAACACCTATGCAATATCAATAAAAAGAAACGCAGAAGCAGGTCGCAGCCAATTCGTCAATCATTGAAAAATTTCGCCTGCTATTTACAGAATTCTAATTTTCAGACCAGACTTATTGATGATGGTTCGGATCGTACGATTGGTTGGAACTGTGGTGAGGGATTTGTCGCCAAGGTTCACTTGAGAGTAGCATAAGTGGATGCTTGCACGATTCGATCTCCTAAATTTGCTTTTGTTAATGGCCCGAATTCTTATTCATATTCATTTGATAAGCCACTCTAAAACTGAAATGATTTTTTAAAAAGGTGCTTGAATGGAGAAGTAAATATTTAAATATATTTTAAGGTTCCTCGAAGAATTCTGCCATTTTTCCAGGCTTCTTTTTGAGGAAAATATGCAAAATATATGAATGAAGATGTGGATAAATTTAATAATCGTTCGCTTTATGTGGTTGGTTATTGGTTATTGGCATTTGGTTATTTCCGAGAATATTGATATTGATTTATCGGTTGATCGAAGCAACTGGGAAAATCCGCTCGATCCATTATCGAATTATATAAAATGCAACGAAGATCATGTAAAGCAATTTGTCAACTGTCAGTATCAGTTGGCTAAATGTTCAAAGTCTGTATGTTTCTTTTTTAAGGGCTTTTTTGATTACGAGTTAGATATCGATTTTCGCTGAGGGGTAAGAGAAATTCTTAGGAGAACAATGTCATAGAAGATTAAGCTATCGGTGAAGGGGTGGCTTAATGCTAAGAAGGACAGCAACAAGTAAGAGGTTGGATATATTGCAGGGTTTCAGGGAATAGTTGAGTGATTGTTAATGATATTTTGATTGAGCATTAGCATTAAGCATTAAGCATAGATTCGATTTCTTTCCATTTCCCGGAGTAAACTTTATTAGAAAGAAACATTTTTATCTTTGTTCTCAAGTGGTTCCTTAATGGAAGAGGTAAAATCAGTAAATAGGAGTACTAAAAGGTTCCCCACAATTCTGAGATACTGAAGTCAAAAATTACTGTTCGAACTCAAAATTTAAGGATCTCTGTCAAACTTAAATTTTAAATTTAAATAGATAGTGTTTCTTGCGCAAATTTTTGCAAATATTTATTGTTTACTTTCTCCTTAAAACTTTCTTTAAAGCTTTCCAGTTTAATTTATTAATTTTTTAAAATCACTCCAGTATTTTCTAAAATATTACTTCCAAATTTTTATTTTCTTGATTTTTATATTTAATTCTTATGTCTGACTGATGAAAAACATAGTGTGAAGTATGGAATGAAACTATATAACCGTTCATTTTTATCATTTTCACTATTCATCATTTTTTATTATTTTCAGCTTGTTGATAAATCAGTTAATATGCATCATAAAGTTAGTGATCCTACTTTAAAACATATCATTCGTAACATATTAGAACGACTGAACGTGGATATTTTAAAGGTTAGCTACTTTTCTTATTGATTCCATCTTTCTTAGCTGTTTTCTCAACTGTTTTTATATTTTTAAATTTATATTATTTAGGTGCGAGAAGTGAATTGCGTTGCAAAAGTTTATATAAATGCTGCAGATGTTCAAATCCTAAGGAAGTATCTTAATTCAGAGGATGATTCTATTACTGTAAGAGAGCAAATACGGGCAATACTCGAGCAATTTGTTTTACCAGTAATTTTTTAAAATCTTTTTCCCTTCGAAGGTGTATTTTAAATCCAACTTCTATTTAACGAGTGAATCGTATGTAATAGTGTGTATGCTTTGATTATTTAAAAATGTAATCTTTAAATCTTCGTAATCAAGTCATTCTAATGATATATTTCAGCAAGAAATATATGATGAATCCACATTTGATCGCCTCATCAAGAATTTATATAGTTTTCTCCCCATTTTGAATGTGATTCTTTTATTACCAGCATCCTTGGTTCTTCTTCGAACTCGCTTTTCGACTCGATCGCTTTTTTCACTTATTATGTTGCTGTGTTTTGCATTATCAATTTTTACAACATACAATCGGAAGTATATGGTAAAGTAGATTTTCAATTATTAAAGTACCTTTAAAAATTTTTTGAAAACTTCATTCTTTTATCTGAACTGTTATTTTCTCATTTTATAGGAAATTGTGGCTGAACGTTTATCTCGTTCTAAATTCAATTCTGTTGATCGCTGTAAAACAAAAAATATTCTATCGAATTTGTATAAAAGTTTCATGGGATATTTTCATTTTTTCTCATCCCAGAAAGATGAATGTCTTCAATATTATGAGGTATCTCTTAATTTTTTTCTCATTTTATTCCCTGTTAGATATGTTCTTCTTCTAACAGCTTTCACCATTACTGATTAGGCTGGCTCCAGTGGCTACAAGAGGGTAAGACGCTTCCAAGTTTCGTATTTATGGTGATTTCACGATGATTCCATAAAAGCATCAACCGGAAGAATGCATTTCTGTCTGCCCTGATCCGAGTTATAATATCATCTTTTGCCTGTCATTTGGTATTAGAGTGGACCCAAGTATTTGAAATCGGGCACTTCCTCAACCGGCAATGAATTTACAAAAAAAGGTATTTTATCAGCTTCTTGCACATAAGACGAAAAGGCTTTCGTTTTATTTACATTGATCCTGAGTCCGATTCTTGCTGCAGTTTCTGACACGTTATTTAGTGTTTTTTGCATTTCGTTATAACTGTCAGCAAAAAGGACTACATCATTAGCGTATTAAAGATCTATGATAAGATTCTCTGGACTAATTTGGAAACCTCTTAAGCCGACAAGCGGTGTCCATTATCCAGTCTATCGCATAATTGAATATTGTAGGGGAAAGGACGCAACCCTGACGGACTCCTGTTCTTATCTCGAAGGAATCTGTCAGCCCCTCATATACATAGATCGACCTGCGCCGACATGCGCTCATAAAATGCCTTTATGAGTCGAAATCTCTGGAACACTATCGCATTCCATCAGCCTCCTAAGCGCCGCTCTATCAATTAAATCAAAGTCGACGAAACACGTGACAGTGGGTTGCAAATATTTGAAGCGATAACACCCTTCTTAACATGAATATCTGGTCAGCACAACCGCGCCCTATTCTGAAACCAGCTTAATTAGGGCGCATCCTCATTAGATATCATTTTTTCTTGGTTATGATCGGTTGACTAATTTTCTTAGACAATTATTCCATACAATAATTTTGCAATATTTTACCAATCAAAAAATGGCTTTTATTAATATTCAGCGTCCTTATTTTTTCGACTTTTTTTTCTCGTCGATTGACTGATTTCAGCTTGTCATTTTTTATTTCATTTTCCAGCAGTTTTTTACAGGATACTTTCGTGGATCCATTTTATAAAATATCAGCTTTGGATATTATTTCTGATGTTTTTTCAAATTTTGTTTTAACTCCTCTCGGTATTTTTGGTCATCATTTCAAAGTATTCATCCACGAATATTATAGCGATTCTACTCTTGTTCTCATTATTGTAAAGACAGTTGTCGCTTGCATTTTCTGTTTTTCCCTTTTCATCCTCGTTTTATTTTTTACGAGGGGATATCGGTTGAGAACGCTATTTATGACAATAGAGCCCGTTGGTATATTTTGAATTCTCAAAAAATTCATTTTAGAATCAAGTTTTCAGCATTTTAACTAAAAGTTTTTAAATCAGATGTTAAATGATTATTATTTTTATTCAGATTTCACCAGTTCTGTGGATAGAAAAATTTCATCGGATGTTGCTGCTCGCGTCGGCAATATCATTCAACGTTTATCGATCGACCCACCCGGCTCCGCTATTAGCTCCGCTCATGATCAACCTTATTCAGTTCAGCCACATGTTTCAATAAATAACATGAAAGAAATGAGACCAGGTCGTTATCGCTCATTAAGTGTAGGGCGATAAAAGCTGAAGTATTCATCAAAATGGATATCAAATAAGTTGTTTTTTAGTGGTTTTAATGATTTTTTATCAGATATAGATTGTTATGGTGCAATATTCTACTTTTTTCTTATGATTATGATTTTTTTCTCGTTTAAATTGTTTGAGTTATTTCTCTCATTCTCTCTAAACCATACAAATCTTTATTATGTTATTGTTTATTTCAATAAATAAATACTGCGCGACACAATTATAAAGAATTTTCTATATTCTTTCACGCTGAAGTTTAAATAAGAATTTAAATTTAAAAGTTTAAATTTGGTTCTTTTGTAAGTTGCTTAGTGGACTTATTTACTATAAAGCAAAAATTGTTTCAGTTTAATAATTTTAGAATCTCGTCTGGTGAATCTATCAAGAGCTTATAGAACTATTTTCACTATCACGCAAATTCCATATGTTTAGAAACAACAAGCACAGTTCATTTTAGGGAGAATCAACATTGCTGGTTAGACTCGCCGCTGACTTGTCGGACTAGACAAATGCGCCAAGAAATCCCTTTTTGGTAGAGCGGTGCAATTGAATCGTCAGCATCATCTGGATTTTCAAAAATGCTGACTCGCGTGGGAAATAGAAACATCGGCGCTCAGAGTTGGGCAACAACCCAATGAACCATCTCCCCTTGCCTCCCCTTTCCTTTTTGCTTTAGATGACATTGTCACTCGAACCTGATGAACCCAACCTAAGCCTCGATTTTTAGTGGCAGCCAACTTACCACTGAGCCACCGACACGGAATACACCCATTATTTTTACATGATGCAAAACGATACAAATATCATTAAAAAATTTAGGTAAAAAATGAAAAACATTATATTATAGATTATATAAAAACATTATATTATATATTAAACATTATATTTGAGATTATAGATTATAGATTATATTGCAGATTATATTTATTTAGGAATATAAAATTGAACAATCCAGGATTTTATTTCCACATTTCGCGATTTGTTTCATTGTATTTCCGTAATTCTTCTAGTAATATTAATTTGTTAAGCTTATTATTTTGGTTAATCTATCTTCATGTTTGAAACTTTAAATTTTTTTATTCGTTTTTTCAAAAATATTTTAGACAAAGCCATAAATCATATAAAAAGGTATTGCGCATCGAATATCAATACAAAAAATGCAAATGTCATTAAAAACTTTTGAGGTTTAAGAATTGCAGGTTTGAAAGCAGTCCTTATTTTTTAACAATGAAAAAACAATGAGCTAATTTTGATTTGGTGAATGACCTACTTTTGTAGTATGTACATTGGTATGAATTTAAGGTTCATCATGGACCTTATAACAAAAAAACGATACTTTTCCGTTTTATCAATTCCTAAAGCAAAAGCCTTCCGTTAATTCCTTTAATTACAGTGATTTGATAAAAATTGATTTGTCAACAATAAACAATTTAGTAAGTAAACGGTACATAAAGTCAACAGTACGTCCCATGTTCTCTGACGGAATATAATGAGACACTACAAGGCCTCAGGGCATTGATTAATGGGTCGGAAAACAGAAAAGTATCACCTAAAACTTCTATACTACTTTGAGTTACTAGCATATATAATTAAACAATTAAATAAAAATACATGATGAACGGATGATTTTCTTCGATTTTCGCTTGCAACTGTGCTCTTAAATAAAAATATTATAAGTATTATACATTATAAGAATGAACAAATTTTTCAAAAAGCCAATAAAAATTATGATGGATCAGAAAATTGGATGGATCCAATGAATAGTGCCGCGAGCGAAAGCTTGAGTTCATCTTTTGAATAATTCTGGGCAAAATTTAAGTTTTCCCGAATAGATTACGACAAAATATAGCGACTAAACCGAAGAAAATTACTTACTATTATCTCAAAATTGGAAAATTATAAAACGCATTTATAGTTGTTAAATGTTGATGGGATGTTTTTTCTGACCCAACCTTGAGCCTCCCTCCTAATTACCCCGTGAATCACAATATTTCAAGGCATTATCGGCCATTTACCGCGTATAACAAATCCTGTTGAAGTAACGATAAGCGATCAACTCAACAGTTGCTTTACAACTTGCACTGTCGCTTCGTTTTCAATATCAAACTGCAAATTGATTAATTTAGTTTGCGTGATGTTCCACCGCTAAAATTTGGATATATTTTATGGATATGATTGCTGCACATGAATACAAAATCCTTCCAATTCCCTTTCCCATATTTCCAACCAATCAATTTACTAATATTCGAATAAAGCTTCATGTCGCCTTAAAAATTTCAAATCAAATTTCAGACCAATGAAAAATAACTTACGCTGCCTTTGACCAGTTTGAAATCGAACAGTTCATAAGGAGGGTACATGTCGAAATCATCGAAGGAGACAGCAGAAGAATAATTAAATGCCTGGTTGGGAAAATGCGGGTTAAATGAAACATTCTCAGGAGTGTTTGCAGTTGGCATCGATGATAATGAAAGCGAAGGTGGTGGTTGTGATGAAGATTGCTGTCGTTGTTGTTCTTGATGGTGCAGCTGTTGCTGAGACATTTGCTGTTGTTGGGGAAAGGAATGTTTTGAGATTTGTGGCATTGACGTCAACGGAGAGCGTGCTATGTTACCGCAAAAGCGAGGTACAGCGAGATCTGCAATTCAGACTTAAAGTGAGAAATAAGCCTATGGGCAGGAAAAATTGTCTTATCAATATTGGCTATTCTATGCCAAAATTTCAAATTTCCCCCAGAAGGTAATAAACGTATTTTCTGATAAAGAAGAATGAAAGGTGCAAAAGTCATTCAAATAAAGTGAGCATCGTTTTCATGCAATAGAACCAAATGAGACGCAAATCTGATAAGGAGATTTAGGCTTAGATTTAGGCTTAGCTGCATTGACGATGAATTTCCAACCCTAATTCTTGACACCTTGCTCATATTCTCAACAAAGAAAATTAAAATTTAAAAATTAAAAATTAATGCATATTGCGTTCTCCAACCATTTAGCAAGAAAAATGCATTAAAAATTTCCGTTTGGCCTAAGATCACCCAAAATTAACACAGCCATTTCAAGAAGTGGAACAAGCGGATGGCTGCTGATTATCATACTGAGCATACTGGTTCACCTCCTGCCTCCAGGAATAATAAAAATCTGAGTGTTGCTAGGAACTCAGTGATGTTTCTGAACTTCTATCAAAATTCTACTATATTAATCCTATTAACAATCAGTGCAGCGACCTAATCAGAAATGATAAGTACCAACCATTTCATCGGTGAAATTAATTTGCGAAGATTTAAAAAAGGTAAACGATAATTTATTCAATAATAACAATTCTGCCATTCTTAAGTACAAAGAACCACCAATAATGAAGATAATAAATTACGATAAGATAATTAATAATTAGGAAAAAACTGACCAGTCGGAGACATTACAATTGAAGCTTGATTAGGCGAGGGAATACTTCGTCGCGCCTGCACTGAGTGCCTCAATTCCATACGTGTAAATTGCGATTGTGACTGTGGTTGTGGTGTTTGCTTCAACCACTGCCCCACAGGACCACCATCATACCTAGAATTTTGCAGAAGTCATAAAATCCCTATTTTCATTCGTCACTCCATACTTTTATTGCAATTGAAGTTATATAGAGTTATACAGAGAGTGAGAGATGACATTCCATCGCAAATAATAAATATAAAGCTTTCTTGATACCTTTCATATTTACTATAAATAGTGCTCAAAGAGTGAAAAATGTTCGGTATTAATTTGAATAAATGGCGTCGTCTTTCTAAATATCTGTATTGAGGACTAACCCATTATATTGAGAAATAGGCGAGGGTGGCATCACTGAAGAAGAAGGTGCGACAAACTGTGGCGAACAGGTTGACTGTTGATATGAAGTAGAATGCTAAATGAAAAATCAAAAAGATGAAATCCGTAAGATTTCGATAAACGTTCAGTTATCCTATAAATGATGACAACCTGAAAAGAGATGAACTGGGTAGGCATCATTTTGTTTGGATATTCATGCATAGCTGTTGACACTCTAGGATTTGCTTTCCTTTTCATTGCATTTACCTGACCAATCATAGGCATCTGTTGTTGAAGCTGTTCTTGCGTATATACTACCTGAAAGGTATTAACTATCTCGAAATGATCACCACTTTTCATAACAAATCATTGGTTTTGTCCTCTCTTTGATAAAACTCATCAGACAAAAAGGCGATAATCAATTCACCTTGGCAAATAGTTGAACTGGAATGAATGTCGACCTACGCTTTTCTTATTTTGACTTAATCTGAATTATAGGATGCCAGGTAAGGAAATTTATATAGAACCATTCAAATGCTTGATTTTTCTTTTTCTACTGAATCTTTCAATTATAATCGATTCTTACCATAAAATTGCTCAAAATTAACACGCCTATTTCTTCTTATTCTCCAACAATTATTAAAAATATTAAATTACCATTAGATTATAATAATGATAAGTCTCTCAACTTCACTTTATTCCTAATTACCTGAAGTAGAGTTAAAAGAACTGGTGCAACTGAAAATCATTAAGTTAAACCACAATTGTTATTTTTACATTAAAAAGACCAAATCATTAATAAACGAAAGAATCGAATCCTAGTAGCCTGTATCCAGAGAAATTAGTTAAATTCGAAACGGTGAATACTAGTATAAGAAAAAGGGGAATAGCTTATCCTTATTTCATATTTTAAAGTTTTGTTCTCAAATTAAGAAAGATAAGTAAAAAGAAAGTAAAAGAAGTAAAAGAATTAATTAAGAAAATTAAGAAATAAATAGATAAAAAATATGCATTAAAAAATGCATTAAAAAATATATTAATATATAAAAAAATATATATAAATATAAGAAATATATATATAGAAATAAATATATATATGTATAATATTAATATATTAAATATACATACATATATAGAAATAAATATGTATATCTGTACATATTAAATATACATCTAAACTAGAAAAGTGGCTTCAGTAGATTGCGGGATCAACGTCTTTATCCAGAATAGAACTCTATTAGGAGAACTTAAGTTCCGTGCGCAAAACTCTCAATCCCTCAGGCCCCTGGTAGAAGACCCGAGGAGGATGATAATGACCTCTCATGGAGGTGAGAAAAGTTCTACATTAAATATATATTAAAATATATTTACAAAATATATATTAGAAAACATATAGTGTAAAAATGCAATATACCAAAAATCTTCTTCTAAAACTAAGATTTACCTCGAATTTTTGTTAATCCATATCAATTGATAATAATTAAATAAATTATAAAATGAATGATAAGCAGTAATTGTCATAAATTGCATTTTCATGAATTATTTCAAGCTAAATCATTAATGAAGAATAAACATACACAAATTCGTAGAAAATAAATGGTTCATTAGACCATAAAAAAACATAATTCAAAAAACCTGTTGTTGATGGTATGCACCATTTTGCAAAACTGGTCGCCACTGCTGTTGTTGTGACTGAGGTGTAGTTCCATTCACTGCAGCTGCTGTTGCTATTGTATCTGCTATTGGTGATGATAACTGCATAAGCGGTGAAGTGGAAGATGCCGTAAGAGAGTCAAACGTTGAACAAGCTTTTGATACAGGGCTATTCGGATATGAGCTGAAACAATTTTTTTCTAAAATTATATATATATTACATACAATCTTCTGATCTTCTGATCCACCAATCATCAAATCCACTGTTCTGATTTTAAAACAAGACAAATCATTTTTCATTGAACGGGAAATGGAAGAAAACAAAGGAAAAAATTGAACAGATGGTGGCGAAATTGTAAAAAATTCGCCTTTAAAATACAAAAAAAGACAATTTTTTAAAAAATATTCTAGATTCGAGTAAATTTTAATAACGATTATCGTAAGAATAAACGAAAAAATCAGACCGACGTGTTTTCATCGGTTATTTTATCGAGAGTTAACGTACTCTACTCTCTTTGTTTAATCGTCTTTTGTTAACTTTTTTTTGTTTATGAATTCGAAAGAATTCTTTCAAAAACTCGAAGCTGAAATTCAGCCAGAAAAGATAATCGTGAGCTCCAAATGAATAACGAAAAGACTGATGCTGGATTACAGTTGAAAGATTTGTAAACAAATGTGAACAAAAACGATAAAGAAGATAATTATCCATTATTTAAAGACGATCACCATTTCTGCTTAGGGTCATTCCACTGGCCCGTTAAAAGCCAGAGACTTCTCAGCAATAAAAGTAAAGGTGAATCACCGGTTTCACTAGAAAATTATTCAAAAATTATCATAAATTTTTATTACTTGAAATAACGCAAACTGAGAAATTTGCCTATAAAATTATGGTATTTAAGAGACAAAGGCAAATTTCCAAGCAAATTCAGGCAAGAAGAGATCGCTTATGCCAGTCAAATGGTGATGCAAGGAATAAAAAGCCATAAGTTAGCATGGAAACAATGCTGATTGGTAACATCAAAAAATTGATTAAAAAGAAAAAATCAATCATTGTAATATTCATTTAAATATAAATATAAAATCAGATTTTTTAGGTATAAAAAAAGATAAAAGAACTAAGAATATTACGAGAAAACTGAAGATAAATTTACACACTGAGTGGCGAATTGCTTTGATGGAAAGAAGAATGAAACAGACAAATCAGTAGACCAATGAGAAGTTCAATTCGAAAATTGACGACGATTGCATTTCATCCCAAGGACATATGGACATTTGAATTTAAATATACAAAATTCATACAAAAAAAAATGAAATGACGTACGGTTTATTTCCAACAGTTCTAGCAAAGCCGCAACAGAAAAATTACAAAATGGTGAAAAATAATAGAAAAGATGATAGAGCGATATACTGCTTTGATTAAGCCTGGATTGCTAGACCACTAAAAATTAAAAAAGAAATCCGGATGATGGATAACAGCTAGAACACTCTGGAGAAAGAATATCAGCCACTTAGCCAAACCAAAAATGGTGAGTGCTATTAGAAAAAAGAAGAATTTAAAACAATCGAGAAGCAATTTTTCTGATACGTGGACCATCGTCTTTGGATAAATTTCCTACTATCTCATAAAATCTTATCGAAAAGGAAAGAAGATTTTCCTTAAATGAACTGAAATGAAAAAAACGAATATAGTGAAAAGAGAGTAGCACGGATCTGAAATCTGATATTTTACAAATTCTTCATTAAAACAGCTAAAAAAAACACCATTTAGCTAAATGGTGTTTCTTCATTCTGGAAAGATTTTTAATGGTAACAGTTCTATAAGTAATTACAAGTAATAATAACTATTAACAATAATTATCGACCTGATTAAAATTATACATTAGTGATAACGACTGAAGAATTTCTGCGAATACCCAAAATTTCAGGAGACGCTTAAATTACTTACTTTTTCCTCTTAACGATATTTATAAAAATATGAAAACTGTAAAACTTTTTTATACCGACAAGCAATTAATGATTCTCTATAATGAATAAAAATGGGTCAAAAAAATATGAAAATTTTTTGAAAATTTAAAATGAAGAAAAATAATGTTCGATGATTTTTTGCCAATGAACAAAACCGAACAAAATGGATTTGAGATTCGAGTGCAACAATTATTTGTTCTTTTGTCAACATAGAGTCAATCAGAATGTTCTCCCATCGGCGTGGATATCTATGATGATGACAAATTGAATGAATATCGCTGAAGGAGATTGATTTGGTACAAACTGTTTGAAATATTTCTAGTTCAAACCAGCTCTTATTTAAATAAAAACTAGTTCAAAAAACTGAACAGAGAAAAAAATCGAATGAAATAATTAAGAACAAGTTCTTCTAGGAAAAAATTTATAGTTAAATTTATATTCATATTTAAATTAATTATTATTAAATTTATATTTAAATTTATTTAAATTTGGCGTCGTTTATAATAATAATAATAATAACAATAATAATAATAAGTAATTTCAAAAAAATGGTTTAAACAGCTTCGTATTCAAGTGACTGTGGTGTGACTGTGACTGAAATGACTCAGTGGATTCCTAATCTCATTTTGGAAATGTTGGAGATGGAGAAACTATTCCCAGGAGCAAACTTGTCTTTCAATAATCTGGGTGATAGAGTCGAGCCACCTATATTTCTATCGCCAAGTGATTCCCTGGTAAGATTTGCATGGCACGACAAGCCAGCACCAGAAATGATGAGCGCTTAGAAAAAAAATGAGTGGAGATAACCAAACCAGAAATGGTAAATGGTGTTAACGCCATGAAATTTTAGAAAGTTATTTAACTGGAGAATACAAGCGGACCGAGAAAAGAAACTGAAAAAAAAGTGAAAATGCATAAAAAAAATCCAAAAGTAATACTGATTACCTCACAACCTATTACCACAACAGATGATTTTTATTTGCGAAATGACAGAAATTTATTTTTCCATCGTAATGAATATGGCGAAAAATAGATTAAAATGGTCTAAATTAATATATATTTTGAATGCCTCAAACAGATCCAAACTCTATAACGACAAATGATAAACCACACCACATTTTTTGTTGCACATAATTTTGACTAAAGAGTCAATCTAAAGTCAAACATCATACGTCCAATTCTTGCTTGCTGGCGAAAGTGAAAATATGCCAGTTAATCTCGGATGCTGGACATGCACTTATATCCCTATTATCAAGTGGCTCTGTGGCGAAGAAATTTCAGTTAGAACCAATAAGAACATCCAGACCAAAAACGGCGAGTCGAAAGAGAAAGAAATATATGGATAAAAATTTCGAAAAACTGCAAAAAATGGAACTCTTATCCCAGGAGAACAATACAAAAATTTAATTTAATGCCGTGGGACCTCACAAGTTTCAGAAAAAAAATAATTAAACATAAGATTATTGAATTATAATAGTAAAGACATTGGATATATAATCATAAATGACCATATAAATATTTATGAATATTCAGCGACTAGTAAGTGAAGTAAAAACGAAATAAAATAAACAATAGCGACAACTATTAAAACTTGTACGCATAAAGACAGATAAAAAATGTGAAAAATAGAAGTCCTTCTATAACGAAGAATAAATTACAAAGAAAAATAAAAAATTAAAGAGAGGAAAGGAATTTGGTGGAGATAACAAAGGAAAAGTGCGGACTGAGGAAAGTTCTGTGGAAATGAAATGGATTTGATAGGCTTTAAAGGAAAAGGCAGAGAGAGGGGGTACCTTTATGGAGTATGGAGAATAAGCGGAATTAAGCCGAAGCTGTTAAGGAATCGTAGAATATGTGACTTTCTTTCTTCGGATAGGGAGTTTGGCACCGTTTCAGGGTTTTAGGGAATTTTACTGATAAAAGGTCAAACCGAATCGAAAAAGTCAAAAGAAAAGAACCAAAATATTATCGATACGTGGTGGAAATGGATTCACTGTTTTGCTCAAATATTGTCGAAAAAAAAATGATAAAAAATTCCGATAGACTTTTCTAAATATAATTCATCGCTGTACATGTTAATATTTGACTTTTTCCAATAGCATATCTGGCTCGGTTAATTCTATCGTTAATTTAAGAAGATACTCCTTCGTCAGATGCATAGAAATACAGGTGGATGACAGAAGAGAGCAGATATTAGTTTAATGGCCAAGGATTGATAATAACAAGGGAATGAATCGAACTTATGATTTAGTCGAAGCAAGTAACAAAACAATTCGAATATCTTTCAAATGAATTAATGTGCTCATCGTCCATATCATATTTGTTTCCAACCAGAACCACTAACTATCCTATCTTTTATTAAAGTCGGAAGTGGGATGTCAAAAAAATAATTTTCTCGTAAATTATAAACTAAAGATTTTGACGGAATTAAGTTAACAGAGGTAAATATGAATAAAACAAATCATTCTCGTTCTTCGCTTTCACCTTTTAAAAAAATAAATTTAATCAGGTTTACTCGAAAGATCCAATTTTTGTATTCAAAACTATTTATAAGAAACAACTGAAACAGAAACTAAAGAATCATTTTGGAAAAGCTATGCCCTTAACGCAGTCACAAAATAACGGATAACGCGATATTTTATTACCTTTTCGCATATATAAAGGTCGTTTTCCGTTTAGGTTTTTCTCATTTAGGTTATTCACATCGCCTATTTAAAATAACTTGGTTCATCAACTAATCGTTTTATATTATAATGAGTCGTTATAATTTATGATTCTTACAATTTTTATAGATATGTAATATAATTACTTTGGACCGAATGTAAACGCTGGAAACGCTGGAATGTAAAGCGTTGTCTATCAATAAAATTAACATTTTTATTTAATAACAAAAATAAATTAATAATAAAAATTAATTTTATTATATCTGAATCATATCTTAATGGGAAGCAGTCAGCTATCGTATTGATATAATTAACTGCCGTGTTCAAAAATATTTTAACTATAGCAGAAAAAGTCCAAGACATCCAAAAAAAATCAAAGATTTAATGTTTAGATAGTGCAAAAAAATTCATTTTGTGACAGACAACAATCCTCTGTTTTTTTGCACTTGATGCACTCGTAAAAATCATAAAAATCAAAACATTTTTCATTATCTGTTTCCAGCAAAATTAAAAATACTAGCAATAAAATATGTGAGAAAGGGAAAAAGCTTATGAATTTATTCCATTATTTTTATAACAAAGAAATTACAGTTACATTACAATGGACTAGTGGTTCGCACTCACGATGAAAAATTTTTACCAAAGAGTCATTTGGTGATGTATGCCAGTGGCTTGACACCATTTGAATTTTTAAATGAGTTTAATCGGTCGTTTAGGAAACGACCGAACACTAATTCTCGAGCTAAGCAGTAAAAATGTGAATTCAGAAGATGTTATTCTTTTCTAATTTTTTCTGTGCTTAGCTAGGTTCACTAACTATTATTAACTATTATGTGACTATTATATGATATCTTTACCGAGTATCACTCGGCCATAGAAATATCGATGGATTCACTTAGATTTTACCTTTTACGACAAGTTTATTTCCCAGAGGCAGAAATTGATTCTCGACCACCTGACTTAATTACAATTCCAGCGATGATTTTTCAGCTGAAAATTTCACCAATTCAGCATCTTTACTGCCCAAACAAGAAAGTGGAATAACGAAACTAATTTTTGGAATGGAATTTCACACCAAAAAATTTTTGCAGTTCATTTAAGTACGCCATAATTGGAAGAAAAAAAATTCAACCCACAATCGTCTTATTTTCATCGAAATAATAAAAATGATAAAATTCATTAAATTTATTTTTTTTCACTACTTCTGGCTGCGATCGCTCCGCAAGCTTGTCGGACTGGATAAATTTGCCAGAGAGTCCATGGCATTTAATATACATATAATATACATGGCATTTAATTGAATAAAATATAATATATAATTATAAAAATGTATAAATAAATAAAAAACCGAAAACTTTTTCATAGAAGTTCTTATTTGCAAAAAAAATTGTTAGTAGGGTAAGGTGAAGGAATAAATTCAACCTACAATGCCTTATTTCCATTGAAAAATGAACATTCTTAAGTTATACATTTTATATTTTATATTTTTGTATTTTATTTTTTTAAAACTAATTAAAACCTCAAGCAAAAAAATGTAAATGGTTATTGCTCACCATTTTTGGTTAAACTAATTCCGCTGACTTTAGAGAATTTTGCTATGGAATTACCAGTGATGGTAATACAGATGGGCCATTAGCACCACTAGAATTTTTTAATGACCAATTTATTCCTGTTTATTCCTGTCCACCTTCTCGAACTTCACAGATAATCTGAATCAATCCGCTATCCTGCCTCTCAAACATTGCAAACGACGATACATTAAGTTGAACCATGAATCATCATCAATTTCCAATTACCTTTAACTGTTAGGATTAATTAAATTTAATTAATAAAGATACATAGAAGTTTTTAATAAAACCTTTAAAAAAACGACATAGTTATACTAATGAGAGAATGAAATGCGAGAAAAAGGCTATTAACTATCTTTTATGAAGTGGGCCAACGGAAAGCGCGACTTTGCTGAGAATTATGTACTTTTCACCAACAATATATGCTTCCAGCATTGTAGAAAATAATATCTAACACGTCAGATAATCAATAGATTTCTAATCAGACTGATATATTGATCATATACGGCAGAGTATAGTAAAACTGAGACTTTTTTTTAAAGAATTCTTACCATTAATGGTTAAATTAAACTCGCTCCGCTGGCTCGCACTGGAAAAATATGCCAGGGAGTCCTTTGGTGATGGAAATACAGGTGATTAGCCAGCATCACCTGGATTTTTGGACAGGTTTACAAGAACCCATTGAGCCATTCTATCCCCAGAGCTGAGACTGGCAACCGTGTTATGGTTAAATCCAAGAACCAAATGAAATTGATAGAGCTCAAAACATAGGACAGCCCAAAATCTTTTGAATATCTCAAATTATAATTAAAAGATTCAATGGGGTATATTTGAATCGGTGGTTTTGATGCATCTAAAGGACTTTTAACTTGTCCCAATTAAAATTTCGCCTACAGAAATCGAAAGATATAAAACTCCGAGGCAAGATCTCGGACAAGATAGTCCAACTTCCTGGACGTGCGTCAAAGCTCGTGTATCAGGAATATTAACCATATACTTGGAAGTAAGCTGGGTCATGGTCATTGCTTGTCCAACCCTTAAAAGATGTAAGATGTAAGAGATTAAAATTCCACAGCGTAGCATCGTAGACTTTGAATACGCTGATAATACTCTGTTATCATTTTTGCTGACAAGAATGAGAATTGTAAGAGAATTCATGCCGACAATAGCAACGGAAAACGGTCTCGATATAAATAAAACTTTTCATCACATATATCAGACGCTGGATGATAAGACTTTCTTGTAATAGTAATTTCTATAAATTCACTAATGGAATCCATTCTAATGGCGAAATTTCAATTCGAATAACATTTTTCGTCTAGCAAAGCCTTTTTGGAATTACTGAAAAATCAACCTCAAAAAGAAAGTTCATATTTATCTGGCTAAAGTTCATATATGTAAAAATCAACTAAGGAAGTATGGCTAATGAGAATGGAAGATTTTTGACCACTCTTGCCTTAAGATACTCCATACCCGCCAAGAAAACAGAGTTTAAATAAGAATGCTATCACAAGGCATCGTCTACTGATTAGATTTTACGTTGTCGATCATAGGCACATTTCGTTACTTGCTAAATCCTGTGATGGATGGGGATCAGGAGAGATAGACGCATCAATATATGGGTTTGACGTTGGGAAAGAAGTGAGAAAGAAATTATTTTCAGGAGGAGATCAGCTCAGGAGGCTTAAAAACGTCTTACTTCCCTCCCCATTCCAGCGAAACCAGCAATGGTACGTGCTAGAAGAAAAGAGAAGAAACCATCTATTTACTATTTATAACTATTTCCTTCCTGAATTACAAATCTATTTCAAATAATCTTAATTTTTTACAAAATTTCAATAATTATTGGTCCTGTTATTTCATTAGAAATTCGCCTATAATTTCATTCAGGATATTTTTCTGGATTTCTAAAGCTAATTTCTTTTAATTTTTTGCCGCGATTCAATTGATTGTATTATTTTATACCGTTCAATTTATTATTTTTTTTTTTGATCTCTTGTGATATTTTTACCTTATATCAAATGAATTCTATTGTCCAAAATTAATTAGGATGAAAACTGCCTTCTCTCTTCGAATCTAAATGTGCACATCTTTCACAGTTTTCGATTTCTTTGCTTTTTATACCTTTTTTTCGCTTTTTTCTTGCTTTCTAACTGATATTCATTAATATAAAATACTTTGAGCTGACGATTTATGTCTGTTTTCTGTCAATTTTCAATTTTCTTATAAACTAACATCACATCACATTCTCCAACATTGCTCCAGTGACAATTGACTCCAGCACCGCTGATATTTACATCAATTCCACATTTCTATATGAGAATAAGCCGCGTATGTAAGAGAACTCAATCTATAGGGTGATATGCATCTGCATGAGAAGTTTTTCCAATAGAACGCTTGCTAGATATTCATTCTGTCGAAACAAAGATCTCAAAAAACGCTTCATGCATTCGATTATTATTATTGCATTCTCGTGATTCTCGATTTCTATCGCAACGAAATTTCATTATTTTCCCTTCGATTTCTTTCCAACAAATCTATTCCATTTATTCTTTGAATGCGATCGTGTCGAATTGTTTTATGTATTAAATTTTCCTACAAATATTCGCTGTTTAAATGTTACCATAGAAACTCTCTGATTGATATTTAAATAACGACTGATTCAATTTAATATTATTTTTCATGGTGATACGACCGACGACTACGATCACAATCGCCATCCACCTTATTCATCTTTCTCGACATATTTGAATATTGACGAGTATAAAACTGACTATTTCAGTCTGCGTGTATCTGTCCACATTATTTTACGGGTTAAACTGTTTTTCGAATTTTATAAAATTCAATAAACAAATTTGTAATTTGTAACAAATTTCATTTCCTTAGGAGAAAAGGCACATAAATAGAGTATTTTTGAGATTTATAAGTCAATAATTCAATATTCCTTATTTATTTCTTAAAACAGAAAAATGTATAAAAATATATAATAAAAAATAAATATTCTAATATCAAATCTAATATTTTGAAAATTCACTATGAAAAACCTCCGACATTATTGAATATAAAGTAGATTGTAAAATAAACGCGATGAATAATCTTTAAAAATAAAATAAAACAATAATATTAATAATAATTCATAAAAGCATAATTACATAGTAAATAAATAGTAATATTTATTTTAGGTTTTATTACTAGTATTATTTATTATAATAATTAAGAAGGAAAACCTAATAAGAAAATTCTATGTTTTTGAGAGTTTTTTTAGTGCAAAAATAAAAAAAATATATTCATTTTTCTTTCGTAAATTCTGAGAAAATTAAAAAATTAAGATGAAAATTAGTTTTTATAAAAAAAACAATACTTTTCCCATTAATTTCTTTTCTCAAGTTCACTGCACTCTGAATTAATTTGAATTAATTTCTTTAATCCGCTTAGTCGATGAAAATTTAAAACATTTTTCTACGGAACCCACCATTTTGGCTATTCGCTTTGTTGGCTTATAGAAAGTTTCACCAGAGAGTCATTTGGGAATGGAAATACTACTAAGTGATCAGTAAAATTATTCGACAGTATAGCAAATAAGATAAGTAAATTATTCATAATTCTCTTGAAATAATGTTGATTATGAATTGTAACTGTACAGTAAAGTGAACTGTAAATTAATAAGGTAAATTAATTAATAAGGTAAATTAATTACCTTATTTTCAGGAATTTTAGGTAAGAAGTTTAGACTAAATAATGGATCAAGTTCGAATTCAAACTGAGCAATTGCGTATTGAAGCACAAGTCGTACGAAAGAAAGTCTCAGAAGTGTCAAAAGAGTACGTAAATTTTAATAAAATTTTTTAAAATTTCTGAATAAAACCTTATATGCATTTACCATGACGAGGGGATTTACATAATTACATGATACATATAAGAGATATGGAGGAAATAAAAGAAATTAGATTTCTGTCATCTAGTTTTCAAGTAATCAACTAATTTTTAGCACAGCTGAGGTGTCTGTGGGAAATATTTATAAAAAAACATTTGAAAAAATGACAAAGGCATTATTAAGCAAATTAGAGTTTTTTTGGTTTTCAAAATCTTGCTGGGAGTTACGGGAAAAATAGCTAAAATATCATTTCTAGGAATAAAGCAATAGGTGCGTATAAAAATCAAAAAAAATTTGGAACCGCATATCGGCGGAACCGAATTAACCAGTGAAGATGTTAAAAGACGAAGAAAAAAGCATATTTAATTTTGGAAAAAAATTTTAACTAAAAGAAAGCCGCTCGAAAAGACTCAAAACGTGAATATATGCTAAAATACCTTCTCATTTTTCTCTTAAGAACTATTGATAATGAAATTTCTTCGAATGAAATTTCCTAGAAATTTAAAGATATTCATGGTTATAAAATGAATATTCGGAAAGGGCAGTGGATAGTAGCCCGGAAATTTAAGTAATGCAAATACGATTCAAAATTAAAAATACACAAATCTGTTTCAGTCTCATTGAATACTGTGAAAAGGAAAAGGCTCATGACATGCTCGTTAGCGGTCCGCAGGACAACCACAATCCATTCCAAGAAAAGAAATCCTGTGCTCTACTATAATTTTAACTGAAATCACTATTAATTAATCATCATGATTATCAATGCTTTGTATTCCATGATATTTTTTGTCCACAATATGTCGATAAATTTTATGCTTAGCTAATCAGAGAAGCTTTCAACTATTTGCAACTGAGAACTGCTTTAAAAATTTATTTTATAAAGCTTAAAACTGAGGATAAAATTTGACAGGAAAGTTTTGCAAGGCCTTTTAAGTTAAATTTATTTCTTTTTAAAACTTTCTAAAGCTTAAATAGTTTGTAGATTTTAAATATTATCTCAAAAATTTAACAATTACTCTATCACCTAAAATCTAAAATTTTCATTATCATAAAAAAGCATACAGTAATACAGAAATATCAGTAGCCATAAAATGAGAATTTTTGAAAAACTTCTGAAAACTTGTCGCAAAATCTTCTAAATAAATAGCAAACATTTGGTTCCATCATAGAAAATAGGAAAGAATTTATCTTTCAATCTGATCAAATATTATACAGATGACAAATGAAATGAAATGAAAACTATAAACATGTGGTTAAACAAAAGAAAATGATAAAATTTCAAAAAAAAAGACTGCTGAAAAAATGAAAAATTAAGGAAATGACTTACTTCTGCAATGACGAATTAGACCAACTAAGATCATTGAATGCATAATGAGGCGAAATATCCGAAGATCGGTTAAGACATGCCGAACTCATAGACGATGAATAGTACTGGGACGAATCAGCTGTTACTTGGGCCTGTTGAAGAAGTGACTGGAATTGTAAATCAAGTGAGTATTTAAAGCCAATTTGTCAGTAGGTAACAATATGGATGAATGAGACATTTGTTACATATTTAGTAATACACCTTTTCCAAATAGTAATTATTTTTTGCCTTCGAAATTTGAAATAAATTGAAATTTTAGACCAAGGAAGTTAAACCTTTAACATATAATCCTTCGAATCTTTGTTGTAGGATGTTGTATATTGTTCAGAGTTAGAATTGATACTCAGCGAGCTTGAAGGCATATGAGACGTTTCAGCAGTAACTCCTTGTGATATTTGTGAGCCACCACGCTTCTTTATCATTGCTGATTGTTTCGGTTGACGAGATCTTCTAAATTATTAAGAAATTCTCAACTATTACCATCCATATACTAATTAAAAAAATAAATGGACAATGGCCAGCGTTTCTCACCATTTTTCTCCACTGGCCGTAAGTAAGTAAGCGAGAAGTTAACGCCAAGGAATCAGCCACGCGGTGAGATCATCAATACCACACGGATTTTTTAATTCCACTTCTACTCCTATTGAAGACGTTTACACAGAGACTAGCTTGAATGCGCTTCATAAAATGATAATTTCAATCGCAAAAACTTAAAAAAACCTTGGTTTTCTTAATCGACCAGTTTTAGTATATTGTTTGGTATCAAGTTCACTTGGATTCAACGCGGCGTAGTTAAAATCTTCAATCATATTGTGATTTGAAATTTCGACTCCCTAAACATGTTGCAATCAGTAACATTGCGATAGGTTTTCGATTACTCATTTCCTTTCAGTATCCCTCTAAATTTTCCTTCATTTTCATTAACCATCTGCAGCAAGCTACAAACTGGCTTTACAGGCTCCTCTATTATGTTGACATTACGTTATCAGTCATTTATACTTGTATTGTGGTATTCCGTATTGTGATGTAAAGGGAAAAATACTCTGACCAATTCTCTAACACAATCCATTTCACCTCTTATTTTTGAAGTTATCTTAATTTTGATACTGTTAGAGAGAGTGAAAATGCTGGATCTTACGTTTGTGTGGCCGTAATTATATGGCGTCGATGGCTGAACAGAATGAGTAGTAAAATCGCCACTTACAGATCCAGCAGTGGGTGGCGCTGAAGGCGTAGCAAATGATTGAGCCTGTGATTCAACTTCAGAGAAAATTCCCGTACATATTTGTGACAATGCGTCCGCATGACCCTCTGCATCCTTCAACAAAAAGAATAAGAAGAGAATAAAAAATTTCATATACGCATAAAATTTCATATATAAATTTTTATATGATCCACAATTTTTGACTTTGACCTCGAACTTCTTGTATTTACGGAATATCGACGGCGAGTCATTATTATAAAAAAAAATAGCGTAAAGATTATTAATATATAAAATTTCAACTCCACAATTCTGCTGGGTACCCAACTATAACTCTATCCCCAAGTGATTCAGTGGTGAAAGGGTCAGATACACTTGATATGGCGTTCGCGTCTCCCGATGCGCATGATAATCGGTGGTATATGCGATAAGTATATAATCTGGGCTTAAAGCGATCCCAAGGCTGGCAAATAAAATGTGCTCGCAAGCCAGGATAATTGCTGAAACCTATCAAGGGGAAAAGCCCTCTGCATGCGAGGCGAGGTATTAATTAGCCTTATCAGCGTGAAACGTCAGAACGCTTATGCAAACCAAGCGATCAATGTCCACACCCTGTCTAAGTATCGTGTGTATATCGCTTGCTTGTCAGAGGTCTTCCTCACTTTGGGTCTCGAGCAATTATTAATCCTGGTTCAGAGCAGAGATACTGGCTATACCACTGTGGTGCTTCGCATAACTCAAGACGAAATGGCGTAGCGATTGTCATGTCTGAAAAGGCTCATTCCACTTTGATTGAGTGGAAACCATTAAGCGACCGTATGGCCTATGCCCTAATTTTTAAGGGTAAATTCTGCAATATCTCGGTCATCAGTCTATGCTCCAACTCTATCGGCAGATGAACGTGATAAAGACAAGTTCTATGCGGAACTTCAACTGCTAACGAAGTCTCTACCGAAATATAACATGATCATAATCGGTAGAGACTGGAATGCTCGCGTAGGTCATACTCGCGTAGGTCATAATGCAGCTGCGATGACCTCAACAATTGGCAAATATGGCATCGAAGACCAGTGTGCCAATGGGGAACGCCTTCTTCGTTATGCCGAAGAGCATGAACTTTTTGTTACTAATACTTACTTCCGGCATCATAGAAAACATCTAGTTACGTGGAACTCCCCGAACAACCAACATTTCAATCAGATTGATTATATTTTAGTCAGTCGCCGTTGGAAGAGTACTAGATAGTCGTTTCTATCGTGAAGGTGAAACAACCAATCTTCATGGATCTGACCATCTTATGGTGCAAGCCAAGATCTGCATAAAATTGACAGCATCTCCCAAGATCCTTAACTATTTCAAATATCTATCAACTATCTCAAACTAAAAAATTCGGTGAGCGCATTTCGAACCGAATTATTGAAGCATCTCAATGATACAATTATCAATGATTTTTCTGGAACGGTAAATAAATACTGGTCCAAACTAAAGGAATGTCTCCAAAAATCAGCCACTTCCACGCGAGGCCAAGACTAGTAGGAAGTGCGCTAGTAGGGTATCGGAAGCAAATGTCCAATTGTCTGAAAAAGCTGCCAAAGCATGAATGTCAGGTGATCCTGACTACCGGGTGCTTCAAAGATTTGCAACGAAAGCAGCAAGGCAGAAGAGAAATCACTATTGGAATGACATGGCCTTGAGGATGGAGACGGCAGCTCGATTAGGCGATAGTAGGAAACTAACTATTCTGCCTTCTTCAAGCAACTATGATTCGGGTAACGATAGTGAAATGGTAAGAGACAGCAATAGCGTACTGATCAAAAGTATTAAGGATCGCTTCATAAGATGGAAAAAATTCTTTGAGGCCAAACTTAACCATGAAGCGCCATCTGTTGTCCCTGATAACTGATACGTTTGCCGAAGCATACGCTTACAACTACGGGCCTCCAGAAGAAGAAATAATTTCAGTTATCCATAAACTTAAGGCCAACAAAACTCCAGGAGAAGATGGTCTTCGGGCTGATGGTCTTTTCAAATGCTGTCCATCGTCCTTCATAACGCGCCTTCAACAAAAGTACTCTTTAGTATGGAAAAAAGAAATATATCCGATGATTGGAGGAAAGCAATTCTGCTCCCAATTCTCAAGAAAGATGATAGGACATACTGCGACAATTATCGAGGAATCAGCCTATTAGACGTCTCAACAAAAATTTTTGCTTCCCTCTTACTCAACAGACTTATGGAAGTATGGGACAGCAGGATGCGCACTAATCAAGCTGAGCTGGTTTCAGACCAGGGGGCGATTGTGCTGATATTCACGCTAGGAAGGGTGTTGGAACATCGCTTCAGATTTTTGTAACTCACTGTCACGTGTTTCATCGACTTTGCTGCTACTTTTGATTCAATTGATAAAGCAACGCTTTGGAGGCTGATGGAATGCGACGGTGTTCCAGAGAAAATCTTTCGACTCATAAAGGAATTTTATGAGCGCATGTCGGCGCAAGTCGATCTATGTATATGAGGGGCTGACAGATTCCTTCGAGATAAGAACAGGAGTCCGTCAGGGTTGCGTCCTTTCCCCTACAATATTCAACTATGCGATAGACTGGATAATGGATATCGCTTGTCGGTGCTCAAGAGGTTTCCAAATTAGTCCAGAGAATCTTTTCATAGATCTTTAATACGCTGATGATGTAGTCCTTTTTGCTGACAGTTATAACGAAATGCAAGTAATAACAAATAACGTGTCAGAAATTGCAGCAAGAAATCGGACTCAGAATCAATGTAAATAAAAAGAAAGTCTTTTCGTCTTATGTGCAAAAAGTTGATGTAATGCTTCTTTTTGTAAAATCATTGCAGATTGAGGAAGTGCCCGATTTCAAATACCTTGGGTCCACTCTAATACCAAATGGACAGGCAAAAAATGATATTGTAACTCGGATCACGGCAGCTAGATTTCTTTTGGTTGACGAAACCTTTATGGAATCGTCGTTAAATCACCATAAAAACGAAAGTCCGCATCTATATTGCCGTGATCCGTTCGATCTTGCTATATGGTCTGAGACATGGCCAATGAGAGTGGAAGTTAAGAAGTTATCTGCCTTTGACCACTCTTGTCTAAGGTATTATGGATCCATCGAGCGGATAAGATATCACAAGATCGCACTCATCTTCGTTCAAATACCACTTGCATAAATAATATTATCACAGAGCGTCGCCTTCGCTGGTTAGAGCATATTCTCCATCGTCCACCACAGGAGTTGACGCATATTTCGTTATTTGCTAAACCGTGTGACGGTTAGCGTCAAAAGCGAGATGGGCCAATCAAGACTTGGACTGATATGGTGAGAAAAGATTTTGAATGCATAGGTGGACCAACAATATATGGACTTAGACGAAGGAAAGGCTTCCATTACTGTCGACGATGGCATCAGACCGCGCCACTTGGAAGCTTCTTACTCTTGTAGCATTGGAGCCAGCCTAACCAGTAATGGTGAAAGCTGTTAGAAGAAGAAGTATGATCCACAATTATCAATATTAAAATAGCAATACCTGATTTTGAACTGAATGAGGAGGTGATATCATTTCATATTGAGTATTTGGATTACACTTAGAAGGAGAATCACTAGTGCCAATGCCATTAGATGGAATACAACTGAAGGTAGTAGGACAGCTCAATACAGGAGAATTTAAAGAAGGAGACTTATTAGAAGTGGAACAGTTTGAAGGAGGATCGCAATAATTTGATGAAGTTCCATGTGGTGGAGTTGAATGCTTTAATATATTTGGCAGCCTAATATTTCTAGGAGGGCAGTTGGTTGGTGAAGGCGACGATAACGGTAACGATGGAATTGAAGGGATTTTCATCGATTGCGAACCGGAATTCCGTCTACACCTGAAAATTTCAATTCAAAATTTAAACTTGAACTACAGAATTAAAATATACTTATATACTTAAAATATACTTGGAGAGTTTTGCAGGGAAATAATTAAGAAAATACGAAATGATCCAAATTCCAAATTTATCAAAAAATCCAGGAATTTTAAAAAAGAAGCACTTTGAAATATTTTATTTAAAAGATCTCTATTAATTCCCCGATCTTCATCACTCATGCACATTCATAAATGTAAGTTATTAAGATTTCATATCACTTAGAAAGCGGGAAAAAGCAAAGCAATCTTAAAATATTCTTGATTACAGAAAAACTTAGTAAAAACAAAAAACGAAAAACGAGAATATAAAGGAATGATGAACAAGATGGGAACAGAACAGTCACTGATATGATCAAACTGTTTTCATAATAAATACAATAACTGAGTATTAAAACAAACCTATTTATAAAGCACCTAAGCAATATTGGCTCAGATTCGATGCCAGTCTTTGAAGCATATACCAAAGCTGTAAGAAGAGTCGTTCCTAACCGTAATTGTATTTCAGCATGGCACTGAGTGACTGAAATTTATCATATCGTAATTTATATTCCTTTCTAAACCAATAAAGCCAATTAGAAGATCATTCATTAGTTGATGATTGTCTATGATACTGAATCGATCAACCAAATAGTTCTCAAAATTATCGATAGAGAACAGAATATTAAAATGAATATAAAACAATTTCACGAGCAAATCCGCGTTAACGATGACTATCATTGAATCATAGGATATTTATAAGTTCTTATAAAAAAGTCCTTTCTCAGCCTCTGTGGGAGGTAAATCATCCTAAACTCTATCAGAGGCCTACTCAGTATCTTAGCTCTTCCTAGAGCTCTTTTGAATGAAGATCTATGGTGTTGTCCCAGGAATCTATTGAAGACATTTCTCCAATTTATCGGGTTATAGTCCCTAGTTCTCCTTTGGCCTTTCCACATCTTCTCTAGTTCTTCCTTCAGCCCCATGTATTTCTTTAACTTCTGATATTCCTAATGTTCTTGCTCAGTGCTGATTTTTGATTCTTGTCAACGACATCTGATCAGTACTTGTTTGTCGTCTGAAGAACAGGATCTTCACGTCATATTTCTCCACGATTTTCTGAGAAATATCTCATCTAACCTTTGAATAATCTAAGCCATACACTAACACATAATGCTAGCTAGTTGATTATACCTTTCACTGCTTTTTATTCCTATCTCACCACTTCTGCCACTATATGTTGCAGAATGGAGAATTTCTGAAGCTGTTCTGCACTATCTATGCACGTTGAGTCCTGTTTAATGTAGTAGATCAGCGCTTCGATGGGTCTGATGCTTAGTACCTGTTCTTGATCAATGTCTCTGTGTTTTAGTCCAGCCTTTTCCAAACGGTAGGAATTCTCAATTCTCATCCATCTTAACTAACTGCTCTGCTCTGCAACATATAGTGGCAGAAGTGGTAAGATAGGAATAAAAAGCATATATCCCATGGAATAACTTCCTCTGCTTGGTTTTTTTTCCAGTATATAAGTATTACTTATGAATCAAAAAAAATGATGCATCCGAAAATATATTGCTGTTACGTGCTCTTTATGGTTATCGTAGATTTAATAATCTAAACTATTTAGATAAATGATAAGCATCACCATTTAAGCTTATTCCACTGTTATTAGTAGAATAAAACAATTTTTAAAAGAATCAGAAGCAGAAGTAGTTTGAGGCAGAAGTATATTCTCAGCATCAGTTTTTGATAAAATGCTTACTAATGTTATGGTTACATACCGAACTTTAATGCAAGAAATGATAGCCTATGCAAGCAATACTAATTCGACAATACTATTTTTAGCCTATTAATAAGAATGAAGTGAAAAATAAGAACATCACCTGATTCCAAAAGAATTTTTAAGACATTTACATCTTCTCGACAGCAAAAGTCGAGAACGGAATGTCCAACAATATCGGACAATTCCAAAATCGCATTCCTAAAATTTTTTGTGAACGATTATCATAATAGTAATATAAGAAATAATAAAAAATAGTAATATAAAAGCAAAGAAAGCATTACAAAGAAAGTTCTAAGGCTAGCCAATTAATCGGCTACAAAAATAAGCAAAAATATTTTTTTAAATATAACGATAACTTGATCTTTGATCAGTCAACAATTGAAAATATTTTTAAGATATCGAAATCTAAATATTTCTTTTTAAATAACTATTAAAAAAATTAAAAAAATATTTCCCATTTAATCGATCATTTTTTAAGAAATTTTTTTAGAACATTTAATTACTAAAATTTTCAAAAATTGAAGCAACTAGTTAAATACCTTAGAGTAAAAAAAATAAACTAACTTAACATCAACTTTTGCAATTATATGAGATGGATTCAGAAGAAATGAGATCATTGGAAACTTCGAAGGATCCTGTAATGCCGAATGATGACGACTGCCACTTATGAGATTCATATTACTATTATTGTTGTGGCCTACAATTATATCAATGCTCTTTTATCATTACGCAAAACCAACAGCATATTTTGACCGGCTACAATTAAATTGGTTGGGATAACTTTAACTTTCTCTATTCTCATTTAAATTAATTCCATCATTCTTATTAAACAAGGATTTAAACTGAAATATTGAAGTAATTTATCAACCTTATTGCTTCAATTGAAGTAATAAGTGGATAATTTATGTTTGCTTGGGTTAGCATCATTGACTGTTGCTATAATTAGAAATTTTTTTTACGCAGCAATTTTTGGAGATATTTTGAAACAATTGCGGTATTCAGTCGGAAGAAGACCCAAAGTTTTATCTCTCAAAACCTGATAGAAACATCCATTCAGCCACCATGTTCCTATTTTTAATTCTTTTTTTCAGGAATATTTTCACAAAAAAAATGCAAGCTTACTATGCAATTCAGAATGATTAGGCGTCCAGTTTCCATACTCAGAATATTTAGCTTGCTCGTAAAATACATTATTTGTAGGGACTTGTGCCATGTTGAGGTAGGTTGTATTTGAAATCAATGAACTTTTACCATTCGTATTTATTTAAAATGCTAAAAAATTAATAAATGTGGATTAAAAGAAAAAAGTACAATTAAAAACGACGAATGCGACGACACAAAACACGAATGCGACGGCGAACATTTTGAAAACGCAACTTGATGAATCAATGCAAAATTCATGGGAAAACCTATTATCAAGGATCGAACCTCGAAATATTAATATTAGTTGATTTTTCATCATTTTCGTATTTCTATCACAACAATTTTCTATAATAACTTAGATTTAGTACAGTTTGTTTTTAAATAAAAAAATAAATCCATAAGATATTTAATCACAAAAATAATTAATAGGTTAGTTAATAGGTTATAACTATCAAGATAAGTAAATATCTCTGGTTAAGCTAGTTAAAGACAAGCTAATTATACAGTTGAGACTGATTAGGGGTCCAGTTTCCCTACTCAGAATGAATGCAATAGAATGTTACAATTGGCTTACCACATTAAGCATGAAACAATTTTGGCAGAAAGTCATTTAAAGCCGAGATTTGTAATGACAGGTTAAACCCTATCGAGTACAGAGACCTTTTTTTTTCTTGGTTTAAACATCATTCTTCTATGCTATTACAATAAGAAGAAAAATTAGAAAAAATAAAATGCAAGAATATTTAAATAAATTAAAAGTTTTTACAAGTTTTATTCATTTTTAAAGCATTTTTAACAATTCGAATCTATATTAAAGGTAAATTTAAAAGTAAAAATTGCTTGATGAATAAATAAACCAATAAAATGCAATAGAATTATTTTTCTAGCCAAGTTTTCCAATAATTGGCAACCATTTTAGATAAAAAATTGTTTGTCTTAGAAAATTACTTCTATTATTTCATATTTTATTATTGTAAATCATTTAGATAATGTTGGGGATTTATTTATATTTGCGAACTCAAAAAATTCCCTAATGAAGATCTCCCTGTTAGCCAGTATAGCACGTTAAACAAGAAATACTGATTATTGTTATAAGATGAAGAACCCTAATGTAGACATTACGAAATAAATTCTAAAAAAATCTTTCTTCGGAAAGCGACTATGAATATTTGGAGATTTAGCTGGAAGCCAGTAAAGGTTTTCAAATCCCTGAAAATGGAAATCAGGAAATGGCCGAGTAGCGAAGAAAGCTGTAAATATAAGTAGGTCATCCACATCTCGGGTCTTATTTTTTTGGGTAATTAAACCGTTTATTAGCAACGAACGCAAATATATACAAAGAAAACAAAACAAAACTGTTGTCCTATTACATAATATATAATATAGTAAGTAAAAAACCGAACATAAAAACATATAAATGAAAGACCCGCTGGCAGGCAATTATCAAACCCATACAGACATCAGTAGAACGGATTCACAAATTTTTATTGAAAGTGAGAACCGCCATGCTCCAGCAGCCTTTCCTGTTGCTCCTAGTTCTGTACATGGTGCGCCACCCGGGAATTCGCTCCAATTTTTATTTATGATTAGACTTCTGATTAAATTTGCTCCAGTCACTTGGCTAATTCGTCTGTATAGGTTTTATACGGGATATCCAGTATCATTCACCGAAATAGATCCTGAGATATAAAAAAATAGCTAACAATAATCATGTTTATAATTTTAAACATAAGATTAACAAATATGACCTTTCTCCAGTTGGAATTTTATTTCACTTTTTCATCGAGAAAACAATTTTTATTTATAATTAGACTTCTGATTAAGCTCCACTGGCTGTCACAGCAGTATTATGGGAAATTTTTGCTGTCGAGTCACTTGGCGATAGAATTCGGGTCGCCAGCACCATTTGAATTTTAAAATGACAGATTAAATCCTTTCAAAGGTAAAAGCCTCTGAGTCTGAACAAGTTTTCTGCGCTGTTTTACTATTTGGTTATCCTTACTCCACTAAAAAGCACGATTTACTGCGTAGAGCACTTGTACAAGCAATAAAGGCGTCGTTTCTATCTGAAGCACAGTAAACTCGTGATTAAAAGAGGAGATCCATTTATATTTCTTTCATGCGATACTCTTGCGAAAATTTCTCATCCTAACAGCAAGTAAAGCAAAATTAACAAAATAATGGTGAATATAGAAAGAGATTAAATTCACAAAAATTTTAATTTCCGATAAATTTTTAGATGAATGTTGAGGCACATAAACCTCCCCCTTCCCCCACCACCTTCCCCCCAAAAAAGAAAGAGAAAAGAAGCGTTGTGTCTGTTTAAGATGTCCTACCCATTCATATTTGAAGCTTTTAGTGCAACTTCCACACATTTAATCACAGCAATGAACAAAGAGCAATGAATGATCCGAGAGAAAGAAGTAAGGTAAACCGAAACTGATCAAATTGAATCAATAAAAAAGGCTTAATACGATGGATATCGTAAATATTAAATTATAAAAGTGACCCGACGCAAGTCGACGGTTAATTTAAATGAGAAAGGACGCTGACTACCTATTTCTCGCTCAATACTATAAGTTTATAGAATAAAATTATATACAAGTGCCAGTGGAAAAAAGTTGTTACTTCCGGTTAGGCTAACTCTGCTGGCTGTTAGTATGGTTAAAAATTATTACGACGGAGTCACCACTGACGGGAATACAAATGGACTCGCAGAGCTACCTGAATTTCTTAATAATAGATTTGCTCCTAGTGATCTGGTAATTTAAACAAGAACTACTCGGAATCAACCACTCGGAATCTAAAAGTGCGAGTTAAATAAAAATCAAGCATTCAGTGGAAATATTGTAAAATAAAAATCATACACAGAAACAACAGATTCTATCAAAAACGAAAATTATTACAATCAAAAATGCTATTCTTGAAGAATTCATGAATTCTTCACATAGTTACCATGAATGAGAAAAGATAAAAAATATGCATGGAAGTTTTCATTGTCATATTTTACCCATCCTATTTACGAAAAGAATACTTTCTTTCTTCAACAATGATGTAGTACTGACTACTAAAACCTTTCGCCAAAGAGTCACTTGAGAGTAGAAGTGCAGAAAGGCCCTCGGCACTCCCTGGATTTCATTTTTAATGACAGATTGACAAGCAGCATGAACCAAGTGCTACTCGACCATCCAACCCAGTAAATATTAAATATTATTGTGGTTGACTGCTGGCAAAACTCAAATATGAATCAGATCCTTTTAATAACCGCTTAAGATGATCTCTGACTCTTTATCACCTTATATATAAAATTAATTTAAAATATTTATTTCTTTCAAACTGAAAAGCAATAAACATTGATAAGAGTCAGAGATAAAAGCATTAAAAAGCAGATCAATTAATTAATAAATCAACTGAAAATCACAAGAATATAAAATTTAACACAAATAAAATCAAATTAACACAAATTAAAATTAAAAAGAACATTAATAAATCAATTAAAAGGAACATTAATAAATAATTGGAACAAAAACCTACAAGAATTTATAAATAGCAATAATTAGAACGACACAACCTATAGAGCTTATCATTCTTAGATGTTTGCATTATTTCAAAAGAAACGACAGTTAAAGAAAATACAATATTATAATATTATAATGTTATAATGACCCATAAGGTATTATAAAAAAAGATGTTTGTTCATCGCTTTAACATCGTTGTGACAGTGGACACTACCTACAATCTACAGTCAGTTGGAGAAAACAACAAGTGGACCCTCATATCAATCAATTTCAATAATAAATTTACTGTCAAGGAAGAAGGCTCAATGGTACCATTCATGCAATGGCTCCAACAACAAAGATAACTAAAATTAATATAAAAATTGTGATAAATGAAGATTAATTATCACATCACTAAATAATATCGATGAAAATAATTGTTTATTTTATGAAAAATAAATTAAAGAAATATGAGAGGTTATCTGAAATTAAAATTTATAAAGAATGGGTAATTAATCAATTAAAAATTAAAATTAAAAAGAACATTAATAAATCAATTAAAAGGAACATTAATAAATAATTGGAACAAAAACCTACAAGAATTTATAAATAGCAATAAGACGACTGTGCCAAACCTAATACAGTAATAATAATATTTTTTGTAACATTTATAATAAATCACGAGCGGTCAATGGATAACCAATATATAACAAATTTTTCATGATTAAATATGGTATAATAAAAGATCGACAGATAGCCAAGATAGATAAGTAATTAATAAAATAAATAGATAAGCAAGCCCTAACAAATCAAAAACGCAATGTTTACAATGTAATTTTACAGCATTAAAATAAGCAAGGAATTAAAAAAGAAATTGCGGTCAATTTTTCTTATCGAAAAAAAATCTGATAAATGTGAAATCAGATAAAAAATTTGGAATAAAAAATAATTTACAAAAATATGGAGTTAAACAATGGAGTTAATTTCTTTCCTTGGAGCCACTTATGGAAAACCGGGTACTCGTATAACTGAACCACTATAGGCAGTGTAGGCGAATGGATCACTATTTAGAATAGGTATGGTATTAGAAACCGTTTGTATTTTTATCTCCAAGTGACTCTCAGAGTGTCCTAAAGTCAAAAGCGAGTCTAACCAGAAATATGCTTCAACGACGACAATTATTACCATAACTAATGCAGATAATTACTGCTGTTCCTTCACATGCCCTCATTAAAACTTTCATAATATCAAGGGAAATCAAGGGAAAATTAAGATATATGAATAAATTTGAATTTAAAATCCGAAAATCGAACGTGCAACAAAAACTTGCAAATTTTTTATCGTTTTAGCAAATGATAAAAAAATTCACTGATAAAATCATAAAACACTGCATTTGCTCATCAAAAGAGTCACTTAAGTGGATTTAATAATGAAAAAAAGGTAACGAAAATAATGATAGACAAAAAAATTAACCTGAATTACTTAAATTTTCAAGGTTATTAAAAAAGTGGCAAAAAATTTTCTATTATGCAAATTATTGTGTCCTAAGATTTCTAAAATTGTAATATTTGCG